ACGAATCACGAACTAAAACCCTAAACATACCCCTATATTGTTATGATGAGTCTTAATGCAGGCGCTTGAACTCGCAACCATAAACAAAAATGGTATATTATGTGTATTCTTCGTACCGTTACATAACAGTCTTATTATAATGTGAAATTTTAAAATGTAAATTAGTAAGAAAGTAAGTGAGTCTATTTCTTGGAAGGTTTTCAGTAGTTCTTTTTCCTTCCCTGTAATCAATGAAGTCGCTAGAGATATTCTGGTGTGATTAGGAGAGGGCAACCCTGATTTGAATTTGGATTTTATTGTTTTTGTTATTAACGTTTTTAATTAAATTTCACCCTCCCCATTTCTTGATCTTATTTGTTAGTTGATCCCTACACTTCCTCGAGTAGGTAACTCGTTTCACAACTCAACGTAGGTCCACTAGACAGGTTTGTTTCTTGACGATCATATGCCGTTTTATTTCCGTTAATTTTGGCGGAAGTTTTGATTTTTTGTTTTCAGTTGCGCAGTCACTGGACGTGGATTATTAACATTATTTAAAAAAGGCAAATTGGAAGAAATTCGAATTTTAAAAATGTCAATAGTTTAAAAACTATGGAAAGGTTAAAGACGATAAATAAGAACAGGATAAGTAAATACACCAAAATGATTCGGTAAGGTAAACAAGAAAATTTAAACGAATTCATCACAACAGGGAACCACCGATTAGCCCCCTCAGAACTGTACAACCTTTGTATGAAACTTTTTTCCAAAAAAGATGATTCCATCAATTATTAAATCGTCTCAAGATAAATGAATCACTTGATATCACCAAACAGAATCACAGCACACACCTACTACACAGAAACTGTACAACTAAAACATACGCGCTTTATATTTTCTAGAAGATTTAAGAAGACGACTTCGTGGGATGAGGTCCAAAGCAAGAATTTTTCGAAATAAACCGTAGGCCCAAAATGTGTTCTTTCCAAACGTGCCAACATTTGCGTTTTCTTCGTTAATATTTTCTCAGGAACCATAACTTGCGACTTTATCGAAGTTTCAAAGTGTGCCTTTTGTGCCCAAAGTAGATTCTGATTTTGAAGAAATTTGGGATTTGGGACTTCTATATCATGAAAATATCAAATCAAAATTAGTTTTTGAAAATTAAAAAAAATTATTGCAATACATATTTCAGAACAAAACGAACACAAAATCGTCCAAGTGATTGCGCATGTGCAAATAGAATTTTCACTAAAAAGAGAGGTTTTTTAATTAACGCAGTTAATTGAATATTAGTGTTCTTCTTCTGCGATGTTTTCGCAATACATTTCTCGTTCTGCCATATTGTATGCTTTTGTAGGCCGGTTGCAAACCCTAGCACAGGATTAAAGTTGCAGAAATTATTTTTGCATAAAAATTTACCACCCTCAATATAGAAATTGACCAGTTTTTGGATTTTTGTTAAAACATTTACTTTGCTGAGTTTTAGGGGAGGGGTTCATTCGAAAAAATTGGGTTATAAGGTTTCTCATACACGCTATGAAATAAAGTTAGCATGTTCATATGTGAAGTTTCGTTAAAAATTTAAATTACCTGAATCTTAATCTAACCTATCGACCTTGAAACCAAGCTCCACCCGCCTAAAACAGTTTTTCATCACACCTATTAACAATTTGGTTTTATTCCAAAAGCGTATTTCACAGTCGGGATAGGTTTCAGCGTCTAAAGGTGAAATGAATTACAGATTTTATTGAATTTAAGAACCGAAGAAAAAGCCGCCACGGGAAAATTCCATTTGCAAGCCCTTCCAAATCCTCTTTAATCAGAACAGCAAAGTAGTAATTTAATTTGTGTTTAAAACTCCAGGAGCCGTGTGTCCTTACCTTCGTAGTCGTACATTTAATTTCCCTTATTTGGTTTCTTGATTGCATTGCTATTCTGAATTATTTCCAGTGACGAAATTGTCCGCTTGCAACTATCAATTACCGCAAGGGAAAAACGACTTTTCCTCGACGGCGGAAAAAGCAAAATTAATGACCGATACGTGATTTTGATTAATTTAGCGGCAGGTAAATGACTAACAGAAATTTTTGTGTAATTTATCAATCGATTGCCTGGGCTTTCGATTGTATTTCCATTTATTGCCGTTTTAGTAGCAATAAATAAAAATAAACCAATCCCCTCACCTACTTTACTTTATGGTTGTATAAAATAACAATTGGCACGTTTATAAAGCGTAAATATAACCTTTCTTTTATCTTCAATGGGCACTTTACGTGCGCATTTGCTACTGACAAATTGAATATTAATAATAATTTGAGATTTAAAACAGGTTTCGCCGTAATAAGCCTGCAAATGGTACATTAACGCATGTTAAAAAGTAGGGGTAGTGCAAACTTTGCAGATACCAGATTTTTACTAACCAGTAGAAATATCTACAAGGCATCATAATTAATTTTAATTGGTTAGAATATAGAAATTAACATATTATCCCAATGCAACATTGAATTAGGCAATTTAACGTATTCATCAATTTGCATATTTACTACCATTTGTTTAAATGCTAGACATGTTTTGACGACCGTTAACAATTTCCTTATGTAAAGTTATCTGTACGAGGAATTTATCAGAAACTGAAAATCACACGTAATTAGCGTGGACAACCAATTCCTTCATCACCGTGAATATGGAGTAGTTTGATTGCGTAAATGTAGATGGTGCTAGATAAAATCCGGCTTTTATGTTAATATCCAAGAATTATTTAAAATACAATTTTATCACAGCTTCTATTATCTTAATGATCATTTTAATTCTACTATTTCAAATTAACAAGATAAAAAAAATAGAAATGATTTTTCAACAAGATACTGAAAATGAATACCTATTTTGTATCTTTCATAATTTGGCCTAATGAAAATTATCTTAATGATAAAGTTTAAACAAACTATGTATTTCAATTTAAGTATAAATGGGAGGATTAATATTATTTACAAGTTAAAATCAAATCATATTCATTATCTTGATAATAATTTTAAATAATTTAATTTATCTTGTTGATCACTTTAAGTAGTAGAATTAAACACGAGGAAAATGAATTTTAAGATCTAAAAAATCAAATGAATCGCAGGAATCAGTTGTTCGCTGATGATGACAGCTTTGCTGCTATAACGCTTTCGAGGTTTTAATATACAGGGTGATTCCTATAGTACCTGCCACCGTTTGGGAGCGTATAGGGGGTGCCTAGGGGAGTATTTGATATAGGACACTTGGGGTCGGAAATCTAAAATAAGGGCGCCAGAACCAAATTATCTTCTGGAATTTCACGCCTGTATGTAGGCAACCCAACCGACCGACGTTTCGCGCGGAGCGATGCAGAGCGAGTTAGCGCGAGGAAGCGACATGGGAGGGAAGGAGGGAAACGACAGTCAAAAGCAACAACGTTTACAAGCGTTCAACGTGGCCACCGTTGTTCTCAATGCACTTCCTACATCTAGCCAACTATTATTATACTATTGCCATAGTGTTTATTCACTTGATACGCGTCTTTGCAGACGGGATTTCGTGGGTTTAAACAAAATTCTGATCAAGTGTCAGCCACACATCGCCGCCTGAGATCGCTCCGTGTGCACCGCCGGCCGGTTGGGTTGCCTACCTACAGGCGCGAAATTCCAGAAGGTAAATTTGGCTCTGGCACCCTTATTTTAGATTTCCGACCCCAAGTGTCCTATATCAAAATACTCCCCTACGCACCACTTACACGCTCCCAAACGGTGGCAGGTACTATAGGAATCACCCTGTATAAACTTCCCTACCCTACACTCAAAAAAATTTTCGTATTTCAAATGCTAAAGGAATAAGTTGTTTGTAATGAAGTGCTTATAGTAGAAACATTTTCTAAAGCGTATCGATTTCGAAATTTATTTCATAATCTAAACTCGCTATAAATACGTAGCTGTAGTTATAAAGAGCATTTCTAATACTTATTTTAAATGAAAAAAGATAAAAAAACAAAAATTTATTAGTTCTCAGTAGAGTTTCCGTATAGTCCCTTAATCTTAATTGTTTAAAATATGGTATTTATTGAATGATACACTTCTTAGTATGATCTTTGGTTGATCTAAGTTTCTGTAATGGTGTTTCAGGTTAAAAGAATACAATCTACCTACAACGGATTTATTTACCCTTTATCGTTCAGAATGTATTTGGTATTTTTGGTGGAATTCTAAAGTTCTGTATAAAATGTAGCATGGCTCTTCCAAGGCACTAAAACTTTTTCTAATGAAGTTTTGCGTTGAACACAAATATAACAAGTTAGATGCTTACTGCATTGATCTTTTGTTGGAAGAAAGCTAGTTTCTCATGTTTCAGCATAAAGTTTAATAATAATAATAATGACATTTATTGGGCACACATTATACAAAGAACAGATATCATTGAATTTATAACTAATTCAATGCAGATATTATACATTACATTACATGATGGGCGATTCAATGGGGCGAAGTTCAGACTGGAATAAACCGTGTTATTCCGTCTGCTCTATCACTCAACCCCCTACATATGAAATTAACTACCCCAATACAAATGAGATTCTGAAAATCTGCCCTATTGTAAAATGGCTGAAAGAAACGAGTCCAATGCAACTTGCTACACCACCTTTCGGCTGATTTGTTTCAGCCGTCTTACAAGACCAGATTTTCGCGAATTAAAAAAAATTCAAGATGGCGGCCGTTCTCAAAATTGTGGTATAATAACAATGTTGCATTGTTATGGAAGGATAGGGGGCAGTGTAAACATTAGGTTTATGTCCTAGCAGAATACCAACTATAAAAACTAAGGATTCTTAAAAGTAGAAATAATAAACATTTTGGAGATGATTTTCAAAAATTTCGCCCCACCAATTACTTCCCCCCCAAATTATGACCCTATTTCTGAAGATTTAATCGAGTTTCAAAAGTATGTCTGAAAAATGATTGTGACTTGTTAATTAATAGGTCTTAATAAAATAAAAACACATCAAATAAAGTGACATTTATATTGAAATAGGTAATATAGGCAATAAACATAATACAGATAACAGTACAATTAAAAAAAAGGGTTATTACTCTTCTTTATTTACGAAATGTTTTCTAATTACAGTAATGATGACTGCCACAATGATCTAAGCTAATTTCATGGGCTTATTTTTAGCCACAGCCACAATACAAACTGTAACAAGTAAGAATCATGTCAAAAAACTGGACTAGCAATAAGCACTTTTAATTTTTTTAAATTATATAATTAACAACCTTGAAATTAACCGGAATATCCCGCCAAGAAATCGACAACAATTTTCTTTAATTTACCATCGGTGGACTCAGAAATGTGGCCCTCTTTTGCGATGGTTTGTAGAACATCTTGGTGACTCGATCTACGACAAACGTACAGAGAGAGTTCTAATATATTTGGGAAGCTTACTTAATGTGTTGAGAGAATTCCTTTTCAAAGCTCGTAATTTTGGATGGGTCCAGTTTGTCAAGATGACCCCTGACACCACAATAAATAATGGCAACTTGTTCTTCGATGGCCATTGGTACATATTGGCCCTGTTTGAGCAATTCTGTTAGACGAACACCTCTGTTTAACAACTGCTGAGTTGCGGCATCTAAATCTGAACCGAACTGGGCGAAAGCTGCTACTTCACGGTATTGAGCCAACTCCAATTTCATGGAACCGGCAACCTTTAAGAATGGAAAAGTTGGAAGAAAAATAATTTTGATTTGAAAGCGAATTTACCTGCTTCATGGCTTTAGTTTGGGCAGCTGATCCTACTCGCGATACAGACAAACCGACGTTGATAGCAGGTCGGATACCTTTGTAAAACAATTCAGTTTCCAAAAAGATTTGACCGTCTGTAATGGAAATGACGTTGGTTGGAATGTAAGCGGATACGTCTCCGGCTTGGGTTTCAATTACTGGAAGAGCAGTTAATGAGCCACCTCCATTAGCATCGCTCATTTTAGCGGCACGTTCAAGTAGACGCGAGTGAAGATAGAAGACATCACCCGGGTAGGCTTCACGACCGGGTGGACGACGAAGCAACAAGGACATTTGACGGTAAGCCACAGCTTGTTTGGATAAATCGTCGTAGATAATCAGGGCGTGCTTGCCATTATCTCTGAAGTATTCTCCCATGGCGCAGCCGGAGTAGGGAGCGAGATATTGCAAAGGAGCAGCATCGGAAGCTGTGGCCGATACAATGATGGTGTACTTATCGGCTCCCGAATCTGTTAACCTCTTCAAAATTTGAGCTACCGTAGATCTCTTTTGACCGATAGCCACGTAGATACAGTACAACTTCTTCTTTTCATCTGTTCCTTCGTTGAAACGCTTTTGGTTGATGATTGTATCAATGGCCAAAGCGGTTTTACTGTGAAATAATAGTTGAACGGTCGCAAATGTGTAAATGTAGGTAATAACCATACCCAGTTTGACGATCTCCAATAATAAGTTCTCGCTGTCCACGACCAATTGGTACAAGCGAGTCTACAGCTTTAATACCGGTTTGCATAGGTTCTTTGACGGAAACTCTGGGAATAATACCGGGCGCCTTTACTCCAACACGGAAACGAGTTTTTGCATTCAATGGCCCCTTACCATCAATAGGATTACCTACAATGTCGTTACTAAAAATTAACTATTAATATTAAAATCAAACCTAAAGCATCAACGACACGTCCTAAGAGCTCGGCGCCGACTGGTACATCGACAATAGCACCAGTTCTCTTCACAATATCACCCTCCTTAATCAATTTGTCATTACCGAACACTACAACACCTACGTTGTCAGGTTCCAAATTAAGGGACATTCCCTAAAATTATCAGCACCCTTTAATTACGCGATTAAACCGTATAATAAGCATCCCTACTTTAAGACCGGATGAAAATTCCACCATCTCCTCCGCTTGTACATTCTTAAGGCCGTACACACGAGCGATACCGTCACCAATACTCAATACTCGTCCGGTTTCGTCGAGATCTGCTTTAGGGGCTGATCCCAAAATACGTTCTTCTAAGATCGAACTAATTTCCGCACCATGATTGCTAGGTGTTACATGGAGCTTACGTGAGGCGACGGCTGCTGGGGCACTAACCTAGATATAACAGATTGGAGTTACATAATGAGTTCAACACTAAGGAGTTGGGTTCTCTTCACATTTTCAATTGTTTAACGTTCTCGTAAATGATTTTATCGAAAATTTGAGGAGTTATGTAAGAATGAAATTGTACCGGTTATGTCACAAGGTTGCAGTGTCAAGAAAAATGTTACAATTGAAGCACATTAAATACTTTCAATAGAAAGAAATAATAAAACGAGAAACTTACCTGCGATACAGCATTTGGTAAACGCCTTGCCGCAGTAGCAGCCAAACGTGCGGATAACAGAGACATTTTTACTTCCCCAGCAGAAATCAAAGATGGAGAGCGGAATACGAGCAGTGCGATCCCACAATGCACGATACAGCGCAATGGCAGTGACGTCACGAGTTGGCACCAATTCAACTTCTTCAAAGTTGTCCGTCGATATCAAAAATCTCGATTAAAAAACGGACAAGATATGCAAAAAGGTTAACATATGAATTTGTTAAAAAAAAGAAGCAGTGTGTATTTAAATATTTACTCAAATAATTCCACAGGGTAATTTATACTTCTACAGGGTGTACGAAAACTCCCATCTAGTTCATTAATCGGGAGTAAATACACAAGAGCTTGATTTTCATTCGGATAATTTTATTTTTACACGAAAGTTTTGTTGCAACAGAAAAAACTAGAGATCAAGTGTGATAAAATCGCGACAGCTTTATATTAGCTGGAGCGATTTTATCATGTGCTTTTGTTCGACAGTTTTTTCCAGGAAGCAACAAAATTTGAGTGAATTAAAAATAAAATTATCCTGATTTAAAACCAAGATCGAGCGTATTTTAGGGAGATTAATAACAATTATATATTTTACGCATTCCTACGCACATTTTTATCGCTGATAAAAAGCTACCTAGCTTTTAATCAGATAAAAATTCATCTGATTGGTTAGAATTTGAAACAATTACCAATCTGATTGGTCGTATATTAATGGAGTATTAATCATCCAAATCGGTTTACGTTAGGGGAGTAAACGGAAGCTTAGCATACTATACGGGGTGGTGACTTGACGAACGCACCATATTTCAATAGTAATTTTTGAATTTCCGATTATTGGCTTCCCTAATTATTTTAGAAATAAAGTCTATTTAGGTTTTTTGTAGAGAAAAAAATTACGAATCCGTACATACTATAGTGTCCTATTTTATAAAGACGGTAATGCCATGGAATTATCAAATCAAACAAAAATTTGTCATTAGTTAGCTTTGTTTGATCTCAAACTGTCATATATGGTAGCACTGATTTTCTTAAAAGCGCCAGTTTTTAATTTCTTGGTTTCAAAGTCCAAAAAATTAAAAGCTATATACATGGATTCGTAATTTTTTCTCTACAAAAAACCTAAATAGACTTTATCTCCAAAATAATTAGGGAAACCAATAATCAGAAATGAAAAAATTACTATTGAAATCCTATGGAAGGAAACGAGTAAAAATCATCACCAAATATGTCTCTTTAGGTGTATCGTATAACGATATCATATTGCGGATCTTTTGAAATGACCCACCCTGCATACTTCGCCATAAAAATAAGTACAGATATTGACTTGTTTGTGTGTTCTGAACTGGTTCTATTGGACATTTTTTTCTAAAAACGCTCGTTTGTAATTGTAACTAGAAAAATTGACCGTTCGTTTGTACTCAGAACCTTGTTCTGGACATGTACTTTCTGTTGCATACATAAATAACGTACGTTGTCCTCACTTTAAAAATTTCCTTGTATTGTTATTACTCCTCATAATTTTGATTTTCCCTGCCGTGTTGTCCGTCCTTGTACTTAGTGCGCACGCAAAAATGTTGGTGGAAGGAACAAACAAGTCGGAATCTTGCTGTTTGCGATGACATGATACTACTACTGTCGTGTGCCGGGCCGAAAGAAAAGTTGGTGAAAACTCTACTCGACCATTCGTTCTGCTCAATAAGCGGCGTAAGTACTCCCTATTTTTTAACGCTCCCAAATATCCAGTACGTTACATAGCTCTATTCTCCGCCGCTAATTGATTCAAACTGCATTTTAATATTACAGTTTTTTTTTTGTCTTAAATTCATTTAACTTCTGATCATACAAAAAAAATTAGGAAGTTCGGTAATTTAATCTCCAGATCAGAAGGATTGAATGTACGTATTTTTCATGATTAAATCATTCTTCCAGCTTTCAGAATATTGTAATAACAAATAAACAATTAGAAATACAAAAAAGAGATTTTGAACGATTACGAAATTTGATACATTTATCTTTTCACGTGCGTAGAGCGTTTTGCGTGAACTGGTAACCGTAGCGTGTAAAAGAGAAAAAAGAAGAAAAGTGGTTCTTTTTAGCAAATAGGTACAATAAGTTTTATCTTTCAAACAATACTTGAAAAGTGAAAACATGATCTGGAGGACAGTGTCCGTGATTGTTAAAGCCGCTTGCCGCTTTACATTAGGCAATTTTAGTACAATGCAAGGCTTGTGCAATGCAATCTAAAATTGCCTTGCATTGCTTATTACGGTTTTACATTTATGCAATTGTGTTGCAACTTTTGTGCAAGTTCAGAAAAGTGTTGCAGTACTGACAACATATTTTTCAAAAATTGAAACTTTTCAGTTTGTTTACACAGAAGGTTATTCTTGAAACTTAATAAAATTGACCATTAGGTATGAGCAAACAAAAGGAAATTAAGCTGGCTACAGTTTGTTATATGGTGGCGCTTGCTATTAAAAAAACACACAAAATAACACACGCGAAACCAAATAAATTGTGGTATTGACAAAATTACTAGAAAAGTTACTAGAACTTGCGCCAAACTTGCAAGTGAAATAGAACTTTCTCTATTTATTTTTCTTGCACCTGAATTGCGTATGAACATGCGCAGTAACGTATCTCTAACTTGCATTGCTCTTGCATTGCACGAAAATTGCCTAATGTAAAGCGGCTTTAAAGCGAATTTAAAATTGCCTATGTAAAGCGGCTTTTAAGCTTAAAGGTTTAGGTCCGATTGGATTAGGTGATTGCATCACGTTGGTTGGATGTTAGATTTTGGCATTTGCATTGGAACATTTTTGAATTTAAAACAAATCAAATTTTTCAATTCTGCAAGTAAAACTAATTTCGTTCAAAATAGGCCTTGATGGTTGCATACTTCACGCACGGTGTTTATTATTGCATGTGAGCTACTTTTAATACCGCCGTCAGAGGTATGTGAAACACGCGCCGTAACACTTTGGCGCCATAATTTTAAAGAAATATTTTAAGGTTATGTAAACAGTTCTTAGTTAGTTTTGTACAATAGTTTTTAAAATGCGGTTCCGTGCGGTGTTGGTAGATAATGCTGCAATGAAAGATTTTTTAAGTATATTTCCTTATGACTACGATTTACATAACTTAATAATATCATTTAAGCGACTGTAAATAGTTTATCAAAGTTATCAAAGGAATGTGTGATGCGAATTACCATTCGACATGTATACTTCATCATTCCCGACGATGATACCGGACCTAGAAGACCTCTAGTATGGTGCGAGTTACCTGTAAACTTTTACTTTAGAGAATTTAATTTGGAGGGTGTTTCGCACGAACAGAATGAAATTTACCTAGGACTTTCTACTGGTATGTTAACATTTTTCAGTATAATCAATTTATCCGCTGTATCTTAGCAATGTTGCTGAAATCCCTATCAACGGTTAAACAAAATGCAAAATCATTAAAGGTGAAACTTACCAACAAACAAGCTCCCTGTCTCACATTAGAAATGGAATTGGTCAGTCGGATACTAATTTTCTGGTGTTAATGATGTTGTTTTAGACATCAACTGAAGGTCTACAAAATCGTCACCTCGTTCATGATATACCAGTTGAAGTCATCGGTAGGAAACATTGGGGCGAATACGCCGAACCTCAGTTTAACGATTTTCATGTAAGATTGTGTTATGATTTAGTGTAATATCGAATTGGCAGGGTTTTCTGCAGGTTTCAATGCAGATGCCTAATTTAAAACCAATTAAAAGCATAGTAGAGCGTATGAAAAACATGGGCCACTCTTTAATCGTCTCCGCAACAAAGTTTGGTAAGCTGAGTTTACGCATCAAAACAGATGTTGTTAGCTTAACTGCTCATTTCTCCAATCTCGGCATTGAATCATTTGCAGGTGAGAATTTGAGTTGTATTTCCCCTGTTTAGAGGTCTTTGTTGTAGTTGCTCATAATACTGAATTGCTTGAGAACACAAATGATGCAGATGCAACTGAAGTTAATTCTGTAGTTACTGCTACCATTGACATAAAGAAGTTTTTAATGTTTTTAGCAGGTATGCAGTTGAATAATTGCCGAACAACATGCAGCATTGTACATGGGAAGATGGTGAAGTTGTCATGTGAACAGCCTGGGGCTCTGTCTTTGCAGTGTTTCTTTACAGAAATTTTAATTTAAGCAATACCATTAGAATTATGATCTACTTGCTGCAAATTTAATTTATAAAAATAGAAGTGGAAAAATTAAGTGGTAGATGTAATTTTTTTTTATATTCTGATATTTTCTTTTGATTAAGCAGGGGAAGGGAATAGTCCATCATAGATATCATATTTTGGACACAGTGTATATTAAAGTACACAACAAACTTTTGTTAAGAAAAGAATTACACATATGGTAATTGAGGGATCAGATTTGCGATTATAATAATGCCTAAGTGAGGTCCTAAAATTCGTCTATAGCTTAGAGCACAACTGCAGTTTGCAAATAATTTAAAATGAATACAGTTGCATCTACTTATTGAATAAATATGACAATGCACATTTTTTAAATTTATTTTTTTTAAGAGGGTAGGGGTTACATTCAAGCCTGCTGTACCAATCCAACCCACTGTAGGTATACTCCATGTATATACTCTTACAAAGATAGATGGACTATTAATTTTTCTACTTTAGATACATTAAACATTTAATATTTACATTACAAAAATACACTTATACACATAAATTACACTTTTAATGATATAACTAAAATAATTGTAAGGAGGACAAGAAATGGCAACCACGTTTTCAAGAATGCCACAAAACTAACATACTTTCCATACACTAACATTAAAAATGCTAACTTTACCATATTCCAATTACTTGAATTATTATACTGCATCAAATTTAATGCTGTGGCTACGTGAGAGTGACAGTTATCACAAAATAGATTATGCATGCGTTCTTTGTAAATATCTGATGCTTCTGTGATTGCACGATCCCAACCGGCACTACCTCCGATTGCATTATTAAACTTCAATTGCCAATACTTTGAAGGATCTCCGAAAGCCATATTGTCTTCGGATACAAAGTAGGGTCCGGCAAAATCTCTAATTATGCCAGAAGATAAAGCTATGCCCATATGCCCAATTACTGGAAATAACCAAGTAAGAAACGGTATTGGAGTCCATACAACGCAGAATGGGTATCGATTCCTGGTGATGTCGATTTGTGTGAATTCCGATGCCATGTCAAGATTCGGGTCTGTCGCCAACGCCTCATACATGTGCAGGTTTTTGGATAGTTGATACAAGAAAGGGATTATTCAAGTGATGTTTGATAAGACCTCTTCCACTTTATGAGAAGCACATCGCAATGTAAAGCTCATTTTCAATAAGCACACGAGAAAATTGCGGGTAATACGAGTTTAACAATTAATGGCATCGAGCCAACCCATTTAAATTTTAAAATTTGATTTCTTATTGAAGACGTTTATTTATTTATGGAAGAGATTGGGAAAATAAACAGCATCAGACATGTGACAGCTGACTGTCGCGTGGTCTGCGCATGCGCCTTACTCAGTGGCGTAGCATGAATAATGAAAAAGATTTCATTTCAATCACGATTTATATATAACATTTCATCATTGTATATGTATTACATACAATGATTTCATGAAAGAGTATGGGTGCCATTGGGCCACAAGACATTAGACCGCAAGACAGTAGACCACAAAGGGAATAAACCGCAGACATTGGGGCGCAGACAATGGGACGCGGACACTACAAGACGCAGATATTACGACGCATACATTTTAATGTGAACTCATTACTTACTTTTGATTCCTCGATACAAATAATCCGTGTAAAAATAAAAACTACGTTTTCTTTTAAAGTTTTACAGTGACTGTACCATTGAATTTATAGATATATAGTAGTTATAAATTCAATGGTAGTACCTACCATAATTTTTCACTTATTGCTTTTTATTAACGGGCCTCGAGGTGGTTTATAATGTTGTATTGCTGTCTGTTTGTCTGTAACTAAACAGCAATTCTTACCTCAATGATTTTATAAATTAATAACAAAACTTATACCGTGAGGTTATTATAAAAACTACTTGGCCAGCGACCTACATAATTATCCATTACGCAATTTGCTTAGTTGCGTGCCTGTTAACTCGCCGCCAATTCGTCGAAAGTTTAATTTCATAAAAAGCTAATTGTAAAGTGATTAAAATGTATGCAGACAAGCTTGTTATAGGCGAACTGTAAATAAAATCTGTTCAGTGTTCGGAGACACCCTGTATATAAAACACTGTTTACAATGTTACCAATAGCTCCAGTTTTAATGAATTAATTATTAAATGTCACTAATAATTATAAACAAGCCGTTTCCTAGATTGCTACAATAATAACAATTTAAAAGGCTCGAATAGTTATTAATTTAAATTAAAATAATTCGTTTTCAACAATGGCGTCATCGCAAGACGCTTGGTATTTATCTCTTTTAGGATTAGCCGAATATTTTCGTACATCTAGCCCTCCTATGATTAAGATGTGCATTCGATGTTTACAAGCGGTCTTTAATTTTAAACCTCCTCCAAGGGTTGAGGCACGAACTCACCTGCAATTAGGCAATATTCTACTTACTCATACGAAGAATGTCGATTTAGCGAAAACACATTTGGAACAGGCTGTAATTTGCAGGTCTTTGTCGTTTGTTTCGGTAATTGTGTAAATTTCAGTGGTTGCTGTCTCAAATGATCAACTCATTCGACGATGTTAAGTTTGAGGCTGCGAGCGTTTTGGCTGAACTGTACGAGCAACAAAAGCAACTAGCACCGTCCAAACACATTTTAAGAAGGGCCGTCGAATTATCTCAGCATAATGTGTATTGGCATTGTAGGTTAATTTTTCAACTTGCTGTAAGTTGTGTGATTCACTTAATGTTTGGTAGTACTTACGTATGATTTTACAGCAAGTACACGCCAGTGAAAAGGATTATCAATTAGCTAGCAGTTTATTAGGTGTAGGAGTTGATTACGCTCACATCTCTAGTGCAAGCTATACACGAGTATTGTTCCTTCTAAGTAAAGCAATGGTAAATCTTTTAGTATTCTCTTATTGAATTCTTGAACGCTTATATTTTTAAGTTACTATTAATTGACAAAAAGCTACAAGAAGTGCAGCCAGTTCTGAACCAAGCTGGACATTTAATTGAAACATGGACGGGAAGTGTGTATCAAAAGGAATACTTGAAGGTTTTCTTTTTGGTTCTTCAGGTATCTTGATCTTTGTATGGGCAAACGTCCTATTTATTGTTTCTAGGTGTGCCACTATTTAATGGCTGGTCAAGTGAAGAGTGTGAAACCGTGTTTAAAACAGTTACAGCAAAGCATACAAACTATTATGGCTACAGATGAAGGTAAATGTCGTCTATTAATTTATTGTACAGGTGGACCAAAGTAAGTTGTAATAAATGCTGGGTAAGGCCAGCAGTACTGCTAGCAACAGTCCAATATAGCTACAAAGTTGAGACATATTCACGTGTGCCTACTTCTTGAGTTTTAAGTTTTTTACTTATACCTAATACCACAGATCTACACATACAACAGATTGCTAACCTTATGCATTTTATGGGAAACACATTTAGGTATACTTAAAAGCGCCCTCTATTGAGCAGCAGATAATGCACGCTTAGTGAAGTGTCAAACGGAAAACGCCAAACGTCAAATAGCGGAAAAACCGTTTTTAGTTGTATCACTTTTTGTGATTTAACGTCGATTTGGGGGGGACCGCTATTGTTCTCACTTTGTCCGTCTGTACCACTACTAGTCCTTGCACTTTTGTCCTTCGTGAGTGACCACGTATTTAACTTGTTTCTTGTGCTCTGTGTGTATTTATGTAGGTAGACAATCAACTTAGCATCTGAATTAGATGCAGCGCTTGCACATGATTCACACGTGTTTAAAGACTCAAAAACTATGCAAAACTAATTTTTAGATGTAATGTAAATTTAATTATATTTCCTATTTTTAAATTATACTGCAGGTATAATAAAAAATACTATAAGATACAAGTGTATAATTGGTCTTTAAAGCACTTGCAACGTTAAAGGCACTCCGCTTTGCGTCGTGCCATTAAACCCGTTGCGCCTGCTTCAAAGACTTGATTATACACTTGTATCTTAATATACTATTTCCTCAAAACCGCTGACGCCTGGACTAGTATTGCATTGATTGCCAACTAACTAACTAACTGATCATCTGTCAATTGTAATCTGACTGCCGGATTAATGCATTAATGCGCGTCCTCCGACTCCTCCCAACACACTCACACATGGATATTGCTTATTGCTAGACACACTTCTTCGTTTCATTACTTAAAATACCGACAACTCTAAGTTCTCCTGTGTAGCAAGCGACTAAGAACATTTTTGCAGTGGTTACAGGACCGAGCGCAGGAGATATGTTCTTATGGATGCCAAAGGAACACCTGTACGTCCTAGTCTATCTGGTGACTGTTATGCACAGCATGCAAGCCGGCTACATGGAAAAAGCGCAAAAATATACAGATAAAGCGTTAATACAAATTGAAAAACTCAAAAGTACGTACTCATCTCATATTGCTTTATTACTGACGTCATTTTTATAGTTGTTGATAACAAACCAATCTTGTCAGTATTCCAATTAATGCTACTCGAGCATATAATCATGTGTCGTTTGGTAATGGGAAATAAAACCCAAGCGTTACAAGAAATTACATCGGCAACTACTCTTTGCAGGCAGCATCCTCAGCTGTTGGAAAGGCATGGACCTCAACTGCACACATTATTAGGTCTCTACGCGATGAGCATGAATTGTATGGAGGCAGCCGAAGCACAATTTTCAGCCGTACTCGCAGTAAGTGTATGTTTTACATCAATCTAACATTGTTGCCTTGTTAGACTTCTAGCGAACGGGAGTTGTGGACTTTCGCCAATCTAAACTTGGCCATAGTTTATTTACGAGCGAAACGGGAGCGAGAGTTTACCGCTTTGCTAGATAGAATTAATCCAGAAAATCTGCCATCACAGTCGCATAGTCTTCGTGCAGCTGCATATTATGTACAAGGATTGCAGGCTTTCTTTCAAGGCCGATACAATGAAGCAAAGTGAGTATTTATGATCGCTAAAGTCGGATCACTTACAGTTTTTTTTTTATAGGAGATACCTACGTGAAACTTTAAAAATGGCAAACTCAGAAGACTTAAACCGTTTAACCTCGTGTTCGTTAGTATTATTAGGTCATATCTTCCTCTCGCTTGGCAATAGCCGAGAAAGTATGAATATGGTTACACCCGCCATGCAATTGGCTAGCAAAATTCCTGATGTTCACGTCCAATTGTGGGCGTCGGCTATTTTAAAAGGTTTATTGCCGAATACTTATACCGTTTTTAATTTCTTAATTGTAGATTTGTATCGTTTGTGTGGAGATCCAAATCGTGAGAATGAAGCCTTCCAGAGACATTTGAATTTTTCGCAGATGTTACTGAAGGATCATTTCCAAGCATCTCAAATGCAAGAACATAATCTCATTCAGTGGACAACTGGACCTTTTCCTAGCTTGCCATCAGACTCGCCGAGTACATCTGGGGCATTATTATAAACGAGTATTTCTATAGGTTTTAAACTTCATTGATCAATTTAAATTATTTATTCCATTACAGTTTTCTCACTTTTGATGTCATTGTAAAACAAATTTATGTGGTCATTGTTATTTCAAAATTACAGTTGCACACAATCATAATGTAGATCTTTGTGTAGGTACTACCTACTAAATCTTTAAAATAAAGTACGTACCTAACTTGATTTTTATTGTGGTAAGTATATGGAAAAATGTGGCAAAACCTATCTATTGAAAGATAAAGCGTTATTGGCGACTTAGGTGTATTAAAAAATATAAAAAATAACCGATTAGAAAACTGACTCTGAAGTTTAGGGCAAAATAAAGTGTTAAATAAAACCTACTTCTCGAGATTTTAATAATCAATAGTATGTTTAATATTATACAGATCACAAAGACTTGTAAAACCAGTTGCCAAATTCTTGACAGAACAGCTTCCTAGCTCAATCCAAAAGTAGCGCTTTTAGAAGAGTATAAAAAAAATAATAAGTTTAGACAAAACCGTTTCCCATGAAAGTTTATTATTTTCCGATGTAGAATAAGGCTTCTATTTGAAAAAATTAAGTTTCCCTACACTACCGGAACTGGTAGTCCAAAAGAAATGATACTATACGCCCTCTGCTACACCCTAATTCTTCTGGTGTATTCAGTTAAACCCCCATAAATCATTCCTGAAACCATTGATTATACACACTCAATGCTGAAACTAATACCTACAATATATTCTATGCAAAAATGCTAGCATCTTGCTTCAAAGCTATCTTAAACCGTATGTATTTTTGTTTATTCCGAATTCTATTGTTATACTTGGGAAAAAAACAAAGTTTATAATATAAAAACTTCTTTTTATTTTTCTTTGTGTTTATTACTAATAATTCATTTATTGGCCCGTATGAACAAAAGGGAGCATATATGCTTATACTTGCAAAATTCAAAGTAAATACTTGTATGTGCCCCTTCATACTGGTCTGTTTAGCAGCGCCGCACTGCGTCCTGTCCTGCTGCTCAGCAGCGCTGCTAAGTCGCCCAGTGTGAAAGAGCACTTACGAGTATTTACTTTGAATTTTGCAAGTATAAGCATATGCTCCCTTTTATTCATATGGGCCAATGTCTACATATACAGTCAAGTAATGTTGCTCTCGGTTAATACTCATATTTGAATGAGTAACCACTCCAAAACTTGGCTCGGTTACTATTTGAAAACTGTTATTTTTCGTTTCCGTATGCCTAATATTATACATATCAAAAGATTTTTACATATGCAAAATTTGAACAAGTCGAGCTGTTATCTCGGAAAATTGCCAACGCACATACTTAACATACACATACAGAAGGAAAATTCGCGGAATTCGCGTGGCGTTTGCATCTTTTTTGTGCGCTCTTTTGGTAAAAAATATTCTACAGTTTTCGTCCGATCACAGAAGTTAAGCAGCGTAAAGCCCACATTACATCTATCAACTAATTCATGAATTTGTCCATGGATTTATTGATGAATTATTTCATGGATTTATTGTTCAGGCAGTTAGTACTTGGATGGGTGACCGCACGTTGTTGTATCTCTTTTTTTAAATTACGCTCATGTTTGTCTATTGATTTTAGATTTTATAGGATGTCACAAGGTAACATATAATCAATAATTGTAATTCCTATTTAGAATTATAGTCTAGCCAAAGTAAAAAAATAGATACAGGGATCGTTAAAAAAATTGCAAGAAAACGTTTCATGGTTTTATTTTGTATTATGAGGTGTCCAAAATGACATACTAAAAGTTGGCAAAAATATATTTACCAGAAGTTGTTCGAATATTGCCCTAAAGTTATATATGTAATTTCGGAATAATTATCAGCAAAACCTAGTTCTCATACTATAAAAAGATTTATTATTTTAACACATTCATGGCTAATAACAAATAACAAGTAGGAATAGCTCTGAAGGAAGGAATAAACAAGGCTAGTGAGTGTTGAAACAACAGTGCATATCGTGCCCAGGGCTGTATAGCTAGATTAGTTATGAAGAGCAGGCAAATAAATCTACAAAGGGGCAGGCGAAATATTAATAATTTCCGCGCAGATACCACCCACTGAATAAATTCGTTTTTAGCGCAACCCACGAACTGGGCGTTATGTCTTCACATTTCCGTCCCTGTGTCTGTCGTTCCGTGCATCAGTTTCTAAACCTCGTATCGACTTCAAGTTTTCGCCATATGAAAGCTTGCGAGTTCCAGGTGCGCAACTATCAAAAATTAACTTAAGTATTCATCATTTTCTTGCGGTCAAAATCGTTATCTTTCTTGGGAAAAAGATCAAAGTCAACTGCTCAATGACCAAGAAATGATACCTGTGTTTTGGTGTCCTAAATATTTTTACCCAAAGGATGTCAAAATCGCTATTTATGCATCAAATTTCTTGGGAAACTCGATTGCTCAATGCTTAAGAAGTGGTCCATATGTATTAATTGTTGGTGATATTTTTTTGGGCAAAAATACCAAAATCGTTATTTATGTATGGGTTTTCTTGGGAGAAGACATTGTATCCACTCAGATTTTCGTTGTATGAATAAGCTTATGAGTTCCAGATGTGCATATAAAAAAATAATTTTGGTAATTATTACTTTAAGGCCTAAAAGCGATATATACACATTTAAGCACCAATTTTCTTAGGAAAAAGACCAAACTCGATTGTTCGATGCCCAAGTCATTTGAAGACTTCATACATGTATATACTATGTTTTGCAGGTGGTAAAAGATACTTAAAATGATAATAATATATTATTTATGCGCTCACAACCTGGGAAACGCAACCACGGAAACACAATAAAACTAACTCATTAATTAAATCCCTCTTTCAACCTGAAACACTTTCTTAATTATGGCGGATTGCCACATAAAACTGTTGAAGTTTTTTATCTCTTCTTTTGTTAATTTGTTTAGGAAATATTTAATCATTTATGAGCATGCTATATTGTGTCATATTAAGAAATTTTCAAGAGCGGACAAAGCGGGTCCCAAGAGCGGACGAAACCTGCTCTTGCCCCCTTCTGGAAATGGCCCTGATCGTGCCGCTTGAACTATATTAACAAGGACATTGAAAAACATAAGAAGGGTATTGTCGATTCTCATAACTTACCCTTGAAGAGAAGTTCATTATTATGTCAGGACTGTTTAATAATAAACGGTTTATATTGTGAAAAAGAAATCATTAGTAGAAAAACTGCTCCTGATTATGTTGACTACAGTTATATTACGACCAAAGCATTTGGAGGCAAGGTGTTGGCCTACTGCCAAGCGCGTGGTGATTTCAGATGAAGAAGACCTTGACAACTCGCCGTAAAATTGACATCTAAAAAGGAAACTATGTCTTTGATTAATTTTATAACAGTGGTAATATAAATAACTCACTGATAATTTTAAACGTTGGTTTATTTATAAATTTAAAAAGAATTTCATGGAAGTAATAGCCTTTTAGATATATGTAGTTTGCAACTAATAGTAGTCCCATATATTTGCCAACTTTTACTACTTTTGTTTTCATACAATTAGCTAACAAAAAAAATAATAAAATAGTTTCTTGCAATTTTGTTACGGTCATATCGTATGTTTCTTCGACTATTAATTTAGTCTTGGCGAAAAAAATACTTTAGTTTTTTAAGAATTGAGGGTATCCATGTTTTCTTGAATTCAAAATGAGGTGGACATCGAAGAAATTAGGGAGAATTAATAACTCAAAACCTTCCCCGTGATTGTGGAATAAATAGTTGCGACTAGTTTCGACGTTACCATCATCTTCTGGCTTTAAAATTAAGGACTAACATTCTATGGTTCTCTGAAGGGTAGAACGAGTAGTTACATATTGAACAAATATAACTTTAGAACTAGGTGCATGGGGAAAAATTAACATAAGGATTAAAACATCAGTAAGGACAACTGCGTTACAAACAGAAAAATTGACCCGAAGGTCTCTTAAACAATTTTAATTTAAACAAAATTCGTCATGATAATGTACGAAGGCCGATACCTCAGAAAATTGCCAACGTACGCACATACAGACAGAAAAGAATTTTATTCTTTAAAGGTTGCTTAAAATGATCTAAAACGTCGACATTTGATGAAATCTTATCATGTCCAAAAAACGGTGATCGCAATAGCCACCTAGCTCAAGCTAGGAAGCTAAAAATCAAAAAATGCTTGTCGAGTAGGCAAATTGTTATTATTAATGACTAACGAGCCACAAAAATTGAATTTATGATTTTGGATTTTCTGTCCGTCCGTCTGTGGACACGATAACTCACTAACGGTTTTGAATTTCTAATTCTGTTTTTAGAAATATGTAGACAATGATCAAGGGACTAATTGATTAAATTTTGGTCACTATTCATCAACCAGAAGTGACTTTGTCCAACGTTTTTTATCTACGGATGTTATTGTTACTGTTATTTAGAATTGCATTTTAGAAACAATCTGAATCTCATCGATTTGAATAAAGAATTATGGTGGTAAAAAAATGAAAAGAGATGACTAACTTATTAGGAACTATTTATTACACAAATTGCACCATTACTACAAGGTGAAACAAACAAACAAAAACATACACAAGTAAGTACCCACTGAGGGATTAACAAATCTGATTAGACTATGTTATTTAAAAGATTAGATAACCATGTAATAATGGCAGATATATTACATCATGCAGTTTTCAAAAAATGGTATCAAAAACAACCAAAATTACGATCGTATGTTGATAAAAAAAATCTAGTACATACTTTGAGGCTATTCTGTAACAATATTCTTAGTATTACACAATCCAAATTGCAGTTGAATTTTTGGATTAGTTTAAAACTACCTAAAACCTAAATTGTGTTGAACAAAAATAAATTCTTACAAAAATTCTTTATATTGCAATTAGCGAAAATCAAAACAATACTTATACAACATCGTTAAATCTTTGATTCTCACCCTCACACTTTTACTTCTTCTGCCCTAAACCTAAATGTAAATTATAAACATCAATGCCACAGAATTACAACTAATGCACCATTATTTTTATTATAAGACATATAAACAGTAATCATTTAAATTTGTCATCGAATAATTCACAATTACTCGCAGTTTAACAACCTAATTAGATGCAACGGAATAATCTTAGTTGACTTTTGGACAATGCTGTCAAATTTACGTCTTACAGACAAAAATATAATCGGAAAATGTGGGAGTATTTTCCAATCATTTGCAGTAACCTATACGTAAAAATAATACAGTACTTACACAATTGCGATATTAAATTTATAAACATCTAATCACAAGAAGCACACTTTACATATAATCATTTTAAATGGAACTTTAAATAACACGCCTCAAAATAAAAACTTTACAAAACAGGTAAGGCCTCTGTTTTTAGATAAAATTTACATAATGGCACATTTCATGCAGACAAAACTTTATTAAATAGAACTACATTGTTTCAAACATTAACTAAAATACAGGGTGGTTAAAAATCTTGCCCCATCTACATTCGTTTCGTACTTTTCAGTGGAATGTCCAACACTATTGTTTATTGCTAAATTTCTTTGCTTTAGGTATTGGTAGAACAAGTTCCGTTGTAAATTTATTTACAACGTTGTTTCAATACAATTTTCGACCTTGGTCAAAAACCAAATTAGTAAAGTACATTATTATGTACAATTATCTAAATATTATAGTATTCGAGGTACGATCCTGTAAATTCCTATAGTCGGAAATAAAATTTTATTTTTACAAATGAAGTTTACAAAATTTTGTATAACGACCCTGTATATTATGTGTATATAATTTTCTATAGTGTCAAATTTTAAACTTGAAATTTTTCCAAGAACATTTGGCGCAACACGGTTTTATGTCGACGGACATTTATCTAATGAAGGTTTAGTTATAGAAAAATCGATTCAGACACGTTTGACTACAAAAATTAAGCTACTTATCAGACTACAAAAAGATCAATCGGTATAGTATGAACACTAGGTACATAACATTCAGTCTTACGTTGCATCATATTTGCCTGGGAGCAATTTTATAAAAATACTTTGTGTAAATAAGTTTAGAAAATTGTAATAGGTAGATCAGTCTTATAGCTCAGTCTGTCAGTTGTCATTCAGTAGACTATATATGGTAACTCAATAGTTCGGTAATCGTAAGGAAATAATACTTAATCGAATAATACGCATGTTTAACAAGTAAAACGATTTTTGAACGTAACAGATCATGCGACCTGTACATTGGCACGTAACCTTAAATCTACAAAAAAAATAAATGTTCCTGAGAAGTAGTAACCCTGAGAATGTGGTAATTGCGATTTTCGTAGGTAAAATTAACTTCCTAAATAACGAGACCAGTATCAAAATATTTGCACTCTATCATTGCCAAAATCAACTACAACAACACGGCCTTCAGGATTTAGACATATACCACTCGGACGGTCCAACTCGCCGGGACCTTTCCCCAGAACTCCAATTTTCCACAAGAAGTGTCCGTTACTCTCGAAAACTTGTATTCGATGATTTCTAGAATCGGCAACTATGATACGCCCTTCATCGTCACATATGATACCTTGGGGACGCAAGAACTGCTTGTAACCGCATCCTTCGCCACCCAAAAATTGTGCTTGCGAAAAGCGTTGATCGATTATTACAATTCTGTGATTGTTAAAATCGGTAACGATTATACTACCCGTCGGTGTAAAACACACTCCTCTAGGGGAATCGAAATGTTTCCACATGGGTGTGGTGCCCTCAAAGCCGTATTTGTTAATAAAAGTACCATCGTTACTAAACACTTGGATGCGATGATTTCGTGTATCTGACACCACAATATTACCCACCGAATTAACCGCAACATCCCACGGATAATTGAAGTGCCCATTGCGACATCCTTTCTCGCCAAACATCAGAACAAAACTACCGTCAAGCGTTAAAATTTGAATGCGATGATTATCTTTGTCGGCGACCACTACTCTACCCTGGGGATCAACGGCGACGCCTGCCGGACGATCGAATTGACCCGCGCCCGTGCCTTGTGTGCCGAATTTATGCGAAAAAGATCCGTTCGGTCTAAAAACCTGAATTCTGTTGTTGCTGCGATCTGCGACTATAATGTTGCCATTTCGATCACAACAGACACCCCACGGTCGACATAACTGCCCGTCTCCTTCCCCTTCTGATCCTATAATAATCGGGCTCGCAGTAGACTCGCGTGCGATCACTCTCGAAACTCCAAGCACAGCGCAACCCCTTGATGCACTACTCATTTGCAAGTCCGGTTCGTCTTTCAGTTCAACTGGCGGTAACAACGGCAAGCTATTCATTTGCATCTCTTTTAAACGATTGTGCATCACCAAACTACTGTTCGGCATACTTAAACTGCCTAACGAAGACACCGCTCGCAGTAGGTTCAGATTTGACGGTACAAATACTATGTTGTCATCTTCACATGGCGCCAAATCCGACTGAATCGTACGTATTTGTTTCAACTCGGTCGATAGCTTTTCATTTATTGAAATAATATCGATTCCAGTTGCTCCCTCTATCGATTCGTTTAACAGATCCGACATCCTGGCCAATTTCGCTAGGGCAACTCGTAGAGCTTCCATTTGATTGTGTAAAGCTTTACCTTTTAGTTGGCGCACGTGTTCAATCCTAGTTAAAAGTTCTCGTTCACGTTCTTCAATAAGGGCAACATATCTGTTGAAATAAATAAAAACACATTTTAGATATAAAATTGCTGTGAAAACAATATTCTCTCACAACATTAAATATTTTACACTATATTTTGCTTAACACGGCCTCGAGCCTGTACGCTGTACGGTTGTTGCTTAGCTTGCTTTTATTTATTTCTCTTATTCACTATACTTATTTTACAATTATTATATTATTTATAACTTATTTACGATCAATCCGGACTCAAGTGCACTTAAAATTGCAAAATATAAACTTTGTAAAATACTTTTGTATAATTTTTATTTTAAAAATCTTAGGACTTTTGGCGCCTAGGGCACTTGCCTGGTTGCCCTACTGGATGCCACGGTCCTGGGTTTTTATATTTTAATCAAGTAGGCTATGATGAATTAAAAAAAAAAAAAATCTATTCGAGGCAACAAAACAATGAAAATAATTAATCAGATGTTTAAAATACTGGCCATTATTAGTGAAACACACTTCAAGACAGTTTATTTTAGGCAACGTGATGCCATTGATATTATAACACACCTTTAAACGGCTTCGCGCAGTTGTGTTATTATTACCTATTAGTATAGTAGTTACTTCCATGTACTTTATTCTTTAATGTACAATGTACACAATTCGAGAGATGTGACCTAGGTAGCCAGTTCAATTGTTGGTAGGAACCATAAACCAACCCTTTCTGTGAAACATAGGTACGTTGTCTAGAAAATCGTTTAAGGAAGTTGATTGGAGGATTTGTAAATAATGGTGAGCAGTTAAAGTTCCATCGAAGATTACCAGTCCAATTACATGACTTCCCATTATGTCATATGTTTTAAAATCTTAAATGATTTCGGCGTGAAACTCATCTAGGTTTTCCTGTGACGAGTAGTGTTCATTATGTCGACGAACACTCCGCAGAAAAATAAGATGCATCTGTCCATATACTCGAACTGGTAAAACTGTTAGTTTCGATATTCTTCCGGATAAACCACCTACAAAATGTGACCTGGGACAATGCATCAATGGTAATATTTTGTGTGAAGTAAATGGAAGTGTCTTGAACTGTGTTTAACTGGATAATGGCATGGCATCTTTTCGAGGGGATAGTTTGTAGTTCTACCAGCATTTTGTAGGTATGTAAGTATGGATAATATGATAGTCAATAAGTGACATCATAAAAGTCAAAATTTTTCTACACCTAGGTACTTATATAAAATTTTGGAGGGAGTTGTAATCCCCAACATTAAACATTGGATGTAATTATTTTTATTCTTTTGTTGCCTCGAATAGATTTTGTTATGTTTTTTTAAAATCATCATAGCCTACTTGATTAAAATATAAAACCCGTTGATATAATTGGTATCTTATTTTCAATCTTATGCTATGATAGCTCATTGAAAAGAGAATTAAATAATCCATCAAATAATCTAAAAATCCAATATGGCGCCTATTTAACTTTAGGAAGTTGGTAAATGTTCCTCAAAGGTAGCCATCTTGAATTTTTTTTACATCAATTCTAAATTGGGCGTATTGACAGTAACTTTTATATAAAACTTTTTTTATATCTCTTGTACTTTCGAAGATATAAAACATTAAAGGAAATGACCAATTTTAGTTTTTTGAATTTACGTCGAACCTATTCGACATTTTGAATTTCCACAAGGAAATTTTAAATAAGCATCTAAAACTGCAAAACATTGTCCATTTAACCAATTCTCTATCTTTAATAATAAGAAAGTTACCCATGCAACCCATCCGATCTGGGACACACTGTATATATCAATTAGTTGTAAATAAGAAAATTAGCAGATCTGTCTATATTATAGTATAACGCAAGGATGCTATATAATATAATGTATATCTTTTTGGATATTTGATTAGCACTATTTGAAAAAATACATTACTTAAAGTAGATACCTACCTTTTAGTAACATTCCGAACTTCAACAGCTGCCTGATGTGTTCTCAGCTCAACAGCTTCACTTTTACGCTGCACATTCTCGATAGCCTCTCGAACCGCTGCAATGGCTGCCCTAGTCTCCGAACTAAGTTTAATAGTATTTGCTCTAGCAGCATCTATTGCATCTTGAATATACACCAGCTGATGACCATTATGCTCAATCAGAGTGCATTCAGTACACACTGCCAAAAGACACGTTTCACAGTAAAGCCTTGCTTCGTGCTGAAGATCACAAAAGTTAATAGTTGCGCCGATACCTGTACTACTTGGACTATTGCTGGCCTGTAATTATTGCGAGTGAATTGAACTGCAAAAAAACGAAACGATTAAGACTGACCTGTGATGAGCCAACCGAACTTAACGAATCAGGTATATTATTCACATCCCTTGCAAATTTTACAATTCTGTGATCTTTGGTAATTCTAACGCGTTGGTGTGCTCGCACACACGGATCACAGAGTAATTCACTACAATCACGACAACGAGATGAAGCCGATGTTCCTTCTTCGCAGCTTGAGCACACCGGAGCATCGTCACCCGTCACAGCCTAAAATAAATGTGGTCAGTCACTCTTAAGCTAAAGTGGACAGAACGTACCTGTAATAAGTCGGTAATAAAGGAATCCACAGAACTAGGTTCGGGAGAGGTGTGTGTTGGTATTGCTAGAGGTAGAGAGCTGGCGTTGTTATTTGGAAATCCTGAAGGACCCAGGCAAGACATTGTGACTTTTAATTTCCTTTCTGGTGTTCTACTTGCACTGGAAACTGGGGCCATACTAAAACAATTAAAAAGAAAATTAAACTTCATAACACTAGAAGGTTCACCTACAAACACATTAACATTTATTTAATATTTACAAAAAATTTTTTATAAGACCACAAGCCCTAAGTTCTATGTAGAATTTTGAATATTGTCATTTAGACAGTCATCTTGACACTCTTAAACTTGGAATTAATTACAAGTACAGAGTGGTTCAAATTTGTGGCTCACAATTGGCAATTGGGATTGGGGCAAAGTTGCCCCGTTTTGTGCTTAAAAAAAAAGAAATTGTTAAAAAATCTTTGAAAATAACTGAAAATGTCAAACTTAGTTTTCATATTCCCTAGCTTAAACGGTTGGAAATGGACGGTTCTCATGACCACCTTCTATATGCACTTTACTTGGAAATCGGAATCTGTTATCAGAACTTCCATAACACGTCCGAGGCCTTCACTATTCTTATAGTTTTTAATATATTTATATATTGAATTCGATGTATAACGTCATGTAGACGTTATTTCGGTAAAAGACCAAAAATAATGACGGGGCATCCTGTATATGAGAATATTGCAATTTAATCTGGGGAATTATTTACGAATAAGCACAAAGTTTGTATATTGTATTTAAATTCGTTATCTCAGTGTCTATTTTTCCTATTGAAATTGGTTGTAATTGCGTAATACTTAGGTTTGTGTACTTAATTGTAAAACGTGAAATTGCGTGCTGAAATGTAGGGACATCTGGTCGTTTGCGATAAGAAGTTTTTATTGGACGAAAATCAAATAATATACGTGCTCTTTTTGCTGTTAGAAGAGATAATGTCTTTTACGATGTGCGAGTTATTTGGGCGTAAGTGGGGACGCGTTCCTGTGAAGCTGGCATTATCAAATCTAATTGTGTTTGTGTTTGGCGGTGTTTGTGAAAATCCTAAGGAAGGAGTTCATTTGCTAGTGGAAGTGGTGTTTCCTTAAATACTAGAATCAAGGTAAAAACGAGGCTACTGCTACTAGCTGTTAGTTTTCGCGACGGTTAAAGAGCCTGTTCATCTGTTTACGCTAAATCTCGAGCAGTTTGCCGTAGTTACTTGAAGACGCCAGTTTGTGAAGTGTGTAAAATTGTTTGTCCGTATTCAGAAAAAGTAGTTCGAGTGTGAGTAAACAAAGCAGTTGTCTGCTTAGTGAAAGTTAAAAGTTTCTACTGTCCGAGCAGCCATCGAAAATCAGAAATTGTGTAATAAATTTTTTGGAATATTCGAAAGACCACCGAGTCTTCCTTATTTAAAAGACTATAAAATTCTAAGTTTCAATTTAGATTTGTTTTCAGCCAGCTGGACAGGTATTCTGTGGGAGGTGTAGTGACCGCATACCATTGTCCACAGCACTATATATTTTTAAATTTTGTCACAGATACATACTTTTGGTAGATGTAAGCACATCTATATCGCATATAGTAAAAATCAAATGTGAGCATGCACAATGTCAACTTATTTAAGGAAATATTTGTTAAAATTTCAACCACAGATGCTTCTAGTAGTATCGCATTTGCGATAAATTAAATGCGCCTATGCGCACACTGCGGAAAATTGAACTGATTCAATTTTAATTTGTGCTGATCTGGAAAATTAGGTTTCCTTGAATTGAATCGCGGGGGCCAACTTCACTCTCAGCCCCCCGGTTTTCTTAAGGAACAAATTCCACTACTACTTTAAGGAGTTGTGCCCGATGCGTATTGGATTGTGCCGTTCAAATTTTCGACAATAGTTTTATGATGCACAGTAGTTCCTGCACTCAAATCTCGGAGGCCAGCTTGACTCTCTGCTCCCCCACCCCGATTTTTTAAATTCATAAATTCCACTACTAGTTTAACGAGTTGTGCTTGATGCATATTGGATTGTGCCGTTCAAATATTCGAAAATGTTTTTATGGTACACGGTAGTTCAAATTTCAGGGGCAAAAAGGTTGGGATCTTATCAATAGATTGAGAAATACGGTAAAAATAATTTTATCATCAAAAATATATTAAACGTTAGATGTGCGCATGCACAGTACCAACTTTCTTATTTATGAAGATATTTCTTTGAAATTTTAACCATAGATGTCTCTAGTAAAGGTAGAAATAGCGCACATAGCTATGGCCTTTTGGGAAGTACTGATCAATGCATGGAAAATGCACCGAAATTTTTTGCGAGGGCTAACTTGATGGAGATTATCCATATATCCTTTCGAGAAATAGTGACCTGGGCATAGAAAATACGCTAAAGTTACTCACCTTCGGGCAAAAATCTGGGTAAGTATAAGGTTTAGACTAAAATGTTAGCACAGTGTTCAGACTTCAGCTCGACCAAAAATTGTCATTCCGATCCTCAACTCATTTTGTGTTGTGTTTTCGATTTGAAAATGTGAAAATCGTGAAGCCCTATTAATGGAAGACGCTCGTCTCCCCATCTGTTTGCTAAATTATACGACTTCTGCATAACATATCTTGTGCAGATTATAAAAAAATGCCTCTGAAATGTTGTCAATCATTTTACTTGTTTCTGTTGTGTTTTCTAAAACTTGTTATAGATATCTTGTAACACAGTTCATATGGCACAATGCGTTCAATGAGATCAAACAAACTTTAGAGAGTTTCACGCATTGAGCATTGAATGGTATCACAGCGTTCATTCAAATTTATTCCCCAGCGAAAATTGAGAAAAAGAGAAAAGAAGTAGAATATCCTTACGACTTTATTCAAAAGAAAGCGATTTGGCATATCAATCGAAACCAAATGTCGCTTAATACAAAGAAAGAATCGTCTATTTCAGGGTCACGTACGTTAAGGGAAACTTGCACGTTTCTCAAAAACATAAGTTGCAAGAAGCAGGATGCATCTTTGGCCTCATTCTCGACCGGTAGATTCTGTATTTAAGTGGATAGGTCACAATCGCTCACTTCCCCAAGTTTGTTAAAATAATTAGGGCCATATGCTCGTAGCTCTCAAATTACAGGATGAACAATTTTGACATAAATCCGAACGTTTATTTACAAAGACACCTTTAACGTCTCCGACTGTTTAAAGTAATTTTTGTGTCGGCGAAGATTTTAATATAAACTAGTTGGTCCACTCTTCGGGGCAACCCTTATATTTTTTATACAATAAAAAACTGGGATAGTACCGTTACTATCCTGTTTTTGTAACTGTACTTTAACCGTATAAAGATATTTTAATAGCGTTTGATTTTTAGATCAACAAAAAAAATGCGTTTGATGTCGCATGATGGCGAGTGGTCATTTTCAAATTTGGTAGGTATTTTTCCACATTTCGCTCGCTAAATTCTTGACAAACAACAATAAAACCTTTAGGACGAGCAGGTAGTTTTAAGTGTACCTGCTTTACAGAGCATTTTATTGGGGTGGCTTTTGTGAGAGTGCAGTGCAAAGTATTTAAGACTAATCCTCTGTTAGAAAGCAGTTATTTTTCAAGTCGCAGGCCTGGTTTTTTGTGTAACATCTGAATAGAATCCCTCTACCCAGACGGGCCTTTATCTAAAATTATTTGTACACCGTATGATATTACCAAGGTTATATTTTTTTGGTTTTCCGCGTACCTTAAATTAGTTTGCATAATTTACTGAAAAGCGCGTTCTGTAAAGTTTGTCCTGGGAACACGTTCGTCGTTCATATCATCGAACGTCCTGTACCTGCAATGTCCTAGTCGGCCATTGGGACTATAGTATTTAAATAAATTTTGATTTCTTCTTTCAAAATTATGCGTAATGATAGGAATGAGTTTACACATAACAGATAATTATTTCAATTAAGTATGAGGCGCGAAACGTCTCCCCAATATGTTCATATACCTGCTCTAAATAAATGAAACTTCCCCTCAATTACATAGTGGACGAAACATGTGTCATTCCGTTCCAGAAAATTCTATGAGCAATTAGGCAGTCAGCGAAATACTAGTAGGCATCCAGAACACTGTAGAATCGATATCTAGATTGTTGGATTGCTTTCGTCCATTTACACGTAAATCTTTGAAATGAAACAAACATTTCATTATAATGTGACTCAAACACAAACATCTGTTAGAATAATCAATTAATAATGTTAATTTCACAAATTGCAATGATTTTTTTTATGCTTCCATGTAATTTTTTAAATTTCACTAATGTTCCCGTTTCCTCAAGCTATTAGATGACATTTTCTCAAAACTAGTCGCTATTTAAATTCACAAATTAAATTAGAAGTATGGGGATGGTTTTATGTTTTACGCATTAACGATTTTTCAATTCTGATTGTTGGTGATATAAATATCGCACTTGTACTTAAGCAAATGTTGACGTAATTTCATAAATTGGTGAAGAAATTATATTTAGACGTTTGTTAAGGTATAAATATCAATTACTTTAAAAGTAAGCCCTAACTATCAACTTTAAATGCGCACAAAGTTTTTTTTTCAAGAATCTATCAATAATTTACCTTTTGGAGTTGCACAGAGGATCATTTGATAACCATTCATAAATATTTATCCGAGCGGGTTTCATAAGAGCTGATTGGAACAAGGAGTCCATTACCTCGATCCGGAAGCTCGCTATAGACCTACAATCAAAATTTTGAAAATAAAAAATCTAACATCCGCTCCAATTTGTTTTTGTGTTAGTCACATTTAAAAAATTAGCTAAAACATAACAGATTTTTAGGCTTGACTTTGATTTCAAAGGCAGCAAATTACAAGTTGGGCTTGGTAGGTGATATAAAAATTGTGCTGGTTCTAAGGTAAATTATGCTTTATGAAAAATTTAAATTAAATTCAAACCAATATAGACAAGGAGCGACAAAAACAGACGGATAGACACAGAAAGTCCAAATGACCAAAATTTAATCAGTTAGTCCCTAGACCATTACTTGAGTATTACTGAAAACAGAATTGGAAAGTTGAAACTGTTCGCGAGTTATCCTGTACACAGACGGATGGACAGAAAGTCCAAAACCATGAACGAACTGTGTCGCCTGTACAGGGTGAGTCAACGATTGCGCGGAGTAGCTTAATGCCTTGAAGATAAGATTTTTCGATAGAGTACTTTTGTATTAAAATATGGTTGAATATTCTCCACATTTTACAGGGGGTTCTATTTAAAAAAAATGTACCATTTGGGCGCCCTACGTTGTAGGCGCACCCTGTATAATTCCAAATATTTTTTAAATGTGGGGAATATTCAACCATATCATAATACAAAAACACTCTATCGAAAAATCTTATCTTCAAGGCATTAAGTTACTCCGCGTAATCGTTAACTCACCCTGTACATACATTTTTACCACCCGCACATTAGTAAGTTGCATTGGGGTAAAAAATACCCCCACCCCCTACTTTTTTAGGGAAATACACGTTTTGAAGCACCAGGAATCCGAATCAAACAAAATCTCTGTGATGTCGGTCTGTCGGCTAAACGGCTAAACCGATTGGAACCTAATTTGCGGTACACATATTCTTAGACATAAAAGGGTAGAATCACGCATGCGCAGGTGGTATATGTGCTAGCCACAGCAAATTTTAATGTTTCTTTAAGTTGAAATCTTACACAATAATAACATCCAACTTCCTCTCACTGTCTCACGTATACCTAACGTTTGGCTTCAAAATCCTCAAGATTTGGAAATGTTGAAAATATTTTGCAAATGACGAATGCTCTGGAAATTTACTGGAAATGTGGAACACCTGTAAGAAATTATCTCGGAAATTATGGAAATATTTTTTATACCTGGAAATTTGGAAAGATACCTACCCGAAATTATACTAACAATATGTGCACGAAATTTTTAAAATGTTGGATGTGTCTGTGAAATATTAGATATTTTCTAAACTTTTACTTAGCACCACTAAAGGCATGCGTATGCAAAATCTGAGATCACGTTTTACTTTCAAAGGCAGTATCTCAGGAAATAATTCGTGGGGGGGGGGGGGGGCTTTTTAGACACAAATTTGATGACCGTCTGGCACACCTTCAAGGTATAGGCTACCTAAGAAGTAGTTCAAAACGGTGGAAGTGGGCCCGGACGGACGGACTAAACGCAAACAATAGCACATTTTTTTTAATTCTTAAAAAATGCGCTATTTGTGGCCACTTTGTACGTCCGTTCGTCTGTCCGTGCGTCCATCCGTTGGGACGCTACTAGTGCTTTATCTTAAGAGCTATTGTTCTACTTTTTTCGCTATTTGGTTCGTTATGGTATCGAGGCTTGCACCAAGGAAAGAATTTTTTTCTGCGTGTATTGCTTAAAAAGTTATTGTTTAAAAACCAACAAACCGTTTTTTACATGTTCTATAATTTTACACTTTTGCCGTTTATTAACGATCCTAGAGATCGTTTATAATTTTGTATTACTGTCTGCCGTCTGTCTGTTGGTTTATCCGTCTGTTCCTTTGTCTGTCTGTCTCTCTATCTGTCCGTGTGAACAATCACTTTGTTTAGAAATGTCCGATCGCTTTGACATCTCCGTTAGTTGTAAACTGAATTGCATGAAATTCAACATGGGTATAGCTTCAGCCATGTATTACGCATTGCCAAAAGTTGAGTCGAATCGATTCACATTGCCCTTTTCACATCTCGACCATTTATAAACCGAATTACAAACTTTTTTATTTATAAAAGTATTCAAATGAAATTTGATACATAGGCACTTGGAATGAAGGAAAATCAAACGCCAGTTTAAAAATTTGGTTTTGAAATTCTTCTTATAAACTGAAATTGAAGTAGCACGTCAAAAATGGATTGCACATTGCAAAGCTATCTTTCATATTTGTGGCCGAATTTTTACGATTTTAACAGAAGTTGTATCTTATAAATGGGAAATGAATGCAAGTGGAAATGCGCTTTTTGTAAATCGTTTATACGATTACTTTTTAACTTGTTTGTTTGGTACGTATTTTCAATTTGTACCGAAAAAAGTAGGACAACAGCTCTTAAGATAAACATTTTATAGTGACAGCCATCGACCAGCGGACAAAGTAACCACAATAGCGGCACATTTTTAGCGCATTTCCACAAAAATAAAAAAAAATGCGCTATTGTGGCCACTTTGTCCGTCCGTCCGCTAACTTTGCGACGCTACTAGTTCTTTATCTTAAGAGCTATTGTTCTACTTTTTTCGCTATTTGGTTCGTTATGGTGTCGAGTCTTGTACCAAGGAAGGAATTTTTTCTGTACCGCTTACAAAAAAAGTTATTGTAAAAAAAACAAAAAACCGTTTTTTACATGTTCCATAATTTTACACTTTTGCCGTTTATTAACGATCCTAGAGATCGTTTATAATTTTGCATTGCTATCTGTCGCCTGCCGGGTGGTCTCTCCGTCTGTTCCTTTGTCTGTCTGTCCATCTATCTGTCCGTGTGAACGATAACTTTGTTTAGAAATGTTCGATCGCTTTTACATCTCCGTTAGTTATGAATTGAATTGCATGAAATTCAATATGGGCATAGCTTTAGCCATATAATACGCAATGGCAAAAGTTGAATCGAATCGATTCAAAATTCACAGTGCCCTTTTCGCATCTCGACCATTTATAAACCGAATTGCAAAATTTTTTACTTATAAAAGTATTTGAATGAAATTTGATACATAGGCACTTGGAATAAAGGAAAATCAAACGCCAATTTCAAAATTTGGTTTTGCGCATGCGCAGTGCCAACTTTTTTATTTATGGAAGAATTTAAACGAAATTTGATACATAGGCACTTGGGATAAAGGAAAATCAAACGCCAATTTCAAAATTTGGTTTTGCGCATGCGCAGTGCCAACTTTTTTATTTATGGAAGAATTTAAACGAAATTTATCCATAGGCACTTGGGATAAAGGAAAATCAAACGCCAATTTCAAAATTTGGTTTTGCGCATGCACAGTGCCAACTTTTTTATTTATGGAAGAATTTAAATGAAATGTGATACATAGGCACTTGGAATAAAGGAAAATCTAGCGCCAGTTTCAAAATTTTATTGTGCGCATGCGCCGTGCCAACTTTTTTATCTATGGAACTATTTAAGTGAAATTTGATACTTAGGCGCTTGGAACAAAGGAAAATCTTAGTTTATTAGTTAGTTATAGTAAATTAGTTTTAAAAATTAGGTTTGCGCATGCGCAGTTCCAACTTTCTTATTTAGAAAAGCATTGAAATGAAATTCTTCTCATAAACTGAAATTGAAGTAGCACGTCAACAATGGATTGCCCATGTGCAACGCTATCTTTCATATTTGTGGGCGGATTTTTACGATTTTAACAGAAGTTGCATCCTACAAATGGGAAATGAATGCAAGTGGAAATGCGCTTTATGTAAATCGTTTACGATTACTTTTTAACTTGTTTCTATATGTGGAGTTGCGCTAAAAAGTAAGTGGGGACTTACTTTTCGAATATCAACTTAGAGAGACGACGGTTTTCAAAAAATAGGAGAGCGGCAAAACGATTTTGATGTTTCTTGGTCATCAAAAATGCGTTAAATAACTTCTTGAGGATTGAAAGAATGCGTTTGGTTTGGGCCTTTTCCCGACAAAATCTGTGCATAAATAAACGTATAAACAAATATAGCAAACGAGCTCCTGGGTTTGGCTATAGCATGCGCAAAACCAAATTTTGAATCTGATGCTACATGCTTTTATTCCAGTGTTTAGTATCAAATTTTATTTAAATGCTTTCGTAAATAAGAAAGTTGGCACACTGCGCATGCGCAAAACCAAATATTTAAACTGGCGTTGCATTTGATTTTATTTCAAGTGCCTATGTATTTAATTTCATTTAAATATCTTCGTAAATAAAAAAATTTGCAATTCGGTTCATAGATGATCGAGTTCCGAAAATGGCACTGTGAATGTTAAATTGATTAGACCTCGGACTAGACTCCACTTTTGGAATTGCGTATTATATGGCTGGCGCTATGCCCATATGGAATTTCCGAGAGAAATTCATGCAATTCATTTCATCAATAACTAAGATGTCAAAAGGGCCTTCCTGATTTGTTGACCTACCCGATCTACATATTTGATCAAGAATCCAGCTACAAAATTTCATCGTAATCGGTCCATTCGTTATCGAGATATCGTGTTAACAGACAGACGAACCGACACCGTAATAGTATTTTACATTATTAGCCAGGTAAGTGAGTTTTTACTGGCGATAGGAGAAATTGACTGGCGAGCCATCAGGCGAGCCTGTCATCTCCTAGAGCCAGTAAAAACTAGTACCTGGCGTATAATGTACAATATTTTATTTGTTACTCATTTGTAAACAATAGTAAACGTAAATAATTAGTTCTTAAATTAATCTTGAAGAAATGTCTAAAATATCATGTTATCCATGTAACAGACTTCGCATTAATTCTGGCCAATGAAATTACTAGATTACTAACTTGTAAAATTTTTACAGGTCTGCTGTCAGTTTTACAAGTCAGTAGCGTTTAAACATGACGTTTACCCGTTTGCGTTTTGTCTTGTTAATCAACGTTTACAACTGAGTAACAAATAAAATTATAAACTCGGTAGGAGCTCGTTCATAAAACTTCTAGATATCTTCGTATAAATAGATTAAGTTAGGTTAATTGCTATACATATTATATTTATAAAAAACTCGAAGTCCATTTCTGTGACGCCTAAGGAGTTGCTGTGGGTTGCAGCAGGTTGACCTCTTGATATTTATAAGTTTTCGTTTGCTACCTATGTGACGTATATAGCAGTTGCACAACACACTCTAACAAATTGCGATAAAGACGGACAGACAGACGAACAAAAGCGCATTTTGTTCAAATTTCTAGCACTAATAGACGAATAGAATAAAACGGTTCCATCGAACTGTGCTATTTGCACCAAAAGTGACATAACAAACATAGGATTTCGAGTACGGTTTGCTATCAATTCATACAGATTTTAGCGATTCTTGCCTTTGCTTTAAGTTCTTCTGTAACTGTATTGTAATACAGCCCGCATAAGGGAAGTTTGAACGGAAGCTCATAGCGCCAACAATATAGTACCTACCTATCTATGTACCTAACTATCAAAACGGCTAATATTACAAAACGATCATCCCTAGTCTGTATAAAAACCCGTGAAATTGCAGGTTGGAACTATTAATTTTATGGCGTCTTAAAATTAGGAAGTGTGGGCCTCAATTTCAAATTTATTGGGGTTCCATTGTATAAATGAGGGCAGGAAGCCCTTCACAATTTTCACAGTTTCCATGTAATTAAACCTAATGGCCGGAATATAATATGAGTAAAATTAATTATAGAGTAATCAGATAGTCTTTGGAAGACCTATTGATAAGTTATTAAAGGAGGGCGACAATAAGCGAGAAAACCCGTATACAGTAACGTTTATTTTATTTCTGAGGGTAAATGGAAGCCATCCCTTTAAGTAAAATAAATCAATGAACATTTGTCGAAAATCTGAATTCCATACGGTCTCCGTTTCTAGGAAATCTACACGAAGGGCGGTGGTAAAGCATGCGCCCTTGAAGTGAAACGGATGTATACGTAAAGCGTGTACGACAAACACAAACATAAAATACCCTACCCGCACATGGCCCTTCTCAATACTAGTTCTGTAGGGTAGGTCAGGCTCCTTTCAATAAACGAACGCTTATGGACTACCGTTATCTATTGTTGTGGCTCGTAATGTTATGCCAAAAAGTTTTGTTCAGCTTAACCCAAATTTAATTTTCACAATTTGTACCGTTTTCCGCGTGGGAGTATTTTCTATTAAACCCATGTTTTATTATCTCAAAATTTACAAATTTCGGTCATGCGCGTCGTTATTAAAACAATTGCGAAATTTCTCGTTTGAAGACAACCGGTATCGGTAGAAAATATTTTCAACAACGTGCTTGCAAGCGCTTTACGCATTTGCAGCCCTTTTGTCATTGCTGATCGATGACTATCCAGGGACAGGCGCCCCTAACCTAGCTCGACTTGTTCCATAATGTAGATCAGAAAATTCCATTTATAAAGGAAACTTGAATTTAATTAACTGCCATTATTATTAACCGTCTAGCCTAAATCCAAACAGTCTGCCGGAGCCGGTGACACATTTTTTTTAATACCCAATGACACACATTACTTATACACATGATGAACAATAAAAAAACATCTAATATACCTATTAAAACCAGATAACATGTCTACATTCCGCTAATATTGCAAAATACAAAGGTTAGTATCAACAATCGAACGTACACAAATCATGCACAGAGTTAATTAATAATTACAAACAAAACTTGAAAAAAATTAAATGAAATGATCGCAAATAAAGGCAAATCGCAAATACTAGCCATAACCTCAAAGTTGGAACACTGTTTATAGTGCGGATTTTGTTTGTAATTACATAAAACAAAACACGATCACATTTATACAGGTATCATTGGTTAATATTAAAACCCCTACCTTAGGCACAATTCGTAAGGTGTGGGTGGAAGAAGTCCATGGCCCGGTTGGGTGATGTCACAACATTTCCACCCTTAAACACTGCGGTGCGGAACAAACTCAATAATATTTTCAGGTTTCGCCGATCAAACTTTACCCCCACTCTCGCATTCTATAGGTGCACTACCCTTACCCAACCAAGGGCTCCATACCCCTCTTAAAGATTTTCTCCCCCTTTTCCTTTAACGTTCGTTAAGATGTTTATTAACGAGCTGAATATATTTGCCACGGTTAGGCAACCAAAGTTACACTACTGCGCGAAGATTTCGAAGCATCTTCTATTGTTTTCGCGTTGCTTTGTGACATGGGCACCTGCAAAAACGCACGTAGGCATAAAATTTCGCCATAGACCATTATACGTATTTACATGTAAGGTGTTAATCAAGTTTGAAGTTAACCTTAAGTCCTTAAAGATCTAGAAGGACGGATCAAGTCAAGATAGCTTTTGTACCATTTTTTTACATTTCTACAACAGTTTTCTGTATATAGGAGAACATTGAAATCTGATATGGGATTGGTATAATTATATAGTATCCAGTTTCTCTATATAACAGATTCCCTTAGGTACCTAACAGTTTCTAGACATAGTTTTGTATTACCTACCTCTATACTATCTATATAAGTAGGTAAGGTACTTATATAATTATATGATCCGATTTTTGCTTTGACAATTTGCACTGCTTGCAAAGACCTGTCCAAGCTGAGACTTTAATACTGATGTTTTTTGTCACCCTATGCTTAGCCTACTTAGCCTATGCGTAAATCCACCCCTTCCCACGACCCGCTAGTTTATTTGTTCAAACAGTCGAATGCGTTTGTAAATGTAATAAATACACCACTTTGTGTAAGTAAAAACCACAGTAGTAGGTATCATTAAAATCTGAATAGGTATGTTATTTTACCTACTTTGCGTTATATATATATTAAAAGAACAGAGAATGATAATGTGATGGAGAAAGAAAGAAAGAGATAAGAAAAAAAGTACAACAGAAAATGTCAAGAAAAAAAGATTGAGAAACAGAAAGAATATGAAGAACAAATCTTGGAAATAAAAACAGAGGATTTTTGGAAGATAACAAACACATATAGCAAAAGGGAAAAACAGAGAAGTGGGGAGAAATATCAATAGAGGACTGAAAGCAATACCTTTTTAAAGTATTAGCAGGAAAGCAGGTGATAGAGGATCTAGGAAGAGAGGAGGTGGAAGGAGACCAAGATTTCAAAAGAGGAGTTTGAGCATCAACTAAAGAGACTGAAAAAGGAGAAAGCGGCAGGGAGGGATGAAGTAAGAAATAAAAGGCTTGAAGAGGGAACTGTGCAGAAAATCTTCAATGCTCTTGGCAATACTCAACAACCAACTGCACATGTCGTAAAAATTTAAAGTAATTATACACCTCCACAAAATTGAGAGTTTGAAGTTCCTCAAGGGATTGCATATCCCTTGCGCCATCATATACTGCTTTCAATTTGAGTGCGTGAAGCTGTGGTGCAGTTCGTTCGGAGCAGCTTACTTTGCACACATTTGAATTGACATTCACAGTATGTAAATAACCACAAACGTCCCCAAGCAAATAGGTGGTGCATGAGAGCACAAGGGAAATCCAATTTCGGACGCGTCAGAGCTCAAAGCTTTCTTAAAAGGAACACAGGGCATTGTGTACGGTACAGCTTAGAGTTCCTCTTTCACTCAAATGGAAAGCAGTAATAGTGTATTCTGTTCTTACACTATGGCGCCATCTAATCACTAATGTATAAGCAGCGGAAGTAGAACACTTTAGTGACATAGTCAACTATTTCTGAGAAGTATGCCTCTGCTCATATTTTATAATGGGCGATCAAAAATGACTTGTTGTTGAGTCGTCTTTGGAAGTTCAAATTAAGTACGATTTCCCATGTAAACAAAAATGTCAAAGGCGGCTCGATAGCAACTCATTTTTGATCGCATAGTACTCCTGAAACTGTACAAAAAAAACAAAACCAACATTCATAACAAAAATTTGCAGGCAAAACAAATGAAAAATTTAATTCCAAAACCTAATAAGTAGTGTAGGTATTCAATATTTTAAGTAACTTAATGTTAAATTCTTCGCTTCTGCGTACTTATGTACAAAACATTGTTTCCGCGAATAAAAGCATCACCGAACTTGTTTTTCAGTTGCCCATTCACATATTCTTCCGTTTGTTCTAAAGCAATGTTCATGTATCCATCTAAGCAAGCCAGGACTCCTGCAAAGTAATTTTCAGGTAAAGGTTAACAAGTGTTGATTAAAACCTCTATAATCAACACCACTGTTGAGCTTAACTACCACCGGCCGTTGATGGATTTGTTGAATAAACGAAGATAATGCTTCTTTTCTGCTCATTTTGTTTAACGTTATCGGTTTCAACGACTACTCCACTCACCAAATGGAAAATATTAAAATCTAAAGCAGAGGTTAGGTTTTTTGAATACACAATAACGCGAGGTTGCCGGACCGTCAGGTCTATTAATTGAATTGAACAACATTGCCATGTTTATTCATTTATCGTCAAATCTTCACTTGACACTTGACCCATTTTCAGACGATGAACAGAGATTTAAGAATACCACTTCACTCTGTTTAGGTATACTGTTTAAATTAAGAGGTCCGATACATAGTTTTCTTTCGTCCATATACAATAGGGAATGGTCCATGACAAAAACCACTCACAGTGGGGTCTATAACGGGTGTTAAGCCACCCCAGTGACCGCTTTGAATATGATTTTGAATTTTTTTTCAAAATTCCTACCACGAAAGCGCGCACCCCTCCTCGGAGGTGCGAAAAAATTCTGATTTCGACAAAATTTGGTATCTCCCATCTCCCTCAGGCCCTGCTCCAAATGTGGGCCACCCATATATCACATTTGTACGCCTCTTTCACGTTTTCTGGTGCCTACTTCCTTTTTCAAGTCTTCCTCACTATTCTCTTACATTTCCTTTTGACCTCATCCCACCATATACCTACTGACAAACCTTCATCATATCTTGTTCATTCCTTTGGTGTGCTTCCTACTCATTCACTCTTCTTTATATCTCTTACTCCTCTCTATCAAGTTTTCTTGGTATATAGTATACTGTTGTGACAAAACCAATCTTAGGGTTCGCTTTGCTTTCCCTATAGGTAGCTTCAAATTCTTTTCCTATTTTCCACGTACAGTATATCTTTATTTGGTGAACAAATAGTCAAATCAATTGAAATAAAATAAAGAAGCATAATTAATTAATAGTAAATTCGCCTTTGAATTTATGAAAAGCTACATATTTTATATTTATATTACATATATATTTTTATTACAAGAAATGGATATAATAACAAAAATTATTATGGTAGGTAGCATTTGACAATCTTGCTATTTACAATGGGTACAGAACATCCATACACAGGGTGTACAACAATCAAGTATGTGAAAAACAACCCATTGTTTTACATACTTAATTGTTACACCATAACTACAAGTATATAGGCAGTACAGCAGGACAATTACGTCACGTGATAGTTCAGAATGTAAAATCAACAACATATATTTAGATACAACACGTATCCACAGGGCTTCATTTCTAAATCTCCACAAACAGTTAAAATGTTTATTGAAAATTGTATAAAATACATTATGCAAAGTCCTACTAGAAACTAAACAAAAGAATTACTAAATATATTAAAATCATATGAAGAAAAACAATGTGTATCAAATGAATCATTTTCATTTGTTTCTAAGAAAAGAGAGCTCTTAAACTTCGCTTTATTACTGTCATCATCTTGATGCACGTCAATATCACGACCTACAATGCTACTTTCACTGCTATCATTGTCTTTTGAATTATCAGCACCGTCTGTTTTTGAATCACTTGTCGTTTCCTTACTTAATTTGTCAGTTGAGTTTGCATTAAGACTCTCACTAAGTTCCTCACTTTCCACTTCATGCTTACCAAAAAGATCAAAACGTGTCAAGTTGCTTTTATTCAAAATGCTACTGGGAACTGTTTCAATTGTAGGTGAAGGGTTTTCTTCGTTACAGGTTTTCTCCGCATGCAACCTTAAAGTAATAGAAATTAGAAAAATGTCAATTATGACCTATGTGCACACCAGTCACTGAATCTTTCATATGTAAATGCAGTTCCACGCTCCTCATATTGCTCCTTTGTAACGAATAGTGATTTTAGTTTAGGATCTGCTGACAGACTTTTCCCACCTTGCCATGCAAAAGTTATGGGGCTAAAAAAATCCACTAATATCATCCCATTAATGACACAGTTAATTACTTTTCGGGTTTATGAACATTGACACTCCAGTGATCGGGCAAGTAGGAACGCAAGTCGAAATATACACGCTCTTTAAACCCAGGGAAATTACAATTCCCACCCATTAGAACGATGTGTTTGGCTAAGTGAGGCCGTTCTTTTTCTGGACACGCATGAATACACTTAACGATGCATTCGGCAATGCCCACACTCTCTATACCAATATCAGACGGATGAAATAGAAGTTCAGGCACAGTAAATCTTTCATTATTCAGTCTTAATATCTGACAACCTTCCGCAATATGATCAGCAGCTCCTTTCGATTCCTGAACATATCTAGAAATTGGGATACTTTCTATCAGAGCCGATTGGGAAAACAATACTTACCCACGTCTGATATTGTTAAAATCTGGCAACACATAACTTTTGACAATTGAATTTGCGTCCCCATGTAAACCTGCAATTCGCATGTCTTCTTTAAAATTGGAAGAAACATAACAGCTATCTTCTTTTACTTGATTAATGACATATGTCTCGTCCATAACATGCAGTTGGCGGTAGGAAATAATCTCCTTTAGGTAGTTGGTAAGCATCTAGAAAAACACTAGTATGAGCCTGGTGTAAAATAATGAAGTGTACGAACTGTGAAGGAACATGGGGGTTCATGCACTCCAAGAAAAAGGCAAATTTAAGTTGATGAGTCTACCGCACCTGCGTTAAACAAATCACAATTGGGGGCATTTGGTGGCCACTGATTCAAACTCAGGATCTCACAAATCATTATTGAAAACTGTAACCATGGTTGGTACATGAACATCCTCATGCTCAAATGATCGAAAAAACCACTTTCACTCAAATGAGTGCAATCATGATTTTCTACAAATACACCTCCATAATCCATTACCAAAAATTCTATACACTCAGGCTATTCACCTATTTTTTTACATTGAATCCACCATGAACTGGATTCACCTTGTTATTATATTACAGACATACCATGGTATGAGCACAGCACCAATGAATGAGATTGTAAGGCAAAAGAACATTATGTTGGGTAACTCACAAAAAACTTACTTTACCACCAACATTGATCCTCCGAGTTGCTGGATAATACTTTTTACCATCAATGTAAGGCACCACTGTAGTGTAACTAAATCCAGAGTCCACTACAATACAAGGAACATTTTTACCTTAAACAAGAAAAGGGCAGTAATCGAATTTAAACCAGCAAAAGAACTTTACCTGCAACACGATTAACATATTCATACTTAGCCAAATCGCAAGGATTAACTCTCAACATAGATTTAATTTCATATTCTTCAAAAAATATTTCGTCAGTAATTTCTTGTATGGTTTTAAAGTTGAAAATCGGCTGTGTCATGATAACACCTTTATCTTCGATGTGTGAAACATTATTGAACATGTAATCCCATACAGGTTTTTGAACAGTCCATTTAACAGTAAAACCTTTCTCGCATGGCAGTAAGTAGTATAAGCCTGAGAGATCACGACATTCTTCAATTTGATTGCCAATAAAAAACCTTTTCCTTTCCGATTTCACTTTCATTATGCAATTTGGTATGATCCTGCAAGTATAGCATTATTACAATAGGAGAAGGTAAGTTGAAACTGGTACTTCGCTGATTCATCTGAAGATACACCAATTTTAGCGGTATATGCGCCATTGTCAAGTATCAAGATCGGTGGACCGGCATACTTTTCTATAATTACAAGTTTAGATTACATGGAAAGGTGTATTAGCCTTGCCTTTATTAGTTTTTGAGGTAGATGGGGAAAGTTCTTCAGTTGTGGGTCTTCTGCTACGAGTTTTATCGCTTCGAGAGCGATTACTGTAGGTTCGTTCTATTTTTAAACGTTTTTCCGGAATTTCATCACCTTTAGAAAGCGACATAATCGTCTTTCTTAATGGAAAATGAGATGAAATTAATAAATTCTACCGGTATGTTTGTTTTTAGGTTATGGTTACACTTGTACTTGAGTAGTGTTTATAAACTGGTACATTGAAACTACTTTTTCACAGAAGGTATCAAATTAACTATTTCAGTACTATACAGGGAGGCCCATGAGCCACATTCAAACAGAATCGTGTGTCGTTTTCAGATCATTGTCGACATTAGCATAAACTGATTCACTTTAATTAAATCATCCTTATTTACCTTTCTTATAATCCTGATGTGCCCTTGTTTAGATACTAGGAATATCTATATCAGGCGTTTCTATTGATTACTACAACTGTCTGATAAAACAGTTGTCTATATAATCCGGCCAAAAATCGAACTTAATCTATTTGTGTTTCAAGAATTTAGTGTCATGGAAGAAAAAAAACGTTCTTGCATTTTTAGTAGAGAGGAAGAGTCGAAAAGTGTTTAAAAATTGATTTATTGGAGACACGCTGTTATTTCTGAAACAGGAATGTATGTGTGAATAAATTTGCATTTGATAAAAAACGATAAAAACTTACACATCGCAGCCCATCTCTATATGCCGATGGTTTAGGGGTGCTCAAATTCCACGGTGCACATGAAAAAGGAAATTTGGAAAAATCCTACGGAGAATACGGGCATTAGAGTATCAGCAAAAATCCTTTACTGAATAGTGTAATTGAACCAACGATCACGGATTACTATAACTTCATTGATGTCTTTGGTCAGAAAATAAAAAGTATTATTAAAAAACAATAGTAGCAAAAAAATGGGACTTTATTGTCACGAATAGTAAAATAAATAATTTTAAGCAAGTGCCCATAAATAAAAATAAATAAATATACGTAGACAAATATTGTATAAACGCAGACGTCCCCTCTGCCCAAAACATTTAGTTTTCTAATATGCGAACTAACAACTGAACAATATCAAAAATGAACAATGTAGAAATCCAAATGCTTCACTTGATAAAGGTGGGTGATACATCCGACTATGATTCTGATTCAAAAATCTTTTCGATCTTTGGTTATTACGCGTATCTACTAATCCATCTTTACGATTTTGCCGGATGGCGTATAGTAGGTGTACACAAGGCTAAATGCTATAAGCATTAAACGCACACATTTTAAAATACAGGTCATTTAGATTAAATTTAAGATAAAGTCCAAGTGTCTAGAGAATTGATGAATAGTGATAATTTGTACCTACTTACTGTATTCGTATTGTAAAAAGCTGTGGGTACCTGAAAAATTATGTAAAACTCTTGAACGTTTTATAAATAAGTACCTATCAGTAGTATTTTAAAGTACAAATAGGTACTTGTTTCCATAAAAAAAAAGTACTTCTTGCAAATTTCAGCACCAGTCAAAATATTTCAAAGGTAGTTGAAGTAAGTTATTTTAAATATGTATTTAATTTACTGATTACCATATTTAAGTAATATTTTGTAATAATGAGCAGCACTGTAAAACTGCCCAACATTACAATTAGCTAGCAGAAAACAAAAGTTTATACTGTAGTGTACTTAACCCCCCAGGTCCTACGCTAACTTCACACTACAAGAACACGTAAATAAAATCAACCCGGCAACGTTTAAAAATGCCCACACGAATTCCCTCTAAAACTAAACAAGATCCCGCTTAAATTTGAAAAGTGGTACGTGATAAAACATCTAAGGCAGGGCCCCCTTACGTTAGTTGTAGACAACGCTTTGACCTGAAGCACAGTAGGGAAGGAACGTTAAATAAAACACTGAAATTGTGAAAAGTTTGTTTAATAATGATCGTAATTATTATGATTGTGAAAACCCGGAAATTTAGTTGATGTACATTAATATAAACAAAACAAACAAAGCCAAAAGGTGTCGTACTCTCGCAAAAGTCACTGCCAAGGATAAAAAGAGTACGACGTAAGAAAAACCTTGCAGTTTGATTAAAACAGTCCAAAAGTTAATTAACAAAATATTTTGTAAAAGTTTTAGCAGTAGTTAACAAAGATAGTAAATGCATATACACAAGGATGGTTACACTCAAGGTTAAAAGCAAGTTTTTGGGGACAATGAGAAGCAGGTACCAAGATTCTGAGAAAGGGTTAAAAATACAGAATGTGACTCATCTTTGGTGCAATAAAGTCCTTTTGTTGAAAGCAAAATGGAAAACTACATGGCCTTGTAGGCAAATTTGACTAAAAAGAAGATATGTGGAAATTATTGAATCGCCACTCATTTAACGCACATAGATTCTAAACTGAAGAGCTTTGATTAGCGTAATCTCGCTCCTGCAAGATTGGTAGTCCGCCCCTGGTTTCGGGGTTTCGAACCTACAGTTGGATGTCGAAGACAGAGCACGGAATTAGGTGCCCTAACACATAATTATAGACTACAGTTTCTTTTTCCACTTCCCCGAGACTGCTTCATTCACGGAGAAAATTGTTAGTAACATACAACAAGTCAGTACATACATCAAACAAATCAGCAATTTCCACATATTAAAATAAAATGAAAACTTACATGAATGTAACTTCAAGGACAAGACCAAGTAATCAACATCAATAAACATAAATTAAGCAAACATTACACCAAAAATGTAAACAATTATAAACAATAGCATAACGGTATCACACATATGATTGCAATGCGGTTAAACCAAGTAAATTTCAAAAACAAATATTGAAACACACAAAAAATATAAAATGCGGCAAACAAAACACAAATACGATATAAAGAAATGCAAAAATTACTACCTGCATTAAATAACACAAAATAACAACAAACATTTATGGAGCGAAACGTTCACTACCGCCATTCAAGACAAGATCTTTACGCATACATCATTTTTACAAAAGTGATCTCTCCCACCAGGCCAAGCTTGTAAAGCAGATGTTTTGAATCGGCATTAGTTTTACTTTTACTCGAGGTGCATATACACAATTTGATTTAAATATCTTAATAAATTAAAGAATTGGATTGCGCATGCGCATTTTTTTAAAATTCATCTGCATAGTTTGAGGTTTACTAACACAGAAAACCGCACATTCATATCTTTGTGATAAGAATTATAAAAGAAGCCATTATTTTGGAGTGTTGGGCAGTTTTGGGCTGTAACTTTTTGACCCGTTAGTCTACCTAGCTGAAAAACAATAGTGACCTTTCTCATATCCTTAACGAACGTACGTGTGGACCAATTTTCAAAGTGATCGTACGTTTCTAAACAAAGTTATTCTGTACACGGACAGACAGAGAGACAGACAGTAATATAAAATTGTAAACGATCTTGTAGATCGTTAATAACACAGTACTTTTAAAAACCCCGCGCGGGAAAGCTTAATTAATGAAGTTGGTAAATTTGTGATTTTGACGGAGTCTAAGACCCACATCTATTATATTGTATTACATAGAAGCTATAGTAATTTGATCTAAAATATATACCTAGTTTGGTATATAAAAAATACCAAAAGAACTATTGTCAGTTTGAGGTTGTATTTAACTCTGGTTAATAGTTCATGAACACCCTGTAAATGAAACTATTTGTTATACGCTATTCTATGTTTCTAAACACGTTACAGTAGCGTTTGCGCGCATTGAATAAATTGAATTTGAAATCTGATGCAACATTTCGTGAATTATTTGCAATTCCAGATAATTTCAATAGTTGGTGTTTAATACGAGTGAACTTACAATGGAGCTTTCTAGTGTTCCCGAAACGATAAATTTTGCGGAAGAAGAAGTAAGCATTTTAGATTATTGGAACGACATTGACGCATTCAAAACGTCATTGAAACAGTCAAAAGGTAAACCCAAGTATTCTTTTTACGATGGCCCTCCTTTCGCGACTGGTTTGCCCCATTATGGGCACATTTTAACCGGTACCGTTAAAGATATCGTTACCCGTTATGCTCATCAACGGGGATATTACGTTGAGCGTAGATTTGGATGGGACTGTCACGGTTTGCCCATAGAAATGGAAGTCGACAAGATGTTGGGTATTAAAGGCCCCCAAGACGTTCATAAGTTAGGTATAAGCTCGTACAATCAAATGTGTAGGGCGATGGTAACCAAATATGCCAAGGAGTGGAAAATTATAATGGGCCGTATTGGACGTTGGATAGATTTCGACCATGATTATAAAACTATGTATCCGTGGTATATGGAAACTGTATGGTGGGTATTTAAACAACTATATTTAAAGGGCTTGGTATACCATGGAACGAAGATAATGCCCTATTCAACTGTGTGTGCTACCCCATTGTCTAACTTCGAATCGGGTCAGAATTACAAGACTGTTACGGATCCCGCCGTTACCGTTTCGTTACCAATTGTTGGTGATACAGAAAATGCCGCTTTCTTAATTTGGACAACAACACCCTGGACGTTACCGTCTAATCTCGCCATTTGTGTCAATCCCCACCTATTGTATGCTCGAGTAAGGGAGATAAGCACAGGTGAAGTTTATGTATTGCTCAAAGCGAGACTCAAAACTGTATTCAAACTTGAGGATTACGAGGTTTTGGAGATTTTTTATGGCAAAGAACTGCGCGGTGTCGCGTACGAGCCTGTTTTTTCGTACTATGAACGTCTAAAATCGAAAGGCGCCTTTCGAGTCCTAACAGATGATTACGTCACCGAAGAATTTGGAACAGGAATCGTCCACCAAGCACCGTATTTCGGTGAAGACGACTATCGCATTTGCTTACAGGCGGGAATAATTAGCGTCGAAGACGAGCCCATTTGTCCCATCGACGTAAAGGGCCGTTTTACGATGCCCATAACGGAATTTAAGGGGAAGTATTTTAAAGATGCGGACCCCAGTATCATAGAGTTACTAAAGGAAAAGAAGCGACTCGTACGACTGTCCCATATACAACATTCTTATCCGTTTTGTTGGCGATCGGACACGCCACTAATTTATAAAGCCGTGCCGTCGTGGTTCATTCGGGTTGAACATTTGTCAAAGTTGCTCCAGGAACACAACTCGAAAACGCACTGGGTGCCGGAATTTGTCAAGGAAAAGAGATTCGGTAATTGGTTGAAGGAAGCAAGAGATTGGGCTGTGAGTCGTAATCGTTGCTGGGGTACACCGATTCCTATATGGATGTCGGAAAGTGGCGGTGAAATACAATGCGTTGGGAGTATTTCTGAATTAAAACGGTTAACAGGTGAGAATACGTTATTCTTAAGTTTAGTTTGAGTACAGGCGGTAAAATAATGCCAATTGAAATATTTCTACCTTCAAGACGTAATAATATTCTCTGAGTGTGAATGAATTAAAATAAGGCGAAACATAAAACTCGTGCCATTACAGCTCCCGCGTTTTATTTCTCAAAATTGTTCACAAACTTTGAAATTTTAAACGTTCTTCTTCTGTAATTTTTAATTTTATCTTGGCGGCAAAAAAATCATATTAACCATGGTAGAAAAGTCCGGCAATACAAAAGTGGCGAAATACCGGTGTGAAATTGCAACAAAGGATCCGATGTTTAAAACAACTGACATATTTTAACCAATGAGAATCTCGATTTGTTGGATATCGGAAAAATGTTTCGAATATGTAAAAATCTCGCGTCGAAGTTGGATGCACTATTGCAGCCAGTTTCTCTCCCACCGTTGATCAAGTGATCTAATGACAAAAAAAATCATTGTACATTCCAATGACATCTGTCATTCTTATTAAAAATGGGACGCGGAGCACGAAAAAAAATGAATATATGAATATTTTCTCATTCTGCTCCAATCACACTCCATTCTATTACATATTCGCTATTGTTGTAACTTGGAGGAAATAAAACTCATCGGATTGCGCTCTATTTGCATACTGCATTTATATTTCTATATTCAAGGATACCCACCTATGTGATAACGTATACAGGTACCTACATTTATCACACCTTCACCCTTATTTGCAAACTTCCTTAAACTAAATACAAATTCTTATTTACATCAAAAAAGAACAACAAAATTTTATTTTCTAGGACGCAATTGATATCGTTCCTGTACAACTGGTTGGGATTGTACTAAATCTACGTCACTTATCACTTGCGATGACGTACTAGGTCCACTATCAACATCGACGCACACTGTCTTATCGGTGAGGTGGGGAACAACTTGTGACGTACTAGGTGACTTATCTACCTCCACTTTTACCTCTTCGTCGTTCTTGTTCCATGTTGAAACCAATAATGAATTTCTGTTATTATTAATCTTTTCAATCACTCGAATTTGGTCCGAATGTCTAATTACATTTTTCCCTGTAGATGTTTCAACATCGAACAAGACGGACCCTCGCTTGTTGGCAATTTTCCCGAACATTCCCACGGGATGGATAGGTGTAGTATAATCTTTAATAATGACCTTATCACCTACCTCAATAACTTTATTTCTTCCGCCAAAATTTTCTACCTGTTTGATTACCTTTTCCTCGACTGTTCTATAACGATTGGGCATAATTAAATCTAGTCGATTTTTAAGATTCCTGCCAAACATGGCTTTGGCTGGGCTAATTCCTGTACTGCTGTGTTCACTATTGCGATAATCTAGCAAAAAACGACATAAAAAAGTATCCGGATTATGCTTTTCTAAATAAGCCTTCTTTAAAGCTTGCTTAATTAATTTGACAGCATTTTCCGCTGCTCCATTGCCTTGTGGATGGTAAGGAGGTGTAAACAATTGCCTGATACCATTATTTTTCAAAAACGTTTTGAAATCTGAGGATGTAAACGGTGGGCCGTTATCTGAGACTACCGAATCTGGCAACCCTAACTGACTAAATAATTTCATCAGCTTCGAAGCAATGTTTTCAGCCGTGGTGGAATTAACCTTAGTAACTTCCAACCACTTTGTGTGAGCATCTATGACAATTAAGTACTTTTGTCCATTTAGCGGACCCAAGAAATCTATATGTAACCTGGACCAAGGTCGATGTGCAATCGGCCACGGATTTAATGTAGTTCTTGAAACATTTGGCCTTATTGTACTACAAACCATACATCGTTTGCACATTTGTTCGATGTCATAATCGATATTGGGCCACCATACATATGATCTCGCCAAAGACTTACATTTATTAATTCCTAAATGACTTAAGTGTAATTCTTTTAAGATATTTGGTCGCAATTGTTGAGGTATTATTATGCGATAACCCCATAGTACACAACCTCGTACGATATGAATCTCATTTAATTTTTGCTTTTCATAAAACGTTGCGAATTCTTTATCCAAGTTGTCCTTATGCGGCCACCCATGTAAACAAAATCCTATAATTCTGTTTAATACAGGATCTTATGATTTATGATCAGTTAGTAATGTAAAGCTTCTACCGTATAAGAATTGATGAAATTTCTTAACGCCATATACAATTGCTAGAGCCTCTTTATCAATTTGGGAATAAGATTTTTCCGCCGACGATAATGTACGTGATGCGTACGCTATCGGTTTTACGTCCCCGTTATCAAATTTATGCGATATGACCGCTGCGATGCCATAAGCACTCGCATCAACTGCTAAAATAATCGGCAATTGGGGGTTGTAATGCACTAACACTTTAGATGACATTAATTGTGATTTAATTTTTTCAAATGCTCTTTGTTGAGCTGTTTGCCATTGAAATGGCTCGTTTTTCCTTATATTAATAATTTATATAAAGGATACAAAATATTAGTGATACCTGGTAAAAACTTGGCGTAATAATTTACTAAGTCTAAAAATGCCCTCAACTGAGTCACATTTTGCGGTACCTTTACCTTTTTAATGGCTTCCATCTTGATCGGATCAGTGTGTATACCTTCTTTGTCGACTAAGTACTGAATTTGTGTCGTTGCGAACGAACATTTATTTACTTGAATTTTTAAATTAACTTGGCTTAATTTGTGGAATACCTCCATAAGTGTTTTTATATGGGTTCCTTCGTTCTCCGATGCGATCAAGATGTCATCCAAAAATATTACCACATTGTCGATGACAGCAAAAATATTTTCAATGAGTTGTTGAAAAATACCTGGGCTGGATGCTACCCCATATGGCAACCTGCTATACTGAAACAGACCCTTATGGGTATTTATAGTGACCAATTTTTTTGATTCGTCGTCTAACTCAATCTGCGCATACGCCTGCGAAAGATCGATCTTACTAAAAATCGCGCAATTTTTTAATGACACCAATAGATCGTCAATTTTAGGAACGGGGTATTTATTGATATGAAGATTGGGATTTAAGGTTATTTTAAAATCGCCACAGATTCTCACTTGGCCATTTTTTTTAAGAACCGGGACAATTGGAGTTGCCCACTCGCTATTATTAACTGGATTTAAAATATCCAATTTGATTAAATTGTTTAATTCCTCCTCCACTTTACAGGTTAGAGCAAATGGTAACGGACGTGGTTTGCGATAAATCGGAACTGTGTTTTCTTTTAAATACAATTTAGCCTTTCCTCCATTAAACTTACCCAAATCGTTACCAAACACGCCGGGAAATTTATCAATTAACATTTTTGAAATCCTGTTCGGTTGATTATTATCAATATGAAAAATGTTATCAATCGAAATATTAACCTTTTTTAACCAATCTCTGCCAATAAGTGGAGGTCCCCCATTTCTTATAACAAATAATTTCAAATTATTTACAGTTGTGTTGTCATACGTGACATTGACTACACAATATCCGATAGGTACATTTAATATCGTTGCCATTATAACTTTTTAAATGGATATCTGAATTTATAAGATTACATTGCGAAAAATGTTGCAAATAAAATTTATCAGAAATCGCCGAAATTCCTGACCCTGTGTCAACTTTCATTGTGATCCATTTATTATTTACCTGTATGCACATTTTTATAGGCTGGTTATTTATCGAGGCAATCGTGAAAATGTTTAAATCATTTAAATCTAAATCCGACTCCTCTAATGAAACATTAACATATTTATGATAATTGCTATTCGCTCGTGATTTACCTTTACAAAATGAAGCGATGTGTCCCTTTCTTTGGCATAGATGGCACTGCGCATTACGAAAAAACAACTATCGTCTACATGATTAGATTTACCACAGTGATTTGAGTGATTGCACCTGCTCCTTCGGTATCCACTGCGCTGACCCTTTTCTTTGGGCTCTTCCTTGCACGCTACCCTTCTCCTCGCCGCCTGCAATTTATGAACCGCCACTACTGACGAAGTTCCGGCGATCAAATGGGAGTTGGTCTCTGCTGCTTCCATCCCCCACAGCAATTTCCTGTGCTTTTTGGAACGTGAGTGACGTCTCCGCGAACAATCGCTGTCGGATGGTTTCACTCTTGAGCCCGAAGACTAATTGGTCTCGCAGATTTTCCTCCAATTTTTCTCCAAATTTGCAATCTTTAAGCTAATTTTTTTAAATTAGCCATGTACACTGCCACTGACTCCCCAACGTCCTGCTTGCGTTGGCGACATTTATATCTTTCCGCTATTTCGGATGGTTGCGGCTGGAGATGGTCTTGCATCAGCTTGACTAGATCTTCAAACTTTTTATCTTCTGGATTGGCGGGGTTGCACAAATCCACCATTAAATCAAACGCTTCCCCTCCGATGACGGTAATTAATATTGGCGTATACTTGCTAGCCTCAATTTCGTTCACCTTAAAATACTGTTTTAATCGCGCGATATATGACGACCAGTTTTTATCTTCGATTTTGTATTCTTGAATTCTACCGAGAAGCGCGGCCATTTTATTTTAATAGGTATATTTATTTGGATTTAATATTAATTTACTTTTAGGTATTTATCAAACGTGTTTACCTTAATTTAATTTAGGATATTTAATTTACTTTAATCCTCGTCGCCACTGTTGTAACTTGGAGGAAATAAAACTCATCGGATTGCGCTCTATTTGCATACTGCATTTATATTTCTGTATTCAAGGATACCCACCTATGTACATGATAATGATAACGTATACAGGTACATTTATCACAGCTATTCGCTTATATTATTTTTTCACTACTAGCGTCTGATGACATGATTATTAACCTTTTTTCCACTTGTAAAGTAGGCTTTCTCGGCATTTGTTCAAAGTGGTTAATAATTTTTTATTATTAACTAGTAGTCAATAATGAGAACTGTCACGCTGTCACTTTTAGAAAACACAGCCCGAAATTTCGCTCAATAAAAGTTTAGACAAGTTCTCTAAAATGAATAATTGCCACCATCCGCCATTTCCAGAGAAATTACATACCGAAAATTATCACATTTTGAGAAAATTCGAACGAAATTACTCTTTGAAAATATCTCAATGACAGAACAAAATACGGCCTGTTTGACTTGTACTTCTACGTACTTGATTGACATGTTAAATTAAGAAACAAAAAATTCTGTCCAACCGCGTTCACTTTCTTATCAATATAAGCCTCGAGATGTAATCTTGGTGCTCAGGCAATAATACTGTACTTCTCTACCTTGATATATAATGTACTATTTTAAATTATTGTTACCATCTGATAAGCTATGAATATATTGAATCAATCGACTTCAATAGCATTTTTGTTTAGGAACAAAAATCGAAGACTTGCACCGTGAAAATATCGATCACTTAACTATTCCATCAAAAACACCAGGGAATCCACCACTCCGACGCATACCTGAAGTATTCGACTGCTGGTTTGAATCGGGATCGATGCCTTATGCTCAGAAACATTTCCCCTTTGAGAATGTGAGCGATTTCTTCGATAGTTTCCCCGTCGACTTCATCGCAGAGGGCATCGATCAAACAAGAGGATGGTTTTACACCTTGCTGGTGATTGCAACAAACTTGTTCGGCGTGGCACCGTTTAAAAATGTAATAGCGACCGGATTAGTTTTGGCAAGTGATGGACAAAAAATGTCCAAACGCAAAAATAATTATCCGGATCCGGTGCAGATAATTTCAAAATACGGCGCGGACGCGCTACGTTTGTATTTAATCAATTCGCCGGTAGTCCGAGCTGAGAATTTGTTTTTTAAGGAGGATGGGGTACGTGATATGGTCAAATACGTACTTCTTCCATGGTTTAATGCGTACAGGTTTCTTGTGCAAAATGTTGAAATGTTCGCTTGTCAAACAAGTGTAACGTTCAAGTTTGAGGATGCTGCGGTTGATGCTACAAATATCATGGACTTATGGGTTTTGTCCTTGACACAAACGTTATTGAAGCAAGTAGAAGAAGAAATGACTTCGTATAATTTATACAGTATAATTCCTCGTGTAATAAAATATTTTGAAAATTTAACGAACTGGTATTTACGAATGAACCGGTCACGTTTGAAGGGCGAAACCGACAAAGAGGACTATATGCGTGCGCTGTTAACGTTGTTTTCAGTTACGCTTACGATGACAAAGGCTTTGGCACCATTCGCTCCTTTCTTTTCCGAATACGTCTATCAGAACTTACGCAAGTGGTGTGCTTCCGGAAACGAAAGCGTCCATTTTTCAATGTATCCCAAGTATCTGGGAATGTATCTCAAGAGCGATACCGAAAGATCCGTGTCACGCATGCAAGAAGTTGTGGAAATGGGCCGAACACTTCGAGACAAGAAATCATTACCTTTAAAATATCCATTACCTGAACTGATCATAATACCCCAAAGTGAAGTATATGTCAATGATATACGATCTCTTCAGAGCTACATCTCTACGGAAATGAATGTTAGAACAATCACTATTTCACGCGATAAGGCCAAGTATGGCATTGGTCTGCAAGCTAAACCGGACTACAAAGCATTGGGGACGAAGTATAAATCGGAATACAAGGCAATTTCCAAAGCCATAGAGTCATTAACGGATGCTGAAATTAACGATTTATTCACCAACAGGCAGTTTAACAAAGATGGTCAATGTATTGACACTTCTCTTGTTCGGTTTGTCTACAAGACCGACGTGTCTGTATCCAAACAATACGAGTTAGGGGTCCACAATGAAGTAATAGTCCTACTTGACGTGCGTCCCACGTCCGACATGCTCGAGGAAGGTACGGCCAGAGAGATTGTCAATCGCATCCAGCGTTTGAGGAAGAAGTCGCATTTATCGCCGATGGATAAAGTAAAAGTATATTATAAAGCTTCCCGGCGGTACCAAGCGATTGCCGAAAAATATCTGGCATTTATTGAAAACGGGATTAAAACGACATTCGAGCCAATTACAGAGCACAATATCGGCAATAATGAAACGATTGTTATTGACCATCAGTCTTCCAAAGATGGAATCCTACAGATAATCTTAGTTAGTCCTAGGGGTAACATTCTTCCGTTTACTAAATGGGTTAATGTGGTTTATAAGGACCGAAAGGGATTGATATTATTGGAAACAGCAGTGAGTTCACTTACATTAAACGAGTTAGTGTTAAATGTAAAATGTTTGTTCGATATTTACGAAGATGTTTCCCTGTGGTCCGCGCGTGGAAGACTACTTCAAGATGAACAAATGTCTATACTGGATGGCGAAACAATTTACGTTTTACCACCCAACAGCGAATGTCAAATGTTCGGAAAAGAGCAACCGTTTTGCAAATTCCTTAATTTTGTGGAACGAGGTGTATCGGGAACTATAATATTGGAAAATCCCGTTGGAACCAAAACTATCGCAGAAAAGGATTATTCAAGTGTAATCAGGAAATGGTTTAAACCGTACCACTAGATAATTTTTTGATGTTTAAAACTTAAGTTGAATTGAAATAAATGTAACGATATACCTAGTGTTTTCAAATGTATTTCAGAAAGATCATTTAGAAGATATCCCCTGTTCATTGTTGTAATCATTTCCATAGTCGTTTTGATTTTATAGGCGTAATTTGGGAGCTGCAATCAGCGACACTGCATCAATTTTTAAACTTTAAAATTTTGAAACAAAAATTACTTTATGTCTTACTAACCTATCATAGCACATTTTATATCTGTGATACGCGGGCATAAAGTACCATTTTATGCCCTAGGGCATTAAGTACCTATCACCATAGTAACTCATTTATACTTAATGACAAAACAAACAAATATTTGCAGGTCATTGAAAATTAGAAACGTCAATTATTAATTGTCAATAGGTACTAAATCACAAGATTGGCCTTATTTCGTATAGTTTCTGGAACTTCTTGCTCATTACGATGAATTGAATTATTTAAAATTACGTTTGACGTTTGGATGGTTTCAATCACATTAACAAATTCGAACCACGCATACTCGATCAAACATAATGAATTATTTTGTAAGCGATTTTTGACGAAGAAAACTGTTTGTAAAACATAAAATTGTGTATGTACCACGGGCATAAACTGATGTTGATACTCTCGGGCGACTAAAAAGCTCTCGGGCCATAGGCCCTCGAGCTTTTTAACTCGTCGCCCTCGAGAATATAAACATCACTATTATGCCCTTAATACATAAATAACTATTAATCCATACACCGTTAGAAAATAAAAACTCTTTAGGCCCTTCAAGTACCTTGAGCCTCTTGAGGACCGTATAAGTTCCCCTCATTAGTCATTATTCTAAATTACGTTCTGAACTTTTCATATAACCAACGGTATTTTCTTCCCCAATACGCTTCTAAACGAAACTTGTGCGAATCGTGCGTAAGCATATGTCGGTTATTGTTTTTTAATTGTCTTTTGTCTTTTTAAATCTCTTCAAAGCTCTTTCCGCTCTGGGCATATTATCGAGAATCCAGACATGTTTGGGAAAGGAGGATTACCAAGTAGGAAACAACTGAGCTAACCCGTTTCTTTTCATTTCACATTTGTATTTTGAAGCGCCGTGGTACCTACATGTAACAGGAACATTTATTATTTTTATTAATATTCATTCATTTTATTTTTATTTGTTTTCCAAAGCGAGGAACTTCAGGTGATCGTAACGTAGCTGGTTACCAAAAAATTTTAGGATTTCTGAGGGTGTATTTTCAAACAAAATAGTTAGACCCTCGCCTGGGCTGAATTTGAAAAAAAAAGATCTTATGTTTTAATCTCCCCTAAAGTAACACCATTTAGACATACACCCTGTATAATAATAACTAAAAAAGCAGCATGTATTGTATTGAAAAGTTAGGTTATGACGCAGCAATCTGACTTCTGAATGAAAACAATGCAGTTTTAGAGGGGTACTCAATATTCGAAAACGCCTTATGAACAAATACGTTTCACGTGCAGTGCATTCTTGGTATGAAACTCCATTAATCCATCTTCAGATTGCATGCGTTACAGGATTAATTTAAACTACATACCCAATTTTTTCTTAACATGTAAGTATTATACAAATACAAATGCCTTTTCCTACTACTAAAAATCTTAAACAGTGAAACTACGCTCATTAGTCAAATATACAAGAAAAAGTGCCTGTAACTAGCAAAATATGGCAGTAGCAAGTCTTGCTCGAGTGTATGCGGATGTAAACTCTCACAAACCCAGAGAGTATTGGGACTATGAGAATTATATCGTCGACTGGGGATTACAGGATAACTACCAATTAATCCGAAAGCTGGGACGGGGAAAATATAGCGAGGTATTTGAGGAAATTAACGTGACAAATAATGAGAAGGGTGTAGTTAAAATATTAAAGGTGAGATGAAGTTTATATCACTTGTAACCGCAGCACTAATTTTTCAGCCTGTTAAAAAGAAAAAAATTAAACGTGAAATTAAGATTTTGGAAAATTTACGTGGTGGAACCAATATTATAACTTTACAGGCTGTAGTTAAAGATCCCGTTTCCCGAACACCAGCTCTAGTTTTTGAACATGTGAACAATACAGATTTTAAAGAGCTGTATCAAAGACTTACTGATTTTGATATTCGCTACTATTTATATGAACTACTTAAAGCCTTGGATTACTGCCACAGTATGGGAATAATGCATAGGTATTCATTTTGTGTGACTACATATGGAGTATATTCTTAATGTTTTAGAGACGTGAAACCGCATAACGTTATGATTGATCACGAAAATCGAAAATTGCGATTGATAGATTGGGGTTTAGCAGAGTTTTATCATCCTGGACAGGAATATAATGTACGGGTCGCCTCGAGATATTTTAAAGCGCCCGAACTTCTAGTTGATTATCAAATGTATGACTATTCCTTGGACATGTGGTCGTTAGGTTGCATGTTAGCTTCTATGATTTTTCGAAAAGAACCATTTTTTCATGGCCACGATAATTATGATCAACTAGTTCGTATTGCCAAAGTACTTGGGACAGATGAATTATTTGAGTACCTTGAAAAATATCACATACAGCTAGATTCTAGATTTAACGATATTCTCGGACGGTAAGTCTTCAAATATTGAAGTGTGTTATTCACTGTAACGCTCTAGACATTCACGTAAACGATGGGAAAGATTTGTACATAGCGAGAATCAGCAATTAGTTTCCGGAGAGGCATTGGACTTTTTAGATAAACTATTACGTTATGATCACATGGAAAGACTCACTGCTCGCGATGCTATGGCGCATCCTTACTTCTGTAAGTAATTGCAGAAAAGAGACGATTTATTGTTATACTGTTTTTTTAGATCCTGTAGTAAAAGATCAAAGTCGATTGCACACCATTGTGTCGCCCCCTCTTACTCCGATGATGGGAAGTATTCCTATTGGGGTAGTGGAATAGAAAATTAATAAACTTGACACACTGCCATTGATTTGCCTCTGTAGCTGCATTGTTCCATTAAGACTTGCCACATTTTACTAAATATTCCGTTCCTGAAAGAACCGTGATAGTTCCCATTTCTTGTTATTTATTCTATGTGATTTGTATTTTAATTAAAACAAAATAAAAATAATGATGTTAATGCATTTTGAAGAAAATATAAGTATATCTTGTAAATCTTTGTGATACCAAAGAGTAATACCTCGAGTAATACTCTTTGGTGATACTTAAAGTCACTAGATATATTTAGTGACTTTAGTGATACTACTAGATGAGAGCCACCTGTTTATCAAAGCTGGTTACTAGGCAGGTTATGAAGAATCTCAGGCAGTACATAACTATTTTACTGTTTGTCTGAATCAGAATAACTATTTATTTATTGAGCCCTGTGCGAGAGTTCAGTTGTCTAAGCTCGTAGTGGACACATTGAGTAATTAATCCTTCACTCAACGGTGGGTTCTAAATATGGCTCCCGTATTTTTGGCGCATTGTCCAACTGTTGGAAGGCGCTATTATGGCCACTTTCTCCGTCCACCCGAGGCCTTAACTACTACAGTTTTCAATACATTTAGTTCGTTCTTTTTGAATTTGGTAGATTATAGCAATGGTACCTGAACCAAGAAAAATCGTGACCATTAATTGTACATATGCTCAGTCTGCCCAGTGCCAAGTTTTTTTATTTATTGAGACATTTTCTTGAAATTTTACCCGCAGATGCTCGTAGTAATGGCAATCACATCGCATATTGTAAACCGCAGGTGTGCGCATGCGCAGGCTGTGTATTCCTAACTTTTTTATTACTTTTTTTGAAATTTCAACCACAGATGCTTAGTCATATGGAGGTAGGTATTTACTTATCTTTTAGCTCCATGCTTCTAGTAAAGGTCAGCACTAGGACTTGGGGTGGTATTTAACTTACTAAAAATCCCCTCCCCGCGGGAGTGGCAACCCTCCAGAAAACCACCCCAAAGGTACATTTTTTAACTTTTTAAGGAATATCTTCTTCATTTTTTTTCCATAAAAAAATACTAGGTAACAAATTTAAAGATTATAAAATTTCCTTTAAAACGGTAAATACTTACTGGTAGATTTTTCGATCTCTCCTGCAGTCTATGTCTAAAGCAGTGCGACTGCTGAGCGCGCGGCATCGCTCCTTTTTCTTGACTCGCGTGCTTTTTGGATGGGATGTGCATTCCGAGAGCGCGGAATGATGTCTGTTTGGCCGTGTTAGATGCTATTTCAAATTATATGGGAAAATGTTTACCAAAATGGAGTAGGTAATTTTAATTAAAGATAAAAATGGGCAACAAATCTTTCCTTTACGGCTACCTGCGATTGCTATTATAATACCTATGTGATACCTGGAGTTCAGACGTGATAACCAGCTTGAACTCTTAAATGTTTTTACTGGTTGCTATCCTGAGTTCTTATCCATCAAATCCTGAAAATCTTCAGGGATAAGGAATACCCATGGGGAAGGGGGGTCTGTACAAAATCATACTTGCAAGCGAGAATTTCTATCGAATCCAAAGGTTCTCCTTCAGTTTTCCTAATTCGTAAGGTAAATATACCGGAGTAGCATAGAACAACTTAAGACCTGCAGGGGCACCTCTAAAAAGCATTATACGAGTCACGTTACTCTAGTTGGGCACTAGCCTGTTGACGGCCCAGAACAAGAGAGGGACAATAAATTAAAAAAAAAATCAATTAGCTATATATAGGTAATTAATCAGAATATTGATTTACATAAAAGACAAAAGTCAGCAAAATGACATATTACCGGTGACGAGGAATTAGTTAAATTAAAAATACCTACTAATCTTCAATGTTAAATGTGCATTGAAAGTGTAATAACCTTTGTGGAATATTACTTTTTCTTGTATTTTAGTAACATTTTATATAGCGACCTGACAACTTTTACAAAATTCGCACATGTTACCGGTGTAGATAATTGCCATGCCCTCGAGTCATGAACGTTTCCAGCAGAAACAAAAATCTGGATCCCTGTGGTCGCACTAAATTAATTGTGAAGGTTTATTAGATTTTTTTCATTTTTTCTTGCTTGACAAGACTTAATTGGGAATTATAATATGGTACCTAATCTCTTCAGGAAAAAGTGTAATGATTCATTTCACCAATCACATCAGAGTTTTAATTTGAAACTTTGCTATTCCATTATCTCCTTTTGTATTTTTGCGTCTGGGTCAACATGGGAAATGTAATTGAATCCAGCTTGCTTCTTAAATGCGTTCATGCGTGCTGTATGAAAACAGATGTTCGTGACCGGGACACTTTCACTCTTAATACTCGTATCTGGTTTATCGCATAATTTGTATGCATCTAAAGCACCTGGTTTTAACAGTTGAACAAATCCTCAATGGCGTGTTCATTTCACTACGCACGGAATCTGTGGCCTTACGTGGCAAAGTCTATACCTATACAATGCGTACCTAATTATAATAATTAAGTACTTTGTATTGGCATTATATTATAAATCAACTTATGTTCATAACAATATATTCCCAAAGTAGTAAAGCTACTATTGGAAAGGTGAACAGAAATAGCTACCCATAAATTATGTCATTCGATCCGGAACCATGACATTCAGTAAAGAAGTACTCTTCTACTCGTCTTTTCAGAATTCGACCTATACCAAGCCTGTTAATTGAACTGGACAGATTAATTTGAATTGTTGAATTTTAAAGGTTCGTTACATGGTCAGTAATTTCGTAGGAATTCGTGAAAGCTTAAATGCTCTAAAAGTGAGAAAATAATCATTTATACTGGAAACCGAGTGGCGGATTTTCAAATTTCCCGCCAGTAGGCTGTAGGAAGAGAAATAGTTTTTGGAGGTAACTTCTGAGCTAAAAAAAGCTCAATCATGTTCATGTACCTACTGAGTAAGTACCTATAAGGTGCAGTAAGGTAGGTATGTAGGTAAGTATAATATTGAATGTTATTCAAAAAAACGGTTATTTTGCTTTCCGGTTAAAAATTTGGCAGTGTTCATTAGATATAAAGGATGTAACACTGTCAAAATCATTTTTCAATATCTGGTTTGGGCTAGGAATCTGTTCTGTCAAGAATTTGGTACCTACTTTTCATTTTTTTTCATTTTCACTTGTAAACCGAAGAGATACAAAGATGCTATAGGCAAAGTTGTCCAGAACTTTATGCTAATTAATTTTCGTTACAAAATTTCTTATAACTAACAAATTGCGAAGTTCTGGCGTTCATTTATTTTCAAAGATATAAAAAATGGTTTAACAAACCCTCATCTTTCTACATCAACTTTCTTATTTCTTGTAGATTTTTACGTTACTAGAAAAATTCAGAAATTAATCTTGAATTTTTGCATTGAAGTTTACAATGTATTTCTTTATAGCAATCATTCCACGGCTTTCTTATAATTATTTAACATTTTTCGTTTATTGTCTGTCAAGTGTCATACCTAGTATCCATCAACACAGCCATGGAATTATGGCCATAAGAAATACATTGTAAGCTTCAATGCAAAAATTCAAGATTAATTTCCTAATGAAATACTTACTAAGCATTTGGTACCTTCGATTTTGTAATTTCTTTCTCTACCTAGTGTAATCCAATATGGCGTCCATAACGAATAAGAAGGTTGATGTGATTGACTCGATACCCACAAGTCATAAAAATTTGATTTTAGCATCGCCAGAAAGCTTAGAAAAAAACACAAAGTGATGTTGGTCACCACTCACCATTATTTTTTGATATCTTTGTAAATAAATGAACCCTGCGCGTTCTCGGAAATGACATTTTTCGGTTTTTTTGATCATAACGCTATTTGTAAAAGTACAAGAGACTTAGAAAGGGAAAATTAATCAGCATGAAATTTTGCATAACTTCGCCCATTTAAGCGATTTTGTATCTCATACGGTTTACAAGATACCCATAGTCAACACCCATTTGGGTTACTGTAATCCTCTGCTACTTAGTCACCCTGGAGAAACTTAGTCACTTATAACTTCGTTTTTGTTGTTTTTTTCTTCGGTATGCGTCCAGGTTTTCGTGTGTTTTAGGTAAGTGTGTAAAAGGGGTGCGTATCAAAGTCCTACCAGGACTATGAAAATCTTGCAACAGCGATAGATTTGCTGTACGGGGGGGGGGGGGGTTAATAAAATAGCATCGGAAGCTTATCAGATATATCCCACACAACGTTGGGTAGGAAGACTCTTTGAGATAATCTTGGAACAGTAGGCCGTCCACCGAAGAGGAAACCAGTATTGCTGAGTTACTTGGAGGGGTGGTTAGTTGCCTTTAACCAAGTTGGATGTACGAAATTATTACTTTTGTACAATAAAAATAAAGATTTGTAGTTTTTTGTTATTATTCTCCAAAAAAATGAAAAAAATTAAACTACCTATATCAGATCGCATTATTTTTCTTTTTAGTAAATCCGAGGTACTATAGGCAAAAAATCATTAATAATGGCACTTTATTTTATTTTTTTATTGTATTGATACAATTTTGCCCAATGAATATACAGTGTGTTCGAGATAAGAGAGTCAATATCTCTTTTATTTTGGAGCTACGAAAAATTTGTCAAATACTATTTTATATATGTCATTATGATCTAACCGATCGCATATTGAAACGTCCGGTATCAGTTCCGGTTTAACCGAAAATCGATGCAACTTTTGTTTTTCAAATGCAATGCTTATGTTTTTTTCAGATCATGGAAAAGAGCATTCAATCTGATGCACGACAATTTAAAATATGCATATCGTTGATATACAAAAAAAGGAGAAATGCGTGATTCGATATTTCAAAAACTCATGAAATTTAGCATCCCGTGCGTGCTGGCAGGATGCGCGGGTCTGTTGTGTTACATGGGTAGATCGTATCACGCAAAAGTAAAGTCGAAACATTGAACAAGTTGATGTAGGTCTTTTCTGTGTGATATGGTGCATGTTATGCTAGATTTCATAAGTTTTTTAAATATAAGTATTGAATCACGAATTTCTCAATTTTTAATATATCAACCATTAGTCCAGACAACGAAACACAAAAAAGGCTAAATAGAGAATAAAAATCATGTAGAAGCTAATTTTGGCACAGATGTAGGGGAATGTATCCTGAACAACAAGGAGAGGGGAGGGGTTAAAGGTCCCTTTTTTTTTAGTTTTTCGTGAATAATTTTAGCAACGGTAGACAGATTTAAAGAACAAGATTTACCTAAAGATCCTGTTTTCCAATAAGTATCTGGCTAGAATGAATGCACATGATATCTTTGCTACTGACCATCATTACGGACAGTTGCACTTATATCACACTCACACATGCTCTATCTCTATCATTACCATCTCATGATTAAAAATTACATTGCGATTGGATGCAGATTTAGGGTTTCAATAGCTTTGCAATTGATAGGAATTCCCGATTCCTATGGCGATATCGCCATCGCTGGCCTATAAACGGCAAACCACATACAATGGGTAATAAAATTGAAATAGTTGTCTCGTCGCAATGAATCTCCAATTTTGACCCACTTATCCTTTGGCACAATCACCAGTTTTAAATCTAAATAACCGAAAACGCCTATTAAAATTAATATAAAGATGTACTTTCTGAGCGTAGGTATAAGATTTCACCCGCAACAATTCACTAATGCGGCCTAATTGACCACTGGTCGAGATGATAATAATCAATAAATTAAAAAAAAAACTAAAGGTAAGTATGTATATAATTCTAATAATTAGTGCAAAATTAACATCTACCGGCATAATTAAAGAATGTTTGGAGCGTCTTACGTAAACCCCTGACATTATTTCTTTCGTTTAAAAATAAAGATTGATTTGAATAACTAAATTATTCATTATCTTCCAAATTCAATTAATTAGATTTATCGGAACTGGCAAATAAAACTGAATATTTTATGCGTGCTCCCCCACTTGTCCGTGAGAAAGAAATTATACTGGGTAGGGGTTCGAGAATTCAATAAAAGGCTTTCATTTTTAAGATAAGAAATTTAGTTTGGTTTTAAGTGTTTTCAACTGCAGTGATTGTTCAAGCTGCATTAAGTAAGTTAATCGATTTATAATATTAATGAGTAGGTATCTACCGTTTTACGAAATTTCTTTTGTTGCAAACACACTAATTTAGTTCTTTCATCAAATCGAATCGGAAATCGTATTTCGAGTTAGAAGATGATTTGTGTTGCACCATTTAGATTGATGATATTAAATTTCATACATGCTTTCTCTTTCCAAATTTCTTTCAATTAAGACTATTTGCCAATAAAAGTAACACCTGCGGCTGATATTTTTTAACACCTACTGGATGCATAAAGTAAATACATTAAAAAAAGGCGATTGCTTGTAACCTGATGCTAAAGTGAAAGTAGCCAATTTTTCGCTTGTAATCGAAAGTAACATTGCCGACAATGATTTCAGAACATAAATTGGTGTATTTTTGTTAAGCTGACATGCCGGTTCGGCGCCTTACATTAAATTGTTATGTAAGTTTGTATGTTGGGCGTTGGCCCAAAGTTGCGTAAAAATACGACTCGTAATGGTCATATTATTTTTAATAAGTGTGATATAATGATGCTCACCTGTATACGAGACTTCGACTACTGCCGCTAAGAAATGAAACTGGAGCAATCTTTACATAATTTATTTATTTCCTGATTTTATATGGAAGTTTAACATTTATTCATTTTTAAACAATTGCTTTTGATTTGATTTTAATTTTTTTTTGTTTTCGCTGTTTCCTTCAAATTTATCTGCTTTTTATGAACTACAAATAGATATACCAGAGCCACAGATTAACTAGAGCTGAACAAATACCGCACCAAAACAGGAGTACAATTCATAAATCAAACTGCAATTTATTTATTAGTTCGGAATTACAATTTATTTAATAACGAATAGTCTTTATTGAGCTAGGATCTGGATACAGACAATAAATTATGAGAGTTTTTTGAACTACCTACCTGTAGGTATATATTCAGCATTATTTTACAACAATCACAAGCATGTTTGGGACTTTTTTTATTCATTCAAAATATTCGAGCTGCTGATTTAGTTTGTTTGAAAAGATTTACATCCTTTTTTACATCAACTCGCCATTGTAATTACGGTTAATCGGGTTAATATGTTAATATCATCTGGATCTCATTTATACGAAATGGAATTAAATAACGTACTAATTCCTTTCTGAGTTACTTCCTGCTCATCAGCTCTGGTTATTAATTGAAAAATTAGGCTTTGTCTTTTAACTTTTAGCTTCAGCATACTTTACAATTTGAGTAAAACTATAGAAACAAACAACATATATTTAAAAAAGAAATACTTACACCATTCTAAAACTCTGAACCCTTTACAAAAGAATTTGCGAATCACAAACCAAAATTCGTTTATAGTGCAGTCATGGAAGATACGGCGACACCGTATAATTTTGTTAAAATGCATAAAATCGTAGATTCGAGCATTTAATTGGTCGAAGTAATCTTTAAAACAGTTTAATGAAGGTCAAATTACATTAAAGGGCATAATTTATGATTTTGTTAACAACTAAATGTCTCCTCCTATTGATTATTAAAAACATATCTTCATAATGTTCCAGCTACTTGAAATGTCACCGATAAATATCACTGATTCGCAGAAAATTTGGATTCGGATTCTACTTACCTACCCCCTGCTTCAAATATGAACTTATTTTGTTGCTTTAGTTTAGTCGCACTTGTCGTACCGCAACATTGTTTGCGGAAAATGCGCTAACTTATTAGAGGATTTTTGCACTCCAAAGAAAGGCCGTCCAAATAGTAGGTCATTGGGATTTTTGGTGGTGTATTTTTGCTTAGTCGAGATCAAGACTCTTGATTTATAAAAATTGCCCCCTGTAAAAAATCGAAATCGAACAATTGTACCTATTTTAGTTCATGACATAATACCTACCATCTTTTCATTATTTAAAGTGTACTGTCCTTATTTGATCAATTTTTACAAAAACCAAGTCCTACTGATAAAAATTTACAATCAAATATACGAAAAATAAATTATTAAGTGAAAAAATTGACCTCGCAGTTTCAATTTGTATTTTGTTTGAGATATACTCGATGTTGAAAACCAATCTGGCATGCAATCTTTTGTTTTTGAGTTATGGTTAAATGTTGCATTTTTCAATTTTTGTATAAAAGCTTATAACTTCTTTGTTTATTAGGTTATTGGAAACGTGTTTATTACAAAAGTTTGCTTGTAATGATTATTGCATCTGCCGTTTTAATCCGGGGTTAAGAAGATAATTATCGGACCTAACTTCATTTTTTAACTGAAACACCCTGTATATGTCAATCTAAACATACATCATATTGACTTCTTTTTCCAAAAACATAGCACCCCAGGAACCATATTAAAAAAAGATTCAGGTGATTCAAAAAAATTCGAAAAAGATTCAATAAGATTGAAAACAGCTTTAAAATATTTAAAAAGGTTTAAATGATTAAAAAAAAATGTACGTTTTTGAATTAAAAAAAATCTTTTTTGAATCTCTTTGAATCATTAATTTTCTTGAATTTTTGGAATGTTATGTTTTTGAAAAGAGAATTTGATATGCTGCGTTTTAAATTGAAATATACAAAAAAATGAGATTAGTCCGACAACGTTTTTACCTGACACAATTCCTATAATTTAATAAGCAAAGAAGTTATAGACTTTTACCTGAAGATCGAAGAACTTTTTCCGAACTAAAAAAAGACGTGTAGGTATACCTACTAGTTTGGTTTCCAACATCGAGTTTATCTAAAAACAAATACATCGAAACTGCGAGGTCAATGTTACTCCACTAACCAACTTTGTGTAACCATGACCTCTGACAAAATCAGAGATCTCATGCGAGCAAAGTTAAATAAAAAGCCTGGAAGGCGACCTCTCTTATAACAGACCTGTTTTATTGCAGACACATTAGGTTCAATGGATGCCGCTCGGGGGATTTTGGTCTTGCATGGTTAGCGTCGAGTTGTTAACGGAGGCCCGCACCCTGGCGGGATAAACATATCATTTGAATATGGCTAACAGTAGAACGCCTCGCTTAACAACTCGACGCTAAAACTTAATTGAACTGTCAAAAAACAACATTAAATAATTACTCATAAGTTAATTGTATAGGTACTAAAGAAAATTCTAAAAACGTATACGAGCAGGAAAATTTTTTCCACATGATCTCAGTAAAATTCCATGACGAGGACGACACGTATTCTCCCCCCCCCCTCCCCCCATTGCCATGTGTCAATTTCTTTAACCACCTCTTTGTCGCCTTTAAATGACCTCAGTGGGCGAAAAAATAATAATTTGAGGTTACCAAATGGATCATATGGGGTGCTACTACAAACGATGCTGTGGAATTCCATAAATAAATTTAATGATTGATCATCTTCCCGTGATTCACACGTTCCTCCTGGCTATTCACTGGTGACCGCCCCTTTTAGTTTGAATGTTCTTAACACCACAAGTCGATTTTATTTTCACTTATGTAATAACTAGATATCAGCGGCGGTTTCGTATCAATCGCCGTTTTTTATTGGTTTACCGTTGGGTAAAATTTCGTTTTATTCGATTGGCTGTAATGCAGTTTTGGTTGTTTTAAGTGTCGTTGGAATATTCTAAGAGGCGAAAAAACACAAAAAAAATGATTCGGCTCAAAAAAGGACCGATATAGATGGGCTCTTTTTGAGTAAATATCATTTTAAGATTCCGCTAGAGTGATTTTTCACTTATAATTGCACAAGAGGTTTGTATTTTACCGAGTAAATTTGGGTTGTTTTTAGGTAATGAAAATCTGTTTCCTAGCAATTAGACGAGAAAAACTGTCAAGTAATACAGGATTTGACAGTTTTTCGAGTACATTTGCTAATAGGAAAATCACATTGACTCAGGGGTGACGGGGGGAGGGGGAGGGTTACCAAATACTTAATCTGATGATCCTCCTCACTGATGTCAAGAACGGATTGTCGGAAGAGGGTACTCACAAAGATTGAGACGTCTGCAAGAAATATATCCATTAGTTATCTATTTCGGTGCACTCTCTGCACAAGAGTTGTGCACAATTTGTATGTACTTGATATAAAAGTATGCAAAATTATCAAAATGAGAAAGTCAAAACAGGATATTTTGTATAAGGCGATGGAGATAGGTACTGTTGAGTTGAGACGGACATTTGAAATCCAAATTTGACACACTCCATTCACTACTGGCATACAAATGTGTAAAATACACAGAAAATTTGGTTTTGATTATAATCCTTCACATTGAATTGACCAACACGTCGCTGGGACACCAATTTTACACTTCTCCCGAATATTCCACATTCTAGTCAAAAATGCTGCGGCTGACCTGCAGTTGTCTAAACACCTCTTACGAAACGCAGTACACTCTGCGGTAGGGGTATTGTTTCCCGCCCCCTACATGGGAAAACCGAACAGTCAGCAAGAAACAAAATAGGAAATTGTTATTATCAATCCCACATTTAGCTCATTTTCGGATGCCTCGGGAATTACCGCAATTTGGCAATATGGACTTTTTTGTAAGTAAACATATTTAAAATTTTTAAGTATCGGTTTTAATCAATTACATTTCAATTTCTTTCAACTTGCACATATTTTCAACGTGAAATCCTGTAAAGGGGAGATCGAATGCATTCGTGCACAATGCAATTTCTAAAAGTAAAAACATCGTTCACTGAAGCACTAAATTCATTTCTTTTGCCAATCAATAAAATTCCTTATGTAAATTAAATAATACAAAATTAAACAGACTGTTTGAATTAACAAGCAATTATAACCAAACGGAAAGACAAGGTTACGTGATTTTCTCGGTCAAGTTTCTACTTTTATTTTTGTAAGTCAGGTGCAAGGTTGGTTTTTACACTTTTATAATGAAAGAAAAAGCTTGTGAATGGCCTACATTTGCAGTGGACATCTATTTGATAACTATAGAATAACTTTTACTACCATTTACAAATCATTGACCTCAGGTAATAATTTAATCGAATTCGATAAACTATCAGTAATGACATGTATCCAGAATCCATATAGATAGTTGAGATGCGCAAGTAGTTGTATGGTCGTGTAGATCAAGGTGCACATGTCTTGAACTACTTTTAACTAGTTGTCTTACTAGAGTAGATGATGGATGGCCATCGCTGCACCCTTTCTAGTCATGTAAATGAAGTAAAAAATACATTCAGTTTTGCAATTACTGGTACGGGTCGAGCATCACACGGAATGATACATCCTTCCTGAAAAACGACGCACTCGAACAGTCTGGTAACAGGAACAGTTTTTCAAGAATCTCTGAAACGTGAATAAATTAGCATTACTTTCTAAATAACTATATCGCTACAAAAAAGGTTTAAATTAGTTTTTGAGACGGAAGCGATTATTCTCGAAATGACAACTAAAATGACCTTTCTCCAACTAATTTCCATAATATACGCCTCACCTTACGTAACCGAACACAGTTTTTCACTCGGGAATTTATACTACATTTCTCAACGAAATAAGGACAAACATATGAAAAATGACAACTAAAATAGTTAAAACGCGAAGACGGAAAGTTGTTTTGCATATTAAAAGGAATTGTAAATTAGATAGAAATGACACACAATGTACAGTGATCGTCGTAAAATAGTCGAGAGAAATTTGTTTTAATTCCATATATAGAAAAATTTGTTAACCCCAATGTAAGCCAAATCCGTATAATAGAAGTGCAATGAAAAAAATTCAAAAAGTAAAAGTCCACTTTGTATATTGGTTATGGAAAGAGCAAAAATGGTAATTGAACTTTACAGTGGGTACATAATCGACAACATCCTTTCAAGAAATGAAATGCTAAATAAACATTTGTTTTGAATTTAATTACCCACGATCGGATCTAAAGCGGGCGCATAATCATCTACGTCCGTGCTACTTAACAAATTATTGTTTATGCTTCTATAATTTTTATAACAACTTGCGGTTGAATTTTTCCAAATAAAAATGTCTGAAACTACAACTACTATATTTCAAACTTTACAATTGGCCCTTAGACTGGGACGGTTTAATTTAGTAATACCTACAAATAATAAATGAAAATCAAAGCTTTATTTGTATAAATGAAAAATTGATTCTAGATAACAATAAATTATGCATACAGAGTAAATTGTCTATTAATGAATTGTACAAAACAGTCTTCTTCTTCACCGAGTTAGTTGTAGTAAGGTGTTATTGTAAACGCGAATCTCACAATAGATCTTTGGGAGACAAATCTAAATAAGGAGTATAAGGTCGAGCTCCTAGTGAAAAACTTAGTTAAAAAAAACTGTACTTTGGACATTAAACCGGTCCAATTAACATACGTCAATTATGACATTAAAATTTCGAAAACTCATTTTAGTTAATGCACAATTTTATCTTTACCAGTTCTATATTATTTATTGATAAACTAAAGGTGCAAACCCCTGTGCAAACTCCTCCAGGGACGCCGATTTGCTCGTCCGTTCAGATTTGTTACCGTGATAACTTCAGAAGTATACAAATTTGTTTTTTCACTACTAGCGTCTGATGACATGATTATCTATTAACCTTTTTTCCACTTGTAAATTAGGCTTTCTCGGCATTTGTTCAAAGTGGTTAATAATGTGAACATTATTAACTAGTAGTCAATAATGAGAACTGTCATGCTGCCACTTTTAGAAAACACAACCCGAAATTTCGCTCAATAAACGTTTAGACAAGTTCTCTAAAATGAATAATTGCCACCATCCGCCATTTCCAGAGAAATTACATACCTAAAATTATCACATTTTGAAAAAATTCGAACGAAATTACTCTTTGAAAATATCTCAATGACAGAACAAAATACGGCCTGTTTGACTTGTACTTCCACGTACTTGATTGACATGTTAAATTAAGAAACAAACAATTCTGTCTAACCGTTAACTCTCTTATCAATATAATATGTTAATTTAGAGGATTTCAAGTGCTAGTAGTGAAAAAAATAGTATATATACCACGGTAGAGAAGTCTATTATTGCCTTCGCACCTTACACCCCTCGGCGCAAGCGCCTCGAGATGTAATCTTGGTGCTCAGGCAATAATACTGTACTTCTCTACCTTGATATATAATGTACTATTATTCTACTTTATAAAACCAGGGGTCTAGATCAGCCGGCCACGGTCATCCCGGCGATCATTTACTTCCCGGCTTCGGTTATCATATGGAAACAATTCACCGGAATTAAGCTTTGCTATTTTATAGAGTGTGATTTTTCCTTTTTAGATACAATACAATCTGAATAGGGACTATAAAAATTGAAATTATGCCATTGATAGGTAGGTAAAGTTTTCTGGTATCTACCTGCGTAGGTAAATGGTAAAACGCAATTTTTTAAAAATGGGTCCTTTGCACCGATGTCAATTGTGTAAATAACACAACTTATTTGAGCTTCCTTGCATATTTCGGTCTCCTGCGAGTATACCTATTTCTAAGCAGTAATTACAATGCATCCAGGCACAGCTACTTTCGGTACAAAATTTGATATCCGCTTCTAAAGCATATCATTATTTATGTCAAAACAGAAATGAGGTTGGACAGACGGCGTTAGGAAAGTGTGCATTGCCGTGATAACCGATGCCTGGAAAGCAATAGTCGCCGAGATAGGTTGTCGCCGGGTATAAATCGCCGGGATGATCGATACCAGGATGGGTTGTCCCCTGGAAAATGGTGCCGGGATGTACGTCGCCGGGATTTACATCGCCGGTATGGTATGCACCGAGATCAGCCTATTGGATGAGTTCGTAAATGCGGGGTTTATAAAAGATTTTAAAATCATAAATTATATATTTATGTAAATAAAATTATTATTTGTGCACCAATTTCATTATAAAAACGCTGAAATGCATACAGCATTGGGTCCATATTTAAAAATTTCATGCGTTTTGGTCGCTATACGTGCGTCACTTTGTGTTCCAAGATAATATCCGAGAATACTAAAATAATATCGGCAATACTTTGTCTGGAGCCCCAAAATTCTTCCAAAATTTTTTGAGATTTTCAGAATGATTTTAAAGAACCTATCCTGGAAATCTGGAAATATTTTAAGGAAAGTCCTAAAAAATGATTTCCAAGATATTTTGGTATTTTGGGACCGGTAAGGCGTCCTGCTGGTCGACTAGCTGAAAGGAGGTACAATAATCTCTGCAGCAAGGTACGAGTACATACTTCGAGACGCTAAGTCGGGCTATATTGCACAAACGGGGAGGTCAGTTCACAAAGGAATTTCGTTTACATCCTGACAACGCCCGCCCCATTCGATTATAGATTTCAGAAGCACTCACATTTTCCGCCGTTAAAAATTGCACGATCGCGGGTTGAGGGACCTTTTTATAAGGTTATTTTAAAGAAAACTGTATTATTATAAGGGATATTTAAAAAGTGCGCGTCTCGATAAAGAAAAATGAAAAGAGATATTATCACCTTCTAAATCAAAGAAATTTTGAATAGCCTCAAGAGCATGTTACAAGTATATTGCATTGGGATAAAAATGATCTCCCACTATTTTGACGTTTTGAAGTAGGTACCAGAAATCCGAATCAAACAACATCTCGCTGATGTCGGTGTGTCTGTCGGTCTTTCTGTCTGCAATCTCATTTCCGGCTAAACGACTGAACCGATTGGAACCAAATTTGGTACACGTATTCTTTAGACATAAAAGGAAGGGCAGAATCGCCCATGTGCAGCTGTGTGGGTGGTATGTGTGCTAATCATTTTTTTGTGGTGTAAGGTGCTGCAATGCATCAAAGCACGTGGGGCGCACGTTACGTATAAAACCGTAGACTATTTTGCATCTTTTCCGCTATTTCCTTCACCTAATAAAAATAGCTACGTTGTGGTGTTTGCCTTTTCCGCTAATTGCGGCAAAATGAAAGCGGATTCCGCTCCCAAAATTGTTTCTGCAGTACCTTAAGCAAGGATAGTACAACCTAAAACCCAAAGTGTACGATTGAGAAATAATAGTATATTAAGATACAAGTGTATAATCAAGTCTTTAAAGCACGCGCAACGAGTTTAAGGGCACGACGCAAAGCGGAGTGCCTTTAACGTTGCAAGTGCTTTAAAGACCAATTATACACGTGTATCTTATAGTATTTTTTATTATACCTGCAGTATAATTTAAAAATAGGAAATACAATGAAATCATATTGACGTTATACTCGAATACATGTCTAATTAAGTGGGCTGGGTGTTCGTAATTTCACGATTGCCATGGAAATGTCACTTGACGTTTGCTTATAAAAATCGTCGTCTTTGTGAATAAAACGATTTCCGTTGAAAAAGATAATACACCGTCCATTAAATCGCTTGTTGTAAAATCTAAACAAACGTTGGTAGGTGTAAAATCCAAATCCAGTAAAGCCTATTATAAAGAATATGAAAAGTTGTTTCCATGGATGAAAAGGAAGTTACTTACGAATAAAGTCTTAAATGCATCGATAATGCTGGGATATATGAAGGAAATGCCAAAGGTATTTAAATCTCCTATCTTTTGGTGCATTAACTCAAAACTTCAAACAATGCTGCGATTAAAAGTGGAACAGATTTGGAAGCATACCCTAAATTACGCGCGTTTGTGAAACCTTCAACCAAAGGATAGGTACAAGCCAAAGAAATGTTCTGCATTTACAGACAGCGACCTAAGAGGATCTTTTATTTCAGCCCCAGATGACAGTTTCAAAAGTCATACTTGAAGTATCGTTACTTAGCAACTTTAAAGCACGTGTGTTTTAAAGGCCTTTTTTCGCACGCATTTGAGTGTTTAAAACGGAGATTGTGATTCAGGTATAATAAAAAATAACTATTTATTTGTCGAGCTATAAAGCTGTGTACTGAGAAAAATTCTCAGTTTTGCAGGAACTAGTGAGAAGTAAGAAAATTCGATTCCGTAAAAGTTCCCACAAACAAAATTCTGTATAAGCATTATAACAAGGAAGCTACCACCAAATTTCAACCTTTAATTATGAGATTTTACCCTTTAACGTAAAGTGAGCGGACTATACATTCTTCTAGCAACCTTTTCATGAAATTTGTCATTTCCAAACACAAGCATGCCAACGACAATATATTGTAGACATGTAAAAGAGAAAAGGGTAGTAATGCGTGACATTATACTTACTTACATCCAGGTATAGAAATTCTTGAATTTAATTAACTTCGCACACAATCGAACCATATTTTCACTCCATATTATATTTCAAATAAAGAAATCACCCAAATTTGAAACTACCTAGTTAAGTTCAATGTACCAAACTTTCTTAATTTTTTTCGCAATCCTGTTCTCGTAGGCATATAACCACTTTCAACACCAAAAATGAGTATTTTTGGACTGGAGGTTACTTTTGTGAAGAAAGCATTATTTATGTAATTATTGTACTTTTTTTACATTTTGGATCCCTCGGGGAGTTTCACCTGTTTAAATGGAGAAAGTATAGCCTTACGTAATGTTAACACTACGCTGTGTTTGTTACAGAATGCGAGCCACGCCAATTCTACTTTTATTCGTCTGCATAAGGTCGACATTAAGTTTTCCGCAATTTAATGGGCACGAAAAAGCGCAAGGAACTTCGTTCCGGCCAACGACAATAGCGTATCAATATGATAGTCAATCTTCTCCGTCTCAAGCCATTCCGACGAGAACTTCCATATATAGCGACGACTTATACCAGTTCCGTAACATTTTACCCGTTGTTCAACAACGTCCCCATCCACGCACCGAAGCACCACCAAGAAAGCCTCAAGAATTTAGACGGCCAGGTCCTAATGAAATTGAAGAGGTAAGCTTTCCATAGGTAATCAATGATTGATGGGCCAGGACTTTAACATTTGTAGGATTCAAAAGAGAAGGAGATAGAGGAACCGGACCGATTAACAATCCTCCTTCCTCAATCCAAATTTGATTGTAATGGTAAAAATACAGGTTATTACGCCGATGAGGGTTTGGGATGTGAAGTTTTCCATTATTGCCAAGATAATGCGAAACACTCATGGGTCTGCCCTGAGGGATTTACTTTCCACCAGGTAAGTTATATAGTTTCAAAGAAAAATTTAACGAACATTGCTTAGGTGCACTTGATCTGCATGCCGACGGGACACGATAACATTTGTCAGCAATCCACCAAATATCACTTTGTCAATGATTACTTGTACAAACCTGTCAATTTGGAGGAACACCAAACTAAACCCAATATCACCTTGCGATACTCAGACCGTTACTACCCCGACAATTACAGCTACCTCACTGATTATGGTGATGAAAATGAAGAGCCAAGACCGCAATATAAACAACCAGTAAGTGGAAGCATCGTATGACTTTAACTTGAAGTTGATGTACCTACTTTTAGGTACGCCCCGCTGTCCCAGTACATTCAACACCAAATCCATATCGCACTGTAACTGTACACAGAAGACCTGTACCGACACAATTCGCTCCAACGTATAGACCTGAATCGCTTCCTCAAGTCTTCAGGTCACCCGAAGAAGTTAACATCTCATTACAGCAAAGGCGACCACCGTTTGTTGCTCAAAGATACAGTAATTCTGAGGAAGACTATTAATGGATATAAGTGTTTAAGTTTTATCTCTTGTACATTCAAGTAGTTATTTATTCTATATTCGTTTTTATAATACATACCTATAATTACGTATCCTAGCGAAAAGATGTTTCTCCGTTTCCATTCCTTAAGGCCATCGTAAAAAGACTCTGAAAAAGAAAAACCTAATTATGAAACTCGATTTGGCGAGTTAATCGATTTCAATCTATGCACTATACAGAGACAAAAACCCATATAGGGTTACTAAGGAACGTGTAAGGGAGGTAAGTATTGCATTGGGGTAAAAAAAGACCCCCCCTCCCCTCCCTTGAAGGAAACATACGTTTTGAAGCACCAGGAATCAAAAATAAATAAATAAATAAAAATAAATGCATCCAAGAGTTAAAATTTACAACAGAAATAGCGTGACATCATTCCTGTGATAGCGTAAAAGGACAGGATATTCGTTACTACTCCCTTTGGCCAGTTCCTCTGGACATCATTATGGATAGGAACAAAGACTATCTTACTTGAAGTACCGCTCAGCAATCAAGCTTAGTTTGCCAGTATTTTCTCGAAGTGATGAAGAAGTAACAGAAATACATCTGTATCTGTAACGTTATCCTAGTATCCTCTTCCTTGTGGAAAGCTTCTGAGGAGGAAATCTGTGTCGTTTGACGGTTACAGAAAACTTTTCTTTCATATCACTGAAGCCTCCAGCAATCACAAGTACGCCGTCAAATGAGGCCTCTTCAAGGTGATGCGACAAGAACTCGATCATATTTCTTTTGTTTTCCTCTAATGAAAGGAAATTCCTCCAAATGTGAGGTAATGTAACATCGCGGATATCTATCACACGACGGCCGACGCACAGGAACTAAAATGCTTGCCAAAACAGAAATAATTTAATAATTACACGATGTGAAGAAATTTAAACAGTAGCCATAGTACTATGAAAAAAAGGTTTCCACTTTTACGCAACTTTAACGTTAGAAAAACTATGAGATCATTGTTTAAACATTTCTTCACTATTTCTCGTGCCGTATACCTTCGTCAGGAATAACATTATAATCCGTTTTTAGATCGAAAAAATCGGTCGCATGAGTGAAAAGATCAACATTTTCGGAAATTGGCCGCCATCTTGAATTCTGAATTTCCTGTTCAGATTTCGAGATGCCAACATCGATATTCGTGTTCAGCAGGTCCAAATTAGTAAAAAACGCCTATTTGTTAAATGGCTGTTTTTTATAAAAGTGAACCAGTATAGTATAAAGGTACTTATCTATATTTGGTAGAAGAGAGTAAAGAATCAAGACTCAAGAGTACCTACTTTATTTATATTTACCACGACTAAAGATACAGGCGTGGGGCGAAAGACCTTTTTTTAGATCTTTGCAAACTGCAGATGATTTTACACTTTGACTAAAAAATCCATCCACCTCATAAGTGGTTTTTGGTTTTAAGACAAACAACAAACGCGAGCAGCATCCTCAAGGATATTCATCCATTCATTCGAACTGAATATTTGACCCGCATTCAACAATCGCAATATCCATTGGGGAAGGGACAAAATATCTACAAATTTAATTTGAATTAAAAAAATTAATGTGCGAAGATTATTATTGCAATTTAAAAAACTAAGGTGTTATCTATAGTGACGCATAACATATACGTACGCGTAAATTGGCGACATTATAATAAAACTTCATACACTTGTTTTCCTTCACCCGCTTTATAAATAAATGGAATACTTCCATTGCATTTAGGTAACTCCAGTAACATTGTTTACTATAAAATTGATTCGTTATAAGTGTGTAAGTAACCATGCGGGTTATACGAATAGTACTTTTTTTGAGTGCGTTAGTTTTTTGCGAATGTGTGGAACAAGTTACAGGTTTGCGCTCCTCGGGAAGGAATTGGGATTTAAAAATTTATGTTGCAGACGAAGAATACGCCTTAATGCCAGATCTATTCCATTTGGATGATTTTGATCGATGTTTAATGTTGGGAAAAAATGCGCTATATTGCACGGTCAAGCTACAGATAGCCCCAATCAGAAATTCGACGAATTTGCGTATATGGAAAATTATACAGGTAGAGTCATTAATCCAGTAGATCAGTATTAATTTCAACGGTCAAAGAGCACAAAATGGAATTCAGGGAAACGCAAATCATGCTCGCTAGTTATTTTGGTATAGTTGGAAATTGATACTCACACTTCGGCTGAGATTTTTGCATAAACAATACCCTTCCATACAACGCATATTCTTCCAAAGAAATTGTAAAGGGGAATTGAAACTGATGGCGTTTTTTTTTGCTTTTATGACAACAACCTGTAACTTTCTGCCTTTAACAGTCAAGTTCAACTAAACCAAAGATCAGTATGATCTTTGACTAAGCTATCGAATAGAAGAAGTTGATTAATATGTTAAGAACTAGGTAAATTTGGTTTTCAGAAAACAATTTCAAACGTGAAGAACTATCGTCATGATTGGCTAAGGCACGGAATTTGCATACCGCTCTCATGTCCAAAGATGGCGAGCAACATTTCAAATTATATTAATAATGAAAGAAGCTTGAGGGAAGGAATTGTAGAATGCTATTCGTCGAAACTCCAAGAATTGGGCTTAACGAGTTCCGTAATGGAAATGCATTGCGAAACTGAAAAACCTTTTTACGGCATTGACAATTACGATATTGCTGTAGCGTAAGTTATGCTTTATATCATTGATTATAAATAATTAGGTATCCCTACTGCGAACATAAGTACCTATAATAATAACCTACGCTAAATCCCCACTGTTGGGTGCCATTTTGCAGCGGAGGCGTTTCTGCAAATAATTTTGACAATTTCCTTTGTTTTTTTTGAAACGGGAATTGCAACAAGAAAACTGCATCATTAAACAATTACTAAACAATGACGTAGGCCAGCCCTTATTATTCTTGACTAAAACCTTACCTCCTAAATCCTAACTCCCCTTGCTTACGAGAGATCACCATTGATCATGTCTGTAATCTGAAAATTCGCTACAAATGGTTTTTTTTCTTTTCACTTTCCAGCAAAATAACAATACCAAAAGGCCATATACAGGGTGACAATTTGAAAACTTACCACCCCCCATATCTTAGTAAATAAACGAGATATTTAAAAAAATCAAAATCCGTTTCGGTAATTCGGAGGGGGAATCACAATGACATAGTTGGCGACGCACCCCCTCACACCCCCTGCGCCCTAGCCACCCCAACTTTTAAATCTTAAATAGGGACTCCCCATGTGTGATACGTCATTGGAAAGCTCTGAAAAAATGCTTTCCAACCATACCAAATAGCATTACATTTAGGTTAGTAATTATCGTGCAAATCAAAAAATAAACATGGAAAATCGTATTTAACTTGAACTTCCAAAGCCGACTCGACAGCAACTCATTTTTGATCGCCAGTTATAATCTATTCTCAAACTCTTGTCGAACCTTTTCAAATGTTGGTTTTGCAATATTTCGACATTCTTGAATTATTCTCTGTCTTAGTTCGTCTATGTTCGCCGGTTGCGTTTTAAATACGACAGATTTCAAATGTATCATATTAGTTTATTTTTTGATTTGCACGATAATTACTAACCTAAATGTAATGCTATTTGGTATGGTTGGAAAGCATTTTTTCAGAGCTTTCCAACGACGTATCACACATGGGGGGTCACTATTTAAGATTTAAAAGTTGGGGTGGCTGGGGCGCAGGGGGTTGGAGGGGGTGCGTCGCCAACTATGTCATTGTGATTCCCCCTCCGAATTACCGAAACGGATTTTGATTTTTTTAAATATCTCGTTTATTTACTAAGATATGGGGGGTGGTAAGTTTTCAAATTGTCACCCTGTATATAATTGTATATTGAGAAAAATCAGAAAATGTTAAATATTGTTTAAGAATGCATCTCCTTTTTTACATTAAATTTTCATTTACCCATAAGTCTACCTGTCATAATTTAGGTAGGTAATAAACATTTACTTTGAAATGGTCACCTCATTTCATTACCTTTTATAACTTAATTGTTTGAAATTTAACTTCAGAGGTCATCATAAGTATCTACATTTATACCTTAACCACACCTTAATTTGTGATTACCGTGACAAATTATGTAATAAATAAACCAGCTTGAACTTGGTTTTATTCGATATAAGGTTTACGGAATACCTTTCTGAGAAAAATATGAACTATATAGGACTGACTAAATTCAGCAAAATACATTGAAAATACAAGATATTAATATTTATTTGAATCCTTTAACATCTTTCATTGAATATTTTTTAACAATGGACCTCAAAGGTATCGATTACTTGGCGAACTAATTAATTACAACTTTTCTGGATCATGGGCGGTCTGGAATTTTTGGGTTGATATCAGTTGTTTTCTAAAGAAACTGCATACTTAAACTCTCCGGTATGGCAAAATCTCTCGACTATAATTCTCTGGGCTGGAATTTGAAAATCGAACGGACAATAAAGGCCTGCTGTTAATGTTGATTTGTTTGCAGATCTATTAAACTTGGTCCAATAAACCGCATTTTGCATACGCACTCACATTAACTTGACTTTATCACGGTTTTAATTTAAATTCGGGGAGATCTCTTATTATCTCTTATTATATCAGCGGCACTTTATTTATATTTGATTTTACAAACAGTTTTCTTTGTTGTAATTCCGTTCGCCGAAAGAATTCATTTCATCTCCTTTTTATTTTATCATTAAACTGCAGAAATATGAAATAAGTTATAAAGGAATTAGTTCCTTTCATATGAAGCATTGTACTAAAAACTGTATTTTATTTTCAGAATATGCTTCATAGTACTGATAATAATAGTACTAAGTTCATCTTTTTATGAGGGACTTGCAAGATATAAATCTCAGGCTTATTACAACAAAATAACTTCGACTACACGTGAGTAAATAATAGTTATTTATTATACAAGTCGATAACTTTTACCAGATGGTTAGTTTCATCCCTTTATGGTCGTGTATAAAACAAAACTTTATAGCAGAAGACACATAATTCATTATAACCCTTTTGAAAATTCTGAATTTAATTAAGACCTCAAAAATAACAAGCTTGGGTATTGTTTTCTGTTCTGAACTTCATTTTATTTCGTGTTCAAAGTCCCATTTGTCTCAATGTCAGTTTAACAACTGCTATAAAATAAAACAATGTACTTAACAGTTCCATAAAATTCAGTTGATGTTAAAAACCTTCAAAACAGATTCAATCAAGGTATAGAAACAGACCTACTTTAAGGAAGACTGAGATATAAAACCCCGAAATGGTTAAATTTCGAATTATAAGCAGGTTGTTTTGCATATAAACTCGAAAATTGTTTAGCAGAATTTTTAACTGACCAACGGCTAGCTCTATACGAAATAATTTTTTCATATCTGGTAATACTCCGATTGAAAAAACTGCTTATTTCCATTTTTACTTGGAACTTTGTTTAGTTTGATTTCTGATTTCCTGGTTAATAGACAATGAATATTCCAACGTAATATTACAAATATATTGATAAATAATACAAAATCTCAATCCGAAATCCACGTCGTTTACAATTTTTTTGTATCCGTAACTTTTTGTCAAACTTTTTTAGTTCGTGGCCATCCCTGTTAATAGTTTCTTAAAAAAATACACTGCATATAATCATTGAATAAAAATTTTATTCAATGATATAATTCCTGAATGTTTTCATAAACCAATCTACACAAATTGGTTACTATTTTACATTAATTTTTCTCTTGATGATTTATATTATTAAAGGGATCTAAACAAATCAATTTCATTTACCTATACAAATAGCCTGAAATGATGAGCTGTAATGGTAAACTGCCCTAGCTCTTGAATCTCGAAAATAATTCAACTTTACGTATCTCTATAATATTCGAAGAAATAAATTCAAACTTAGAGCTACCGTTATAGTTTTGAGCATAGAGCATTACATAGAGTATATATATCTAATACTACTTTCTTTATCAAGATGGAAGAATTATAGCTTGCTTTTCAATACCGAAAAACTGGGAGCGTCTTAAAGCAGAGAGTAAAGATCCCAATGTGCAGCAGCTGAAGTTCATAAACGGCATACGCGTCTACACAATGCTGCTAGTAGTTATTACACACGCTAGCATGGTTGGATTTATAACATTTGCCGCAAACCCAAAATTTCCAGAAACCGTAAGTATAAAAGAAAACATTGAACATTATAAACTTTAAGTTTCTAGATGACCTTAGATCCAATAAATATGTTATTTGTAAACGGAAATTATTCCATGCAAATGTTTATGTTAATATCAAGCGGGTTATTGACTTACAGTTTTTTCTTAGTTTTCGAAAAGCAGCCAAAATTTAAGCTGGGGTACATACTATATGCGTTTATTCACAGATATATTAGGTAATTTGCCGTAATTGTACTAAACCAAATGTTGTAACGGGAATGTGTTTAGATTGACGGTACCTTTAATTGCGGTGCTTGCATTTAATGCAACATGGTTGCAGCATATTACCAGAGGGCCATTATGGGATAAAGTTGTAGGTGTCGAATACCGCAACTGCAGGAAGAATTGGTGGGTAAATTTGTTGTACATTAACAACTACTACGATGTCAAAAACATGGTAAGTGATTTGAAACTATATTACCTACCTAGGTACATTATTTGGGTCTGTTCGATTTTCCAAATCTATTCAAGAATACGTTGGAGTTGGGTAATTGGGTTGAAGTTTCATTAGTTTCTCTTATCATGCTATATTATTCCGTCGTCATTAGTTCGGTATTCAGTTTCTGACATATGTATATTATTCCTGTTCATAAATACGGAAGCTAATATAGCATATGGATCTCACCATTTTAGTAGTTTATGTTGTTCGATATTGACGCTTATGGTTTCCTTCGTTGTTTATTTTAAATTATCCCTCTTACTTTGGTTTATTTTCTATTCCAAACTCTTTTCATTTATATCTTTTATTAAATTCTCTTTGGCGTAAGTATACGTTGTTCTTCGTACAATTTCCTAATCATAGGTGGATAGCTGGATTAGTAGAATTTTATACGAGGCTCCATTTTAATATCGAAACTGTAATATTGATGAAATTCCTATTGTTGGTTAATAGTTCCATGGTAGCACATTAATGATATCTTGGAGCAACTTTTTTCCAAATACTTAAACGTATGTGTTATGTATAATCAGTTTTTTTTATATTTTAGTGCATGCTGCAAACTTGGTACATAGCAGCGGACACTCAATTATTTATTGTCACTTTAACCGTTCTCGCAATTGTTTGGAAGTACAAAAAGCTTGCACCGTTTCTATTTGGCAGCCTTCTGGTAATAGGAATGGTGTCGCCGGGAGTTGCCAGCTATGTGAACGAATTTGACATATTACAACGTAATTATCCTGAGTAAGTAGTTACAACGATACATTTCGTTAGGGTCTTAAAATGCTTAATGTTTATATATGTGGAAATTCGCTTCACGCGAATAGTGATCTCGAGTAGGTTTAAAATTAGAGCAGCATGTGTGAGATACGTCATGATTCATATGGGTAACGGCGACAACCAGAAGGGTGTCGTTGGTAGTGGTTATTGATATTGATAACGAACCGTTGCGTTGGTGGTTCACAAGATTAGTCCCATTCCGTACGTTCCGTTTCCGTTTTCCTAGCTGACACAGCTTTCGAAGAGGGATGCTGGTATACGCAACGAGAAGTCGCGAGTTTGGGGCCGCACAAACGAGTTTCTGGTTACGTTTCGGTTTTTCTAGTGGGCGTTTTGGAGAAAGGAACAAGATGGGGAAGAAGAGCGGCAGCTTGAGCGCAAAGGCCGTCTAAAAATTCGATCGCGAAAAAGTTAAGTTTTGAACCCTCAAACACGTATAAGGGTTGTTTTTATAACCAAAATAGACTCGTTCCCACAGGACTATGATAAATTTCGCGCAGGGTCGTAAATCATTTATGAAGAAGAATAAGCCATTGCAGAGAGGATACTTATTTTGCATTTGTATAGATCTTCGAATTTTATTACTCGCGCTTAACAAACCAAATTCGATTAAATTTGAGGTGGGTTACGTACAAATAATTTAATAGGTATAGGCAATTACGCGATTAAATGCATAAAGTAACATTGTTAGTCTGGCAGATTTCAGTAAAAATTGCGCATTAGATGAAGAAAGCATGAAACTCTCAGGTATTGATTAGAGTATAGTCCTGATGATTTTAAGATCGGGAGGCCTACAAAATGTTATCAAAAAACAAAATGGCGGCCGTTCAAAGATTAGGCCTTACTTAATATGGGGAGTGCCTTATTCTGCAGAAACTATAAGTTTTTATGGAAACATGCTTCTGATCTTTTTTATAGCTCTTAAAAATACCTTTAAAGCGATATATTACACGACTACTTCCTACTTCCGGTTATCGGAAATGACGTCAAAATCCGAGGTTTTCGTATTCATGCAGTTGCGTACTTTGGTTATAATTCAATAACCCCTGGTTTTAAGAAAACCTTTTATAGCTCTTAAAAATTATTATATTGTACAAAATTCTAGTTTTTAAAACTTTAACTACGCTAAACGCGAAAGAAACGGATACGGCCCAAAACGTGTCAGCTCCGATACGTGTGTAACGTTCATTGCCACATATATTTTTTCTTTTGTTTACAGATAAAGGGAGTAATAATAATAATTGACTTTATTCCCATACATATTGTTATACACGAGCATTGATAACATGAGTAATATAAAAAAAATTTTTTTTTAAGATATCTACAAGAAAAACAAGAGGAGAAAAGAGACAGAAAGAAAGTGAATTTTTTAACATCAAAAAGAAATATAATAGGGAAAGGGATTCTCTATGCACTAAGCATACAGCCCTGAGTTAAAGTGTAGCTTTAGTAAAATCTCATTATTCTTTTTTTATTAAATCAACAAAAGAATTTTGCTTTTAATTTTTTTTCATTACGTTTATTGTTCTATTTTCAGCAAACGTGACTTAGTTATGCAAAAATAATTAATATACTGTCCAGAAGTGTCGTTTGAGTCATCATCCATTTTTGAATATTTTTGAATAGATTTTTCGTTAATCTTACATTTTTAAAATTACTCGGTAAAACATTATATAATTTTGGTCCAAGATATAACGGCGACCGTTGAAATAGGGTAAGTACAGTTAATTTAAGTCAGATAAAGAAAAGTAAGAATAGAAGGAGAAGAATAGGACAAGAAAAGAATAAGGATAAGAAAAGAAGGGAGAGAGGGATAGAAGGAATATGGATTGTAACGCACTTAACGCGTCAGTTATGGACTGGGAAAAATGTGCCCTTTGTCAATGTGTTTCATCCGAAAAACTAACTGACCCGGGGAAGAGCAAAGGTCTGACTCCCGAAGCCTGCTACAAGATCCTGGAGGAAGTCATTAATTCATTCAAGAGCCTAGGAACCGTCCCGGTAAAGATCGACATACCACTACTAGATGAAGGGCGGGGATACGTTAATGAACCACAACGCAAAGTGGCACAAGTCGTGCCGCCTAAAGCTGATGAACGCAAAGACAATGGAAGCGCTAATTAAAAAAAGGCTCAGGGAACCGGAACCGAATGCCCTTCAAGACTTCTGCTAATTGTGCGTTGTGGTTCATTAACGTATCTCCTCCGCCCTCTATCTTTACCGGGACGGTTCCTAGGCTCTTGAATGAATTAATGACTTCTTCCTAGATCTTGTAGCAGTCTTCGACCTTTGCTCTTTCCCGAGTCCATTAGTTTTTCGGATGAAACACATTGACAAACGGCACATTTTTCCCAGTCCATAACTGACGCTTTAAGTGCATTACAATCCACATTCCTTCCATTCTTCTCCTCCTTCTATCCATCTCCCTCTTCTTTTCGTATCCTTATTTTCTTATCTTTATTCTTTTCTTGTCCTATTCTTCTCCTTCTATTCTTTATCGGACTTAAATTAACTGTACTCCCTTTATATCTGTAAACAAAAGAAAAAATATGTGGCAATGAACGTTACACAAATACCTACACACGTAACGGAGCTGACACGTTTTGGGCCGTATCCGTTTCTTTCGCGTTTAGCGGAGTTAAAATACTAAAAACTAGGATTTTGTGCAATATAATAATTTTTAAGAGCTATTAGAAAGGCTAGACGCATGGTTTTCTTAAAACCAGTGGTTATTGAATTATAACCAAAGTACGCAACTGCATGAATACGAAAACCTCGGATTTTGACGTCATTTCCGAAAACCGGAAGTAGGAAGTAGTCGTGTAATATATCGCTGTAAAGGTATTTTTAAGAGCTATAAAAAAGATCAGAAGCATGTTTCCATAAAAACTCATAGTTCCTGCAGAATAAGGCACTCCCTATATTAAGTAAGGTTTAATCTTTGAACGGCCGCCATTTTGTTTTTTGATAACTTTTTGTAGGCCTCCCGATCTTAAAATCATCAGGACTATACCCTGATCAATACCTGTGAGTTTCATGCTTTCTTCATCTAATGCGCAATTGTTGCTATTTTTTACTGAAATCTGCCAGACTATGTTATTTATTCGTGTATATTTGTGAACTTTTATCTTCGTCATATATTTTTTTTCGAGAGTAAAAACGTAATTCCCTACATAAGGTACAGTTATATTACAAGTTCATATGACCACACCTAAAAAATTTGCTTCTTCTTACGCATTTTATGTGAGAATGCGATCAAAAAGGAGTTGCTGTCGAGTTACCTTTGGAATTTTTGTTTACATGGGAAATCATATTTAACTTGAACTTCCAAAGGCGACTCGATGTCAATCCTTTTTTGATCGCTCGTTGTGCTCATTTTTCGTTCAACGTTGATTACTTACTGGAATACTTCGCGTTAACGTTTAGCAATTGTCTGCTTCCAGAGGTCTCTACACGATTTTACTAGATATACCAGAATGGTTATACATGACGATACCAGGCCATACCAACGTGAGTGGTTGTGCAATAGGATTAATTGTTGGATACATCTTCTACAAATATAAAAATAAGAAGTTGTTTACAACAAAGGTAAATATAAATAAAATGCACTCGAATGATCCAGCCACCAGTTTTAAGTATCATCACGTGTTGTGGTGGATTACAGTTTGGACGCTGCCACTCTCCGTTATATTTGTTGGGATACCTTTATATGATGATAGTTACGTACCCACACGGTTGGGAGCTGCCGTTTATGCGAGCTTTGCAAGAACATCCTACGCATTCGCGATGGGAGTCGCGTGTATTGGATTCACCAAAAACGTGGGATGTAAGTATTAATTCTGGAGTTCAACTACGTTATTTCCTTCGTTTCTTGTCCTTAGGGTTGCTAAGGGACGCAATTATGATACCCCCTCTACAATTTTTAGGAAGACTTACATATTGTATATATTTGGTGCACGTCGTAGTGGTTCGCATCCGCTCTGGTCAAACTAGAACAAAAACATACATGACCGTATTCAATTTCGTAAGTTTTGCTACAGATGAAATGGTTCCTAAACAAATTACATTTTTTGCATTGTAGTTGTCTCAATCTTGTGGCGACTTAATGTTTGGCTACGTTGTTGGTCTCCTGCTTTGTTTATTTGTAGAAATGCCCACATCAGCACTACAGAAACTAATGATGCCGAAGTTAAAAGACGAAACCCCCAAGAATGTTAACGATTTACAAAATTCTGATAATCAAAAGAACGGCGAGACGGAAATATCTAAAATTTAGATTGTGATAATGGTGTAAATACATAATTACTAATAAATGTACCATTGAGAATGCATATGAACCAAAATAAAGTTAAGTTAGTCGAAATTTTAAGCATTACCTATTAATAGTGAAGACACTGTAAAATGGTTCTTTGTACCATGGACCACTTCTTGGGTATGGGTATATTCCAGAATTATTTACATATATTACATATTTACATACTCGCATTAAGGCGAGTAAGTAGTGCATTTTCCATGAATTGATCAGTACTACCCGAAAGGCCAGATAACGCACTATTTACAAAGGTGCAGTGTACTTAACCCCCAGGTTCTACGCTAACTTCACTCTACAACAGCACGGAAATAAAGTCAACCCTGAACCCGGTAACGTTTAAAAATGGCCACCCCGACTATTCCCTCCAAAACTAAACAAGATCTCGGTTAAATTTGAAGAGTGGCACGTGATCAATCATCTAAGGCAGGGCCCCCTTACGTTAGTTGTAAACAACGCTATGACCTGAAGCACAGTAGGGAAGGAACGTAAAATAAAACACTTACATTGCAAAAATAAACTTTGAAAATGATAGTTCACCGAATAAAAATAGAAATAGGCTCTGAAAAAAAGAACTTACCAATAAAAAAACCAGCCGTCAAATTAATATTAAATTGTGTAGTAAAATTGTTGTAATGATGTGAATGCGTAACATAAAATTCTAACATCACAAAAAGTAGCATGTAAGACTTCAAGAGGTAACAAACAGGTTAAAAACAAGTTTTGGGAATTATGGGTCAAGTAAGCAGGTACCAAGATTCAAAGAAAGGGTGAAATACACAGGATATGACTCATCTTTGGTGCAATAAAGTCCTTTTGTTAAAAGCAAGATGGAAAATTACATGGCCTTGTAGGCAAATTTAACTAAAAACCTCGCTAAAAACAAAATATGTGGAAATTACGAATCGTAACTCATTTATCGCACATAGATTCTAAACTGAAGAACATTGATTAACGTACTCCTGCTCCGGCAAGTTAGGTAACCCACTCCTGGTTTCGGCTTTCCGAGCCTACAGTTGAATCACGGAATTAGGTGTCGTAGCTCAATTTTGACACAGTTTTTACCACCCTCGTGACTGCTTCATTCCCGGAGAAAATTGTTAGTTACAAACAAGTCAGTACATACATCAAACGAATCGGTAATTTCCACATATTAAAATAAAACGATTAATACTTATATGAATGTTATTTCACGGACAAGACCAGGTAATCAACATCAATAAACATAAATTAAGCAAGCATTACACCAAAAACGTAAACAATTACAAACAAAAGATAACGGTATTAAACTGCGGTTAAACCAAGTAAATTTCAAAAACAAAGATTGAAGCACGCAAAAAATATAAAATGCGACATACAAAACACAAATACGATATAAAGAAATGCAAAAGTTACTGCCTGCACTGCATTAAATAACACAAAATAACAACAAATATTTATGGAGCGATGCGTTGCGCGTTCACGACCGCCATTCAACACAAGATTCCAAACGTAACCCCCGTTCGTGCTCTCCAGATGGCGCAAATCACTTTCCCCTCCTAAAAATTGCGTGGTTGCCAACTCTCAAAAATGTGTGCATCGTCGTAAGTTGTAGGTATATACAGGGTGGAACCTTTCAAAGGAAAATATGTTATGGCATAAATATTGTTATAAACAAGAAACACATCTGATTTTTACAATATACAATATGCTTGTCTTTACTAGAAGCATCTGTGGTTAAAATTTCACAGAAATATCTCTATAAAGAAGAAAGTTGACATTGCACAGACTACGAATGTGCACATTAATCATCAAGATTTTTTTTGGTTGAGGTCCCAAAGCTATTAATTGCCGAATGTAAAAAGAACGAACTAAATATATTTATTTATTGATCCTCTCTTATTCTGGGCCCTCAGCAGGCTTGCGCCCAATTACTAAGTGACCTGCATAATGCTTTTTAGAGGTGCCCCTGCAGAAGGCCTTAAGTTGGTTTATACTACTCCGGTATATTTACCTTACAAACTGCGGGAAAATCTAATTTTAAAAATTGTAGGAATAGTTAAGGTCCCGGACGGACGGAGAAAGTGGCGGTGGTCACAATAGCGCCTTCCACCATGAGTTGGACAATGCTCTAAAAATGGAGAAAGAACATTAAGGAACAGGAGTATAAGCCGCAGAGCAAATATATGACGAATGTCTTCGAGCTGTTTAAAGTAAACGACCAATTCCTTCCGCATCCGGTGATGAAAAAAGGATAGAAGGAGAAGAGCAATGGATTATAAGATGCCCAGAAGAAAAGAGAGCGGCCGCATTAAGAAGGGCGCTTTAGAGAGATAAACCAAGTCGCAAGAATTGAAGAATGGTACAAATAATGGAAAAACTGATGGATGGCGTGGAGATGGAAATAAGATAAACGGTAGAAAGAAAGAGCAAAGGAGAAAATGATGAAAGCAATAAGGGAAGTAATTAAGGGAATAGAAGAGTAAAGAGAAAAGGAAAACAAAAACATTAAGGAAAACGATCGCAAGACCAGAACAGACAGAGCATAAAGAACAATATTTTTTCGATGTAGCGCTACGAAGAATAAAACCAGTTTCCCCACACAACCAATTCATCTCGATGGGACCTTTCATTACAATACCAAGATCTTTTTTGATATCTTGTATATTTATTGTTGAAAATAACTTTCAGGAAGATTTAGGCTTCGCAGAATGATACAAATTTTATTATTAAAAAAATATGATTAATTGACAGACTTTTACTCACTTGATAAATTAAAAAATACAATATCATGAATCATTTACAACATTTATTATGTTTGGAGCTGACTGCCGCTCACACTCTTGCTAATTTAGTACGTATTGTTATTAATTGATTTTGACCGCATTGTTTTTTAGTCTGACTCGACTATAGTTCTAGGATGGGCAAAATCTCCCTCAAATACGAGTAAGTTGAAGACCTTTGTTGGGGAACCGAGTTGCGGATATACAAAGCCTAACCACAGTTGGCATGCACCTTCACACTCCAACCCGGTCGATTTGGGTCGAGAGGTCTGAAACCCATAGGTAGTATATAAGTACACATATATTTTTGTCCAAAGAAAGAACTGTACTTGTTTACAACATGACACCATCAGAAGATCCTTTACCACTCCACTCCCAATGGAAGCAGGGATAATATGGACGCCGAGGTTGTGCTAGTGGTAATTTTTAAAAGGTGGGTGGCACATTAATGTTTCTATGGTTTTTTTAAAATTATTAACTAATTCGAAAGAAGGGCGTATTTTGCTGTCATGCTTATCTAAACTACAATATCATGTATAAGAATTACTGTTCATTAAAAACAAGAAGTGTCGTTGTTATTTATATCGTATAACAGAAACAATGACCGATCCTAACTGCCGGTAACTACCTACATCTCCGAATATAAATACGTGTGTTCATAGGTGTATGAAGTATAGGTACCTAGCAATTGACCTGAATTGATGAGATCGTAATTTTATAATTCAGAAAAGCAGTAACATTTTAATAGCGGTGTAGTAATGATGTTACTATAACTATTTCGTTTTGTCATATAAACTCTAATTTAAGCAAATACACATTGTTTACACTTAGGTACGCATAACGTACAACATATGTAAATTCGCAAAATTGTAATAGAACTTCATGACACTGGTTTTCCTTCACCCGCTTTGTAAATAAATGGAATAGTACTACTTAGTAGGATTATTTAAAATAAAAGAATAGATAAGTAGCATAGTTTCAGTACGCATAATGTGGGTGATACGAATTGTAATTGTTTTAAGTGCGTTATTTTTCTGCGTCTGTGTTAAAATTACAGGTTGTGTTCCTAAGAAAGCACAAGAATTTTTAAATTTAAGTTGCAGACGAAGAATACGCATTAATGCCAGAAATATTTCATTTGGATGATTTTGATCGTTGTTTAATGTTGGGGAAGGACGCCTTATATTGTACGGTACAAATGCAATTAGCACCTATAAGGAATTCTACAAGTTCTCGTGTGTGGGCAATTATACAGGTAATTCCTACTTTATTTTCCAATTTCAAAATAAAATCCAATATATCTGCTAATGCTAATAGTAGGTAGGTACCTATACTTATGTATGTAGGTACATGTAGCTAACATGAAGTGGGTTCAAAAGTGGTTTTGTAATAAGTAACTCAATTCGTGTGTTACGATAACCGAATGTTTGCATTTGTTTTCAGAAAATCATTTCAAATCCGAAGAACTATAGACACGATTGGCTAAGACATGGTATTTGTGTCCCTCTATCATGTCCAGATATGGCAAATGACATTTTAAACTATATCGACAATGAGACAAGCTTGATGGATGCAATTGATCGGTGTTATTCTTCGAAACTGCAAAGTTTGGGTTTACAGAGTTCCGTAATGGAAATGCATTGTGAAACTGAAAAGCCTTTCTATGATATTGATAACTATGATATTGCAGTGGCGTAAGTTTTCCTTTTGCACTAAAACAATTTCTTAAGTTGTGCCCAAGGTTCGATGCTCACAGAGACCAAAGTTTACGCTAGCAAAGTTTTGCAGAATTCTAAACCAATTTCAATATTACCTCTGTGGAAAAAATCAACATCGTTCTTTTAGTTCGTTTTTCATTTGTTTTGCAACTTTATGATGCCGTTGGCCAACAAACAAAAGTTATTAAGTACGGTGCCTCATTTGAGTTTTGCACACGTCAGTTTTTTGTTTGTGTGTTTGATTCCTCATTATGTGGCGATGATGTAATTTTGAAATATGTCGCCACGGGGTCTGATACCGATGCTAGCGACTCCATGAACGAAATGCATAGTTGTAACGGGAGCTCTTTCGCGTTTTAGATTTTTTAGATTTTTCTTCCAATTTTCATGTTAGGACACATTATGGGTGCGGGTGAGTTTTATGAAATTTTGGTAGTTGGGACGAGTTTTAAGATGATTTTTCAAATAAAGTGTAGAGTTGAATTGCATTAGTGTTGCGTGGTTTTTTGAGTGAGTTATTATGAGAGATACAGAGTGGTCCATTAGTTAGAGGGTTGGTTATTCCTAAATGTTATTTTCAAAATTTTCAATAGTTTCCGAACGAGTTTGGCGCCAGTTTGATGAGCTGTAATACAATTTTATGTGTTTTATGTGATTTTATGTGTACCTACTCTTTGATAATATGTTGGCTCCATTGAATGATTGAATTAGAAATTCAACGATGTCATAAAAACATCGTATCAAAGCTCGCATGGTTTATTAGAAGCCATAGTTTCTGAAAAGCGGTGATTCGTGGTGAAAAGAAAAAATACTCTCATTTCTTTTTCTTAAAACAAATATCGCGAGAGTGTGCCGCTACCGACAAGTTTTAAATACCTAACCGAAATAAAAGTTACAATACTCGTTTTTCTGATTCTTTTTTGCTGTTTCTTTTCAAGCCATAAGTTTCTTTGCAAGTAAAAATGAAAGGAGTGCAAAACTTACAAAATCGATCAGAACCAAAACAAAAACAGGATAAAATTATGCTTGCATGAAAATATGTGGTAAAGTAGGTAATATTTTACTTTCAGGATATGCTTCATAGTGTTAATAATAACAGTGCTATGTGCATCATTCTACGAGGGTTTTGCAAGATACAAATCTAAAGCTTATTACCGCCGAATAACTTCAACTAAACGTAAGTAAATAAGTATAGGTATTACACTTTTACTACCCGCACATTACTAAGGGAGGTAGGTATTGCATTGGGATAAAAAATGACCCCCACTTTTTTACAGAAATACACGTTTTGAAGCACCAAGAATTTGAATAAAACAAAATCTCTATAATGACGGTGTCTGTCGGTTCGTCTTTACTCTCATTTCCGGCTAAACGGCTGAACCGTATTTATAACCCTCTATAAAGTATTGAAATTAATGAAACACTGTCCTAGCTGGTGGTATATCAACTTCCACTAAACATGAATTTATTTCCATACATGCAACTTTCACATTATTTTTCAATAGTTATAAGAATAAGTCGGACGTGGTTATCCCAAAGTAAATCTGCCCGAACTAATGTTAAAACTTAGGGATGTAACAGAAAGTGGTTATATGGGAACCGAATTCGGAAGCGGAGTTTTTAAATCTGGTTTATCGGAACCGTAAAGAAGAGACATGCCACATCTTAAACAATCCTAATATGTAAATAGATCAAAAAGTGACAAGTGAAAAAGTAGTCAACAGAAGGCACGAGGTGATGAAGGTTCCCGCGCAACAAGATAAACGTATTTGTACGCGAACGCACTGACTGTGGGTGTGGCCGCACCGACCCTGTCCATCAACCTCCGATATAACATCCGATTAAAATTTGTTGGAACCGAAAGTGCAAAATTAATCGGAAGTTCCGCTCTTTCGGAATCATCCGAAGCTCCGTATGTTCTAAGAAGCTGACAAGGATGCAGTGTTCTGTTTCAGTCGCTAGTGTGCAATCCAGGATTTATGGTACCTTGATGCGTGTAAAATAAAAATAGTTTCAATTAAATATCTTCATAAATAAAAAAGTTAGCCTTATTGCACATGCGTTAAACCAAATTTTTGATACTGCGCATGCGCAAAACCAAAAAATCTTGTGATTGTTTAAATACTTACATGTCTATTTATTTCCATTATTTTATTATTTTTTTCATAGGTGGACGAATTATTGCATGTTTTTCAATACCTAAAAACTGGGACCGGCTCAAAGCAAATAGTTCAGATCCCAATGCAGAGCCACTAAAATGTATAAATGGTCTACGTTTTTATACGATAGTGCTCGTGGTAATGGCACACACTAGTATGGTGGGATTTCTAACTTATGCATCCAACCCAAAATTTGGAGAAACCGTAGGTAGAAATGAGAATTACGCATTAACAATTTTGAGAACTTGTAGATGACTTCAGATCCAATCAACATGTTATTTGTTAATGGCAGTTATTCAATACAACTGTTTATGATAATATCAAGTTGGTTATTGTGTTACAATTTTTTCTTAGTTTTTGAAAAGCAGCCAAAGTTCAAGCTGGGATACATATTGTATGCCTTTATTCACAGATATATCAGGTAATTAACATAATATTGAATTAGTTTACCATTAACAAATTTAGATTAAGCGTACCCTTACTTGCTGTGATCGCATTTAATGCAACATGGTTACAGCATATCAACAGAGGTCCATTATGGGATAAAGTTGTCGGTACAGAATACCGAAACTGTAGAAAAAATTGGTGGGTAAATTTATTGTACATAAATAACTATTACGACGTTAAAAACATGGTGAGTATTTATTATTCACATTTTTAGAGTTCATTTAACATTTTTATGGATTTGTCATAAACACTATCAGTCCGTTGTAAACTACATTCAAGTTTTTTGTTTAACTCACGAAACCTTTCGATTTCGTTTTTCAAATGGTCTTCACTGGTTGGTTTCACTTCCAAACATTTCTGCTCGGCTAGAAAATTAAAACTGTCCAATAGGCTTGTGAGATTCAAATTGTTATTTTCTATGCGTACTTTCCTCATTAGGTCGGTGATCGACGACAGTTCTCCATTATACGACAACTGCAAGGGGCTTTCCAAGTACGAATTTAACTTTTTGGCTTTCTCTACTTTCTCCTTTAGTAAACGTAAGCGTTTTAGCGTAGCTGGAATGTCGATGCCAATCGTGACTGTTTCAGTACGTTTCTTGTTTGATAATTTTTCCTTTAGTAAAGCTAGCTTTGATTCATGTGCTTCGTGTAAGTCAGTAGTTGCACATAATTCGCTCATCATTTTGTGTGCGATTACTTTGGCAGTGTCAAATTTTTCATTAAATGCAGTCATTATATCAACTACAGACTTATTAATTGTAGATGCAACCCTTACAATTTTGTCAGTGTCCTCCCTAATGATGTCATCTCTCTTACTCGGTTGTAACGGTAACAACATAGTAGGGCAAACATTATTACGCTGTAGATGTTGATATAAAACAAACATTGAGAGTTTACACATGAACTTAATGAACTTTAAACCACCTGGCATTATTAAATGAGAAGTTGCGATAATTGGAATATTAGCATCTTCGTATATCCCATTCAATTCGTTCATGTACTTCATAATTTCATTGCGGAATTCATTTTCGCTTCGCACATCATACAGCGGCCATGTAGGAATTTTCTGTTTTAGAACGTTTTTATCCAAAATGTCCAATAGGTAATATGTGACCTGTTGAAAACCGACCTTGTTATTTTTTACAAACATATCCTTCTTAAACACTGCAGTAAACGCCTCTGAAGGTGGGTAACTAAATGTTAATAAATGCACATTCGTGTAAAACTGTTCGTGGATCCGCATTTCAAATTCTTTTTGTATTTTTAATGCCATTTTTATTAATTAAAGTCACTAAACTACTAGAACAAAGTTTCAAAGGAAATGAAATTTACATTTAAAGTTAGGTTAGTTTTCAACAACTTTTCAAACAAAAGCCGTTGTATTTATGCTACCATCTAGTGGCATATTACGTAACTGTTACTTTCCATTGGCGTATCAATATATTTTTTTCCATAAGGGGCTTCACAATCGGTCACTACGGAGGGGCAAATTACCGAGGAGTACAAGAACGAGGAATACAAAGAAATATTGAGGGTGTAAAGGAAGTAGTCATGAAGTAGGTATAGGCAAAGGAATAATCTGGAATGTGGAATACGGGGAGATATTATCATTGAAATAAATTCAATGATATTATGTATACAATGGGACTTACAGTGCACCGTATTCTGTACACGCCTCCACCCAGTGGCGGCGTGTAGTGGTATGTCTTGGAGGTGTACAATTAAAAAAAGGGGAAAAAATGGGGCCACGGGCCAAACGGCGGTGGCGAAAATTTTTTGGGTGTCACCGCAACAAAGTTTTTTAGGCCTATTAAATGGCATAAAAAAGCTTGTTGAGTTACAAATTTAAAAAAAACTCACGTGTTGAGTAGGTGCCTCGCCAAGCACCTTATTGTTTTTATTGTTTGTAGTAATATTTTTATAGTGTCTAAATTTCACAAACACGTTTTATATTACAATTGAAGTCGTCTATCCTTCTTTTTGATAAATTCTTCAATAACCAATTCGTTAAAATTTGGAATTTCGTTAATTATTTGTTTCTCAATAGATAACATTGCTAGGGCAGTTAGTCTATCCTCACACACGTTGCTTCTCTACATTAAAACTGATAAAAACTTTTCTTAGAAGCACTTATTTATAATTAAGATTTACATTTTCCGGATCACTATTCTGATGATTTTTATACATTTTTTAGTGCATGCTGCAAACTTGGTACTTGGCAGCGGACACTCAATTATTTGTGCTTTCTTTAGTGGTTCTCGCTATTATTTGGAACCACAAAAATCGAGCACCAATCATACTTGGTACATTTTTGGGAGTTGGCCTAGCGGTTCCGGTAATCGTTAATTACGTAAACGACTACAATATATTACTGCGACAATATCCTGAGTAAGTATACTTTTGCGGTACTTGTTTATATATAAAAAAAACATGCATTCATTATGTTACGCATTTCTGTGGGTATATCATGTTCATTGTCTACCAACTGTAACGGGAGTCCGCCAAAGCATTTGTATTTTTTCTATTTTTATATTATGTACATTTAGATAGTGGTAGATACAATTGCGTAAAATTTCATATGTACCGCCTCGTGCGATATTAATCGAGAGTAGGTTTATCGGCGAGAATTTTGATCGCGGGTGAAGCAAAGTTGGTTTAAAAGTTAGCGTAACCGCAATTATACATGTAGAGATCGCGTAACAATTTGAGATGGATAAACGTGAATCTAAAATGTCTACTGAACATCATAATTTGGAAATAAAACAAGAAATTATGTTTTTTATAGGAATCTCTACAAGATAATGTTAGAAGTTCCAGAGTGGTTATATATGACCATTCCAGGCCATACAAACATCAGCGGGTTTGCAATTGGATTGATTGTTGGTTACGTGATATACAAATACAGAAATAGGAAGTTGTTTACAAGAACGGTAGATATAATTTAAAACACTCACAAATAAGTAATCCACCAGTTTTAAGCATCATCACGTCTTGTGGTGGGTTACAACTTTTGGCCTGCCACTGACCGTTGTATACGTTGGAATACCTTTATATGACGATGAATACGTGGCCACACCATTTGGAGCTGCGCTATATGTGTCACTTGGTAAGGCAGCATACGGACTGGGGATGGGCGTGGCTTGTTTTGGTTTAAGTCAAAACGTTGGCTGTAAGTATACAATATTTGCTTTTAATTCAACTGAAGCATATGTTTTAAGGGTTGCTGAGAGATGCAGTTATGCTACCTCCCCTACAAGTCTTAGGAAGACTCACATACTGTATATATTTGGTACACGTTGCATTGATTCGTATTCGTTCTGGTCAAGCTAGATCAAAATCGTATCTCACCGTTCACACTTTTGTAGGTTTTTTAGAAATGCCTAATGATCAGTTACACGTTCTGAATTTTAGGCGATTCAATCATGCGGTGACCTAATCTTAGGCTACGTTATTGGCCTTGTGCTTTGTTTGTTCGTAGAGATGCCCACTTCGGCACTGCAAAAGCTAATGATGCCAAAATTAAAAAAGGACTCGAAGAATGTAAACGATCTACAAATGCAGAATGGCGATAACGACAAAGTCGTTGAGACAAATATCTAAAGTTTAGAAAACTTTCGACAAGATACATTAGATTTTATTAAATTAATGCAGATTTCAGAAAGTACCTACCTAAGTATATTGAAATAAAAATCAACATTAAATTGGTAAAGATCAAACCACCTAAAATTGTAGTCTGTGGTCTGTGCCCCTGCACCTAATATTACTCCTGCCATTCGAGCTTCCTTTCAACTGAAGAAGAATTCCTAGTGGGATTAATTTGTACACACCTTTATTACGGTGTTTTAATGAAATCCCGAAACAAAGCCGTTTTTTACAAATCTCTCTCGTCTCACGGGACATTCTGTCATGAACTCATGAAACGTAGAACCGCTTTTTGAACATTCAGTTTCTTAGGTCATAGCATACCACATACCTAGACCATGCTCGCCCTTGCGACAATGAAAGCGCGTGTTTCACAGGTAAACAACTTGGTGACCTCATCCCCTGCTCGATTGAAGAAAACATGATATAGAATCTGGCGAACTAGCAAAGTCAGCCAAAGTTCTCCACTAAGAGAGTGAGCCCCTCTTCGCAGGTAGTGGCAGACCTTTTACTACCAGGTGTCGAACACACCACGGAGGGACAATGCATTAGTCCCACTTATGTATTTGTAATTTGTAATCCTTTGTAACGGGAGCACATTTAAATTTTTTTCAATTTTTAAAACTATTGAGTACGAATGTGTAAAACTGAATAGTGTCAGTCAGTCGGTTTGACGGCGATAATCAGGGCGTGTTTAGAATGCGTGAATTTTGCGATATTATAAGCATGCCGCCAAGGTTGCGTCGGTTCCATCTACATAGAGCCGCAGCAACGTAAGTAGACATGAATGGCAGCGCTTGGTGGAAAAGGGACGCTGGTAGCGAACGTGTGTTGGTTCCGCTTTGGCATAACAGCATAGCAATATGAGCAAGGAGACAGTCGTGCATCGGCCGTCTTAGCGAAATAAAAGACTTTAGTGTAAAAAAATTATCAAAGTCCTCGTGTGAGATCGAAGGGACTTGAGCGCATTTTTGTGTGGCAGATCAGTATTCTATTAGCCACTTTTGACTCAACCATCAATAAAAGATCTTGTCGAAGGCTACTACATTTACTTTGTCGGTACCCGCTTCCCACTTTCCGCGTGCACCCGCAATTCGCGTTTAAAGTTTTGCCTCCACCCTCAGTAAAATCTTGTCGGGGGCTACCATATTCCCTTTGTCGATATCCACATCCGATGTCCTATTCCCTTCCAATGCGCGTTTGAATATTTGACTCCACCATCAGTAAGATCGTGTTGGGGGCTAACACATTTCCTTTGACGGTACCCACCTCCGACTTCCCGTTCACCCGCAATTCGCGTTTGAAGATTTGACTACACCATCAGGAAGATCGTGTCGCGGGCTACCACATTCCTTTTGACGGTACCCACTTCCGACGCCCCGTTCACCCCAAATTCGCGTTTGAAGTTTTCACTCCACCATCAGTTAGATCTTGTCGGAGGCTACCACATTTCCTTTTTCGGTGCATACTTATATTACGCCCACATTTTGGTGGATTTCGCTAAAAATCTTCCACAAGATAATACTTAATTTTTGGGGCACTTTTCATTACTCCAGCTTCTATTGGCGACACGAGAAAGAGAGACAGCGATTCGAGATTTACGAAACGTTAAACCGCGTGACAAAATTCGCAACGGAAGGTAAAAGGCGCCCGAAGTTGACTACCTCTCGAAGACGCGCGCGCGCCTTGAAAAAGGTCGTTAATTTCGCCCCTAGGACAAAAAAACAAAATTCCGACGACACCAATTTGAAAAGAATCGGACCAAAACTGTAGTAGAAGATTGGAAAAAACTGAAAAACGTTGACGTTAGTAAACTACGCTCGAAGATGACGCCAACCCCACATCATGTAGCCTGTCCCTAAGGTTGACAAATTACACGGCCTTGTAGATACACGTACACCTGTTGCCTTTCTACAAGAGTTCATCTACGTGCCCATATTTGCTGCCAACCAGCCAGCCAGCCAGCCAGACAAAGTGAGATTAAAAGGTACTTTTTACAAATAAATTTGCAAAAATGCGTTAAAAATATAAGTGAAAGAGAGACGAGTAACATTTTCCTAAGTACAGTTGTTCCGCTAAAATTTTTTTTAAGAATCACAGACGTACCGCCAAAGAAGTAATTTAACGCTACAGATTCATAGTGAATGGAGCAGTGCCGACAGGGAAGCATGGTCGCCCGTTTTGGTAACCCCGTTTGGAGAAAATGGTGAAAAGTTGCGAGTTCATAAACTGTTTTCGACCAGATACGCAGTACGCACACGTGCAAATTTGTATTGGGAACTATCGTATAAATCTATACATTTAAAAACGAATCGCTTCTGGCAAATAAATCATACTTAAAGTATTGTTATTGATCTGAAATTTTAGGTTGCAGCAAAATATCTGTGCGAAGTGCGAAGGGGCACTTAAGTCGTATTTACTTTGAATTTTGCAAGTATAAGCATATGCTCCCTTTTATTCATGTGGGCAATTAACTCAAATTTCAGTGTTTAAATCTGTGATAGTAATTAATCATTATAAAAACTGCAGTATATATATGTTACCGGCAAACTGCGATATCCGGCATTTTACAAAATCCCTAGGCATTTCGCGAAATGACCAATGCAGCAGGCAAAGTGAGAAATGGAGCTCGTGTTCGCACTTTGCCTGCCTCTCTTTAGGGATTTCGCGAAATGCCCATACATGCAGGCAAAGTGCAAAGGCTTCGTCATTTCCCGCAGATTGTGCGTACAACGTTGCCATTTGATTGTACGACGAGTGCGATTTTATATAAGTAGGTACATATTTTTTCTCGATCGAACATCAATATGGTTGAAAAAAAATATTGTAATTTACACTAACGTATTGGGTGTTTGAATGCAATTACAATCTGTACTACTTCTGTTACGGCTAACCGGTAGGTGCGTGGTAAAAGAAATAGAATAGAATTAATACTAAAGAGAATATAATTTTCCACTTAGTATGTTTGCTGGTTTAAAATGGCCAAGAAAAATATATTAGTATATTTGTAAACAATATTTAGTTGCAAAAATAAAGCCATGCGTGGAGAATATATCAGATGGGGGAAGGTATACCAACGCGACAGGTTTACGTTTGACACCGCTGTACACGCAATCTGTGGAAAATGGTAGAGCATTCTCACTTTGCCTGAATGTTTGGGCATTTTGCGAAATCCCTAAAGAAGAGCAGGCAAAGTACGAATTCGAGCTCCATTTCTCACTTTGCCTGTGGCATTAGTCATTTCGCAAAATGCCTAGGGATTTTGCAAAATGCTGGATTTCGCAGTTTGCCGGTAACATATACATGTACACATATTTTAACATAGGTATTGATATCTTACCTTAGTTCCTTGGATTAAAACCAAAAAGAATGCAACGAACGAACTTCTGCAATCGCTCATTGAAAAAAAAGTTGTATAATGTCACGGTGCTAAAAACTTAAATATTAAAAAAAATTTTTGACAGTACATCATTTATAATGCCTAATGTACATTCGCAAAATTTTAACGAAATCATAGTAACCGTTTTGGCGTAAAATTTTTTAAAGTTTTTTTACTTTGACATTTTTTTTCCCAGTTTTTTTGTAATAAAACCTGGCAAAATATTTGTAGGTTGTACACAGAAAAATAAAGTCTTTCGAATAACTTAATAAAAATTTTAGGTTGCTATTTGAAAAAAAAGGTCGATGCCGTTGAGGCGCTCCAAATTTTTTTATCAAAAATCCGGCTCGTTATTTTTCGTTTCAGTATGCCTAATATACATATCCAAAATTTGAACAAAATCCGTCGAACCGTTACTTCGGAAAATTGTCAACGTACGCACGTACATACAGACGGAAAACCAGGTGTCAAATTCTTGACAGAATAGCTTCCTAGCTGAAACCAAAAATTGCCAACATATGTACGCACTTAGAGACGGGAAAAATTTATTCTTTAAAAGTTGCTTAAAATGATCTAAAACGTCAATTTTTACGCATGCATTTTGTTTGCTTTTATTAGAGGGACCTACCATCCAAATTTCGTTAAAATTGCTCCATAAATAAGAAAGTTGGATGTTGCACATGCGCAACACTATTTTTTGCGCATGCATTTTGTTAGCTTTTATTAAAAGGACCTACCATCTAAATTTCGTTAAAATTGTTCCATAAATAAGAAAGTTGCATTTCTGCGCATGCGCAACACGATTTTTGCGCATGCATTTTGTTTGCTTTTATTAGAGGGACCTACCATCCAATTTTCGTTAAAATTGCTCCATAAATAAGAAAGTTGGATGTTGCACATGCGCAACTCGATTTTTTGCGCATGCATTTTGTTTTCTTTTATTAGGAGAACCTACCATCCAAATTTCGTGTTAATTGTTCCATAAATAAGAAAATTGCATTTCTGCGCATGCGCAACACGATTTTTGCGCATGAATTTTGTTTGCTTTTATTAAAGGGACTTACCATAGAAATTTCGTTTAAATTGCTTCAGAAATAATAAAAATAATTGCACTGTTCCTAAAATATGGAAATCGGCACTTATTACTCCCGTTCCTAAAACTAAAGATGCAGCAAGAATTGAGCAATATCGTCCGATTAGAATCCTTCCGGCGATGTCAAAGATTGTCGAGAAGATAGTTCATAAGCAAGTGCATACATTTTTAGAAGAACGAAAACTGTATTATGAAAAACAATCGGGCTTTAGAAAAGGATACAGCACAACAACAGCATTACTCCACACTATAAGTACCCTGAAGTATAACATCGATTGTGGAAAAGTTACACTGTTATGCCTATTAGACTTTTCAAAAGCCTTCGACACCATTAGCCACTCCCTATTACTCTCAAAAATAAAATCCTTTGGACTTTCAAATAAATCGGTTGCGTGGTTTAAGCAATACCTATCTAGCAGGAGTCACAGAACAAGAATAAAGTCGGAAGGTAGCTTTATTGTATCAGATGCCCTCAGCGTTGGGTCTGGTGTTCCACAAGGAAGCATCTTGGGTCCTTTATTATTTAACATTTACGTATCTGGATTACATCGATATATCAAATTTAGCGATATACATCAATATGCCGATGACGTACAA